AAGCTCACCTTATCCACACGTTCCTGAAATGGCTATGGCACCAGGAGGCTAGGAGTTATGGCGTCAAAGTTCATGCCTGCTAAGCTGACGAAACAACCTCGCGCGCTCAGACGCTTGGATGCTGGATGCTGGAAGAACACGTACGACGTTATCCATGGGTTTTGGAAGGCACAGCGCGGGGCTATTTTGAGGAATCTAAATATGAGGGATATGGCGTGCATGGCGAACTGCGAGGCGCTGAGTTCTCAGCTTGTAACGATTGCTGCGACTCGGAAATTTTTGGGAATCTAGATAATGGACGAGGGCACATGGAGATCGGAACGGGACGCGAGTTTCGGATTGGAAATTGGCAAATTTAAGTCAATCGAAAAGTAACATGGGTAGTTTGTCTATAGAAAAATCTATTCCTGTTATGCAGTCAGAGCTTGGTCTCGCGATTGGTATTCTTCTTCCTTGCAGCCATGTTCCTTTCCGCGCCCAATATCAGACAAACGTGATGGCTCAAGGCTACTATATCCCCTGTTTCATCGAGGATAACAATCTCGACATCATACCTCCCATTCTGTATCTGCTTTGCCTGCACTCTTGCAAAGAGCCACTCGACTCCCTCTTCGGGGAGAGGCTTCTTGATATCCAAATTGAGTAATACTGTAGGATACCAGAGCCGCCTCGAAGGGCTCAGCAACTCGTCAGGATCAGTGCCAGAAGATAACGATGGCAAGATCCCTTTTGCTTGATCATTTGCCTGCTTCGTCTCCGTTTCTCTCGCACGATAAGACTCAATAACCTGTGGCCACGCATCACAGACGTAGCCCACGCTCGCATTAGTAAATTTCTCACCATTTCGGAAACAGATCCATTCATCAGATAAGCTCTTCATTTTCTGTCCCCAGCGCGGCAGAAACATGCGGATCTGCGTAAGCGCCTTGCGGAATTCGGCATACGGTAAATCTCGAAGTTCTTCCCAGTTGGCATCCTGCCCTGCGCGTAGCTTTGATAGATCTACTCGGTCAGGAGCCGGATGAAGAGCCCAGTGTGTAGGCAGGGAAGGGCCCGTTTCCAGCGCGAAATTGGAATTGGTCGCGTATGCAACGACTTCTTCTCGGTCGTCTTGCGCCATTGTTATGTGGATCGTAGAGGTGCGGCTACCGAGCTTGACATCTTTGACGGTAAACCTCGCGGGCCCTACGTGAGTCCTCCGGAGAAATTCCAGGTGAAATGTGATTGTGTGCGGCTGGTTCTGCGAGGCAAGCGTGCCGTGAAAATGCGCCTGGGCAACATTGAGAAAAAGTGCCGTCACGAAGCCTCCATGTGGCACTGTAGGTTGTAATTATAAGTTAGCCAGCGTATAGCGCAGAGCGGCGCAGTTGGAGTAGGAAAGAGAAAGGCAATGCATTTTTCTCACCGGAACCAATACACCATTCGTTATAGAGCTGAGCTGCATATGTGTGCGAATCGACCGGTGTCACTGCTGTAGCTTCCCGGAATGAAGACATGACGAGGGGTGATATAAGAACGAATGCCCCACGATCAACGCTCGTTAAAAGGGGAGCAGATCAATTGAAGCTGCAGCACTGTTATCTGTAGCTGCTGGAGCATCCTGCTCATCATATAAATTTCAAAGTTGATAGGTAAGGTATAAAACTGGGGGTGGGTTAGCTGACCCCAGTGTACCTGGCCCACGCATACAAGCCCAAGGGTCCTCGGTCCGCCGGTCGTTGAACCTCGGCTCTTTGAGATCACTCACCAGCTCCGAGTCTCGAGAATTACCTAGGCTACTGGTCCCCCAGTCCAACCTCAAAGAGCATAACGAATTAAAGGTATGACGAGTATATATCATTCAATAAGTATGCTTCTGGATTGTTATTTTTTGAGAAATGAAGGCTGAATGACTGCAAAATACCAATCCTATGGTTTAATGAATTTTTCGTCCATTTTATTTGGCCGGGAAAAGGGTTAAGTAAATAGAAAATATTCGAAGCAGAGAAAAAATGACGAAATAAAAACACAACAACAGAATTAAATTCACAAGCATAGACTAATTACAAGTAAATGAATAAGAGTAAAAAAAAAAAACGTCGACTAAGAAGGATCCCAGAATATCAAAATTAAAAAAAAATATTCAGGGAAGAAAAAAAACATGCAACAGCGGGGATTCGCTGGTCGTCACCGACCCAACTACTAGTCCGCCGATCTGAGGCTTATGTATGGCAGAGCGGACGGGATGCCCAGTTCTCCTCAGTCTATGGTCGCATGTACTAGAGATACAAAAATCATGGTAAATATACCATGTTAAGAATTCACATCTGCCCACTCTTGCGCTCCCCCTAGATCTCTGCAGTTAGAGTGATGATGAGACACGAGCCGGTCCGACCACTATAGTCTGCTATGGCAGGGATCATCAACTGCGCCAGGCGCTAGTCACGACAGTTATCCCCAAGGGCCTCATCCACTGGCGACTTCGTAATCTCCGGACGAGAAACCCCTCCAATGCAAGAGGTGCTAGGGAAATAATTCTAATTGGGAAGAGTCGAGAGTATCGACTCATTCGAACCCGCATTTGAGACAAAGAAACGAAATTTGACAGTGCCATCCATTACTTATTGCTGCTGCCTTTGCGTCACTCTCTTCTAGTCTTAGGTACATAAGGTAGTAGTCTCTATAACAAGCTCATTCTAGCTACATCACACTCTAATCTTCCATGCTGAGCTGCCGGGTCCTCTTTTTTCTCTATTTTAGACAAAAAATTATTCTCTATAACTACGTCGGGTACTGTAAGTAAAAGGAGACTAATAATAAAGTGGTGACTCTAGTACTGTGTAGAGGGATGCGCGTGAGCATTGGGCAGGTGCCAGGGACAAGGTCAGAGTGGGAATATCCATGCAGGGCACGGGAAATGATACACGTTGGTTCAAGTTCTTCGAGACAACTAAATGGTGTGGGCGGTGTATCTAGCCAGGTGTCCCTCCTTACTACGGTAGAAACATAACTGGAAGCGACTTAGTGACTTTGGGATGACAGACAGCCAAAGAGCCCTTTCCCCACGTCTTGTGCCTTTGCGCCCCCAAAGAAATCTGGCTGCCTGCAAAACTACACCCTATTATGTGCACTGTTGTGGACTGTCCACATGCTTGAACCCTCTACTCCGTAATTCAGCAACCCGCATCCTTTCCCGTCATACATACCTTCAGGTTCACCGTTGAAAATCCTTTTCATCCTCTTGAGCCTCTTTATTCGACCGTTTTGTAAATCATTCATATAATTTTAATATTGTGCCATCTTCTTCCAAAGGCATTATTCACTCCTTAATACAGCCTTTATCGCCAGACTTTAGCCTCACTGGGCCCCCTCTTTAGGAGAACTGCACGCCCTCCGATCCTTTTCGCCGACAGCTCTTGTCAACAATCCAATAGTCCTTGATTTTGTGCAAGTCGAAAACGCACGCAACTTCACGGCTCGCATTATAACTACAACATCTACATATTTCCCTCCACCTTTGGCCAGCACGAATCTCACAACAAGGGTCACGGAGCACTGCAACTGTGCCCATTTCCAGGGTAACAAGAAGAAAACAAAGGCGCCCTCGCGCGACAAGAACACAGCCAAATTGGATTGCACTCTTTGTCTTTCCCACCCGCGCCGTGTCTAAAGCTTGGGCAATCGCCGAGCGCTCGCGATCGAGGGAATGGGAATTGTTACCAGCAGACCCGAGGATGGCGGGGCGCTCTACTTACGGGATCAGTCGAGATGTACGTCTGAGAAAGAAGTACTATACGAGTACTTTACCTCCTTTCTTCCCTGTCATACCTTGACTAATGATTTCTTTGCACTTTCTAGTCTCCCTGACCAGTCTTACCGTCACCAACTCAAGAAAGCGGGTCTTGTTGAGCGTCACCCCGAATAACTTTCCGGCCACGAGAGTCAATGCTCAGAGAGAAGGGACCGATGAAAGTGTCATAGACTTTGTCCAAGTAGGTGAAATCCCAAGTAGCGGACTCTCGAAGACACAAAACCGCTAATATTCCGCGCTCTGCCCCTAGGACCCTGATCCGGTCAACCAAAACGCTCCACCCAATTTTCTCCTTCGCCTCAGTAATGAAGATGAGTTATACTTCAACTTCAGCTTTGCGATTAGGCAGTCATGGCCGGGTCAACAACCCAATTTGGCTGCTCCCGGGCCTGTCGCTATGGGGGAGGCTGGTGCTGATACGACGATTAATGGCCTCACCTATGTCTTTGCTTCGAACACCAAAGATCTCGAGACTTTAGTTACACGCGAGTTCCACGCCGATCCAAATTTGCATAAAAACTCCAACGTTCAACTCGTTGGCGACTTTTCCACCAAAGGCAGCCCTTACATTCATTCGAATTGGTCCTGGAAATGGCGACCCCCCAAAGCGGCAGAAGATCGAGGAGGTGGTTGGCGCAATAGCTGCAGCGTATGCGCTCATAATTCTGCTTATCCCAGTTGGTTGCTAAGATGTGAGATCTAGTTTGTCGAATACGACCAGCGAGCCCATCGCCTAGATACATTGGCTACTTTTTCATTTTGGGTGCAAAGTAGGTCAAGATGGCATCATGAAGAAAGCAAAACTCTAATACCTAGGCAGATACGCAGCGGCTGTTGACAAGCCCTCAGTCACCTTTCGGCAGCTTTGAACTCACGGTTCCGCCCCCGAAACTCAGAGTACCCTCCTCTCAATCGATCCAATCTAGATTAAGTGACTCGGATACCCAACCCGAGTACCGCGAACCCGCCTCTCCGATTGTCGAATTCGCACCTGAAACGGGCTTGGGCCTAACCCAAACCATTACCAATAGCACCATCAAAGTGGACATTTCATGCCCCAAGCCGGGGGAGGATATGAGCGCCGTGGAGGATGGCCCTCTATTCCGCGCTACGATGAAGGCTTTGGAGCAAAAGACGGGAAACATGCGTTCCAAGATGAAGAAGGTGCTGCGTAAAGCCGAAGGCGTACAGGCAGCCCAGGACCAATGCAATGCAGCCACGGAGGCGTTCATGGGCGCATTAAGGGACGCTTCCACCTCGAATGCGCACGCGGTGCAACCAGCGCTTGAGCATTATTTCGAGAAGATTGCGCGAGAAATACTCTCCTATGAACAACAGAATACCACCAACCTTCAAAAGATGATTATCGAGCCGCTGACGAAGCTCTATAATCTTGACATTAAGCAGGCGGAAGCCAAGAAGAAGGATTTTGATGAAGAGAGTCGTGATTACTACGCCTTTCTCGGTCGTTATCTGGGACAACGTCAAGATTCACTCAAGGAGAAGAAGCGAGCTGAGAGTGATACAAAGTACCAGAGCAAGCGACGCAATTTCGAATTGAAGCGTTTTGATTACTCTTCCTTCATGCAAGATTTACATGGTGGGCGGAAGGAGCAGGAAGTGTTATCGCATCTTACCCGCTACGCCGATGCGCAGGCCAAGTCCTATCTCGCAACGGCCAAAACGGTCGAGGACATGATTCCCCAACTCGAAGCATTAAACTACGAGGTCAAAGAGACCGACAAGGAGTATCAGCTCTTGCGGACGGAAAGAGAGGAAAAGAGAAGGACGATAGAGAAGAGTACAAAAGCTTACTTGGAGCCCGAATATAGCTCTGCTCCTTCCGGCGGAGCAGGTGCCACCAATGGCCATTCTGGTGAGGCTGATTTAGGGCGTATGGACAGTAGCGGCTCCACCATGAAACATGCGGCGGCTGTATCAACGGTTAGCCCCACCATTGGGGGCGCCGGAGCTATACCGCCCGTGGCAGCCGGTGCGAGCAAATTTAAGGGCATACGTGACCTTGAAGAGAAGGATTATAGTACCGCACTGAGCATCGAGAGATCTGCCGGCCAGGAACGAAAGGAAGGTCTTCTTTGGGCACTTAGCCGGCCCGGTAGTCACGCAGACCCCAAGGGCCTGAACAAACAGGCGTGGCACAAGTGAGCACAACTTACTCTCGTAACCTTTTTCGGGGGCGATTACTAATGATATACAGATTTTGGATTGTCCTGGACCAAGGCAAGGTTTCCGAGTACAGTAACTGGAAGCAGAAGTTGGACCTGCACATGGATCCTATCGATCTTCGAATGGCATCAGTGAGGGAGGCTCGCAACGCCGAGAGGAGATTTTGCTTTGAAATCATTACACCCCAATTCAAGCGGGTCTATCAGGCTACTTCAGAGGAGGATATGACGAATTGGATAGTGGCGATCAATAACGCCCTACAAAGTGCCGTCGAAGGCAGAGGTGTTACCTCGGATGTTCCTGCTGTCACTGGCACCTCAACGGGGCCTCGGAGGGATATCGGCTCAATCCTGAAGGGCAAGAGTTCTTCATCGGTGGGCCATGGGCAACATCACAACAGCACTAATAGCGTATACCGAAGGACAACGGTTGGTGCTCGACCAACGTACGGCCGGACGGCAAGTAATAATTTTGAAGAAAATCCTTCGAAACTTCTGCAGCTTCTACGCGATGCAGACCAAGGGAATTGCTGGTGTGCAGACTGTGGTTCCGGCTTGAAATCAGAATGGGTTTCGATCAACCTTGGAATCATTCTCTGCATTGAATGTAGCGGCATTCATCGTTCATTGGGCACTCACATTACCAAAGTACGCTCGTTGACCCTCGATACAACGTCATTTACAACGGACATTGTCGAGTTACTTTTACTCATTGGGAACCGGGTCAGTAACATGGTCTGGGAGGCGAAACTGGATCATTCTCTGAAGCCATCTCCCCATGCTACTCGCGAGCAGCGACTCAGGTTCATCACAGCCAAATACGCTGAAAGGGCCTATGTGACGCCGCTGTCCCTGTCGTTGTCCCGCTTCTCCACGGCAGAGGATACATTGTTGGCGTCTGTGAAGAAGAACGATATTCAGGGGGTCTTGTATGCACTCGCTCTTCGAGCCAACCCAAATGCTACAGATCGGTCCCGCAGTACTCCCGCGATTTTCCTCGCTCTTGCCGCGGCTGACCCTGCCCCCCCTGGCACCCCATCACTCGGCGGTTCTCCCAGTCACCCTCCACCTCCTCCGAAGAATATACCTTTTCCTGTTGCTGAGCTGCTTGTTCAGAATGGCGCCGTCATTCCCACCAAGCCCCCTGCATTCCCGCTTAGCGCATCAGCCCGTCTTTACCTAGAGCAAAAGTCTGGCCGGCCCGCCGCAAGCTCTGGAGGTGACACACTCGGTGATCTGCCTACCATAGGTGGAAATGATGGAAGCTCTTTTCAGGACAAGACCCGCGAAAGGGAGGCACGGCTCCAAAAGAGAGTTAGTGCGGGTGGAAGACTAGCCCGAGCAGGATATTCTATGGATTAATGACTGGGGGTTCCGCCAGGACGGGGACGGAAGGGATAATGAGCAAAACGAGTACCCGGTTGCAAGTATGAAAATAACGAAGACGCGTTTACGAGTTATGCATTTGGGTTTGGCAACAACGGTGTTTCAAAGGTCGGCAAGCTATCAATTCCACGGGAGTTTTAGAGTCTGTCATATCACTTTCTGGGTCCTGATCTAGTCGTAGGATCGCATTTCCGTTGGAACTTGTACGACATATGATGTATCATTTGGCTGTTTGCGTGCATTGGTCGGCATTGCATGTTTCTTCTCTTTTCTTTTTCTTTTAACCCCTCACATTTGTGTCCTCGTCACTGTCTAGCCTGATCTCGAGCTTTGGCTAGTGATCTGCGGTATTGATAGAGTACCATGATGCAATTAGCGCTCTGCATGGAGCTAAACTTGAGTTGCAGGTTAATTGCTTGGATTGTCCAGTTCCTTTAGTAGTTGTTTCAGGCGCCAATAGGCGGCCACCTAATTACTATGTAATAGTAATCAATGCTACAAGTCAATACAAGTGGAAATGTCTCAGAACCGTGAAAATATCTCAAACCATGTCCCCTAAACTGTAGCGTATTCGTCAGCGATGGCGATGGTCGGCAGGGGCAGGGGGGGTAAACGTTATCGAAACATTGCCTATCCTTATCGAGAGCCTTGGCATTCTATGGCGTCAAAACAAACGTAGCAAACTGCTAGAGCAACCATCTTCAATCATTTGACAGTCGTGTAATAATACTGATGATTCTGGACCTCTTTATACCCTAGGGCTTCAGAATAGTTTATGACAAGGAAGCTGCATGTTTCAGCAATCTGCAGGTCAGAAGCTGGTTCTGGTTCCATTACATTTCGGCGTGAATCACAGAGCAGCCATTGCAGCTACAACGTCAACAAAGCTCAAGTATCGAATTGCTTCAGTACCATCTTTGTCAGTGCGACCACTCTTTGAGCATCTCAAACGCCCTAGTATCACACAGTGCCGCAGAAGATTGTTCTCTTACTTTCCGTCGAATCGCACACCACCCAGATCCTTCTCGTCACTTAATCCCGACTCCTCAACCTACAGTTCTTCCCAGAGGACACTCGTTTTTAAACCAAGGCTGGGTCTCCAGGACCGTGGACCTGTTCCAGCCTCATTGTTCCCATCAGTGTACAGGACAATGGCTACAGGCCATGGCAACGACCCCTCGTCACACATGACATGCCTCTTTCTCGACTGGGATGGAACACTCGCTACAACAGACACGCTCGCCCGCATTGCGCGAATTGGATACGACCATCAGGGGCAAAAGTACGACGCAAAACAACCCGAAGATGAAGACGAGTTTCTGGGCATCTATCCACCTGGATACGAGACCAGTTCATCTTCATCCTCAAATCCTCTCCAGACCAAAGGTGTGCCCGGTCCAACTGCACCGACAATAGCCGCAGAACCCACATCCTCTGCCCCTGGCAGACCTTCATGGCCCGCAATATCAAACGCCTATATGGCCGACCTCAACCACTTTACAAAACGAGAAAACAGGAAGAAAAGGGAAAGGAAACCGAACAGCTCTGCGGAACTATCCGACACATCCCTGGCTGAGATTCTCTCTTTCCAACAACGCACACGCGAAATCGAAGAGCGCAGCACACGGCGCTTAGAAAAATGGGGCATTTGGAAGGGCATCACAGACTACGAAATCGACGCCGCAGCAAAAGACGCAATCGACTCTGGTGAAATCGCGTTACGCAATGGTTGGGAGGACGCGATTCGACAGGCGGTTGAGCCCAGTTCTTCCTCCGCTTCGGGAGGTCAAAATAACGGTACATCTCATCAGGGAAAAGCCGCCATTGTCAGCGTAGGCTGGAGCATACGATTTATCCGGCAATGTCTAGCCCAAGGAGAGAAACATGATAAGCAAAAGTCCAGCGGCGTTACAGCGTCGATGGATATTGCTGCGAACGAAATCGACGGCGCAACTGGCCACATGAGTCGCTATTTTGACGAGGTTAAAAGCCCCAACCCCCGTCGAAACCTTGCAAGAAGCGGCGGGATATGGACGGGGGAAGATAAATGGCGCATTGTCAGGGAGTTTGTACGTACTGCTGCAGCAGCAGATGCGCAGGGGACCGATACGGATTCGAATAATATCGACTCTCGTACCCAGAGCAGTAGCAGCAGCAACAACAGCGGCGGCGGCAAAAAAGGAGGAAGGAAAATCAAGTCAATATACGTCGGCGATTCCACAGGCGATCTGGAATGCCTTGTTGGGTGCGACGTCGGGATATGTGTCCGGGACGTTGAAGGCCAAGACGAATCGAAAATTCTACGTAGCAGCCAACGTAGCCTCGCAGAGACCTGTGACCGGTTAGGCATTCACGTTAAATGGGTAGGACACTGGCGGAAGGACGGCAATGGAGGTGCTCCCAGTGGAGATGGTAATGGCACCGGCGGCGGCGGTGACGACGTTGATGATATTATACCCGAGCTCGAGGCGAAGATGCTCGCAAAGGGAAAAATACTCTGGTGGGCGCGCGATTTCAATGAGATTGTACAGAGCGGCATACTCGACTGAGATACGACAGTATCGGACTGGGATTTGATGCCATGTATATAAGTTATACGTGTATGTATATACGTTTATGGGTGGATGAATGGATGGATGGATGTACATATTTTAAAGAATCATAGGAAAATGAGAGGTCCATCACAAGATCAAGCTGATAGCAGAATCAGAGTATACTTATTTATTGGTCATTTCCTCCGTGTTGGCTAGAGCTAATAAAAAGATTAGTCGTGCGATTTTGTAGCCCCATGGTCGGAACCATCACATGAAAGAAAGGAACTCGAAAAAAAAAGCCAAGAAAAAGGAGCGATATGCTCCTTTCGTTCGCAACTTGCACACTTCCTATATACATGAAGCGTTCAAGGCGAGAGTAGAATGGACCTTTTCAATTCAGCGATTCGATGCAACTTGTTTTAGACGTTGATGCTTCCATCTGGAATATACTCGACCGCAGTAGCATCACTCGCCCTGGCATTTTTCAGGGCTTCGCGTACAAGGGTCTTGTAATCTTTGACGGCGCGCTCGAGGTCCCCGATGCGCAAGTGCTCGTGGTCAGAGTGAGCAACGAAGATGGAGCCAGGGCCGTAGAGATAGCGTTTGTGGTTTCCGAGCAAGTAGGGAACATCAGTGCCTGGAGAGGCGTTAGCTGAAAGAAAAGGGAAAGAAAATAAGGGGGGAGAGATTCTTACCATAATTGACAGTAAGAGTATCAAATCCTGTATTCGGAAAAATAAAGTTAGCAAAGTGTAAGACGAATGGATAAGCTGAGATGAACCGAGAAAAATAGATAGATAAATAGATAGATGGATGAGGGGAAAGAAAAGGGGGAATAAGTGAACAGGAGCGTTAATTTACCATCGATATCAGTGTCACAGTTGACGGGAGCGTATCCCTGGCTCTCAAACCGGACATTTAAATCTTTGCCGCCGGCCTCGTGGACGGTCTTGAGAACCAGGCTGCGCATCTCTTCTGCGTTGCCAGCAGCGATGCGGATGGCGACATTGGCCTCGGCATGGTCGGGAACAACATTGGCGGCAACGCCTCCTGCGATGCGACCAATATTGATCGTGCTATTGCCGAACTTCTCGGAGCTAGGCATCTCCAGAACATTCAGGGCAGCAAGCGCAGGAATGATCAACGAGTTCGCATTGATGCTGAGCTCGGGATAGCCGCTGTGGCCGGACTTGCCCTTGGCGGTCAAGGTGAAGCCGCACATGCCCTTGTGGCCTGCAACGAGCTTGTGCTCTGTGGGCTCGCCGAAGATGACGGCGTCCCAGGAGAGGCCGAGCTCATTGGCGTGCCGCATGCCGTCGCCTCCCTTTTCCTCGCCGACCACGAACAAAAGTCCTACGTCGCCATCTCCAACTTCCTTGGACGCGAGTAGATCTTTGACGGCGGTGATTTGGGCTGCAACGCTGGCCTTGTCGTCGACGCTGCCACGGCCCCAGATCTCGTCTTCTCCGCGTGTCTCGTAGGGATAGTTGCCCGGCACGGTGTCATAGTGGCTTGAGACGAGGACTTTGGTCTTGCGCGTCTTGCCCGGGTATGCGAGGACGTTGAAGCGCTCTTTGCGGAAAGTTGAAATCACGTCTTCTCCATCCTGGGCCTCAAGGTTATCTGCCGGAGTGACTTGCTGGATTTCGACGGTAAAGTTGTGCTTTGAGAGGTATCCAATGAGGAATTGGCCCGCGTCGAACTCGTTCCCTGTGACGGATTCGATCTTGACGAGATCGCGGTGCAGTGAGAGAAGAGGAGACGCGTTGATGCGGTCTTCGAGACTGTTTTTCTGCCCAATTGGGAGCTGCTCGGTGAGCTGAGGTTTGGGAAGAATACTGCAGCTCGCAGTCGCAGCTAGTGCGAGTAGCAGTTGGAGCTTCATGATTGTTTATCTGACGGTCCGGGAGGCGATATCCCCAGCTATCGTACAGCTCCGACAAAGTATGTCGAAATTCAAGCTGAGAGATGGGGTCCCCGCCATCATTATGGTACCTAGAATGGTCTGATAGCCGGAAAGTGCGAGGGGTGGAGCTTGTTTGTGTTCCCATCCAAGGGTTCGTCGGTCGCCTCGGGCCGTGACACATTTGACCCGATCGCCGACTCATTTTAGCTACTGATCGGTTTGTTAAAGCAGATAAGGCACGTGCTTTTGCATATTTGTAGTCAAGATCATCTGCAGTCAAATAGATTTGCCTCCTCGAATACAGTTGAAATACAACAGCTTCACCACTGCAGCATGTTCAAATTAAAATGAGGAGATTGTTATGAATAAAGATATACGCCGGTGCTCGACGGCACGGCCAGTTGAATGCCCTCCATTCCTAAAGTGCGCAATGCTTATGCTCTTACTGCAACAATTATTGTACAAAAGATGCGGTGTTCAATGAGATTCCCACCTGCGTTTTGATAAAAACGTGAAAAAAAAAAGCTATATATAATACTGCAACCGTTTCTTCTCCCTTACTCTTCAGGCGGTTACCAACCCCCAGCTCGGGGGCGGGGTATAGAATTATGCAACACGGCTAAAGAGCCAGTATAGAGAAAGTAATGATAAAGCCTCATCCAGAGAATGAACGCACCTGTACAGGTTGCGACTTTTTCACTTCTGCGGAAGGCTCCGGAGAGTTGCGATGTTGGCGGGTCCAGCCCGTCTTGAAGAGATTACCAAGCTCAAAGCGAGGGAAAATGTGTGCCTCTGTGTTGATTACAACCTTTTCCAAAGGAAGAAGGTCATCCGGAGAGAAAAGAAGATAGAGGTACTTCAACGTCTCGGCCTTTTGGGGGAATAAATTAGTTATGCGTATTGGCAAAACCACAATTGAAAACTTACCAGCCAGAAACTTTCCATGTTATCGCGCTGAGGAGCCGGTACTTCCGTCACCTTGGCGAGACTTGTGAAACCAGCACCGTCGAAGACGGCGGAATGTGACACAAACGCTTTGAAGATTTCCCAGCCCCACTGTCGGTATTTGACATCTCCCGTGATTCTCCACATGTAGAAAAGACTCTCAACTGTCTCTGGCCGTTGCAGATTATGCGCATCCATCGAGTGGATAACATAATCTTCACGCCAACGGCGATCATCATCAATGGATTTTCTCGCCTTCTCATCAACCGTGTTCTCCATTACAGGGGGGTCGTATATATTGAAATAAGCAATTTCCGGAGCAAGGCCGGTTTCCGTGATCTTATACATGCCCCAGCAAGTTCTCATGAGTTCCTTGGCGAGCTCCATCTCCTGCTCTTGCTTTGGACCCCAAAAAGGCGATGCTCTAGCTTCTGCTTCTTTAAGGCCTCCAGTGACGGCGAGGGCGATTGTACCAGGCATGAAACAGACAAGGTGGTCCATCTTTGGCGACAACGGTTGCTTCAGTCCGTTGGGCCTCTCCGCAAGGATTGTCAGATTAGAGGGTTTGGAATAGGTGATGAGATGCTTTCGAATACCGGCAAGAGACTCATCCCACATCTCCTGGTAGATGGGCTCTTGCTTGGAGGTTTGCAAGTATTGTTTGATGAGATACTCTGATTTTCAAACCTGTTAGTCAAACCGCGAGCAAGTGAGCAAAGTGGTGTGAACTTTACCATAATACGAATCGCCACGGCTGCCGAGCCGAATATTGTCTCCACGAAACGTTCCTTGATCTGCATATATGAAGATCGGAAGCAGGCCGTCCTCCATTTGATTGTCGTCAATCACTTTGATGATCTTCTCCGCCTTGTCCCAGTAGTCTTTCTCGCCAGTAAGCTTCGCCAAATATTTCATTTCGAGCTGCAGGCTTGCAGCTTCGGCAGTTGAAGATGCACCGCCGTCATTATGAGAAGGAATACCTGCCATCGTACGGAGGTTCACACTTGCGTATGGAATACCAGAGGGTGAGTCGTAAGCACCGAGGAGCCGATTTGCAAGGTCAGATGCCTTTTCGAGGAAGAGGTCCTCCCCAGGCGCGCCTGCTGCGGAGTCTGGAAGGGCGGCCAAGTCTGGGTACTCGTTGGAGAGATAATGCGCGGAGAGCAACCCGCCAAGCATGCGAATGGTTGTTTCAAAAGTGTTCACCTCTTGGTCTTGGTCGTACGTAAGGGTGGTTGATACCCATTCCCGAGCATGCGAGAGTCGTGAAGTCAAGTTCATGAGGATCAAGGTATCTAAACTGTCGACGATAATCCAACCTAAACCATTGGGTCCCATTTGCCTTTTCGTCTTCGAAACAGGATGAAATTCGTCAAATCCTAACGGGTATAAGTTTTTTCCTGTTCCTGTACCAAATTCGGAGTAAGAGGGGAGCACAAGACATACCCCACGCATATCGTTCGTATGCATCCCAGCTAAGCGTGAAAGCCTCTTTGACAAATTCTCTTCTGCGCTCCCAATCAACAACTGATTGTTTTTGACTTGATTTCGACAGCCATCTCCACGCCGACTTATCGCTCTTGCTTTCTCCAAGTGATAGAGTCGAAGATTCGGAGAAGAGCCCCAGCCAATATAGCAACCCAAAGACCAACACGACGGCTCCGGCTACGAACCTCTTTTTCCGGAAAGAGGGCACTCGTAGTCCTGAAGACGATTTGAATGGTTTATCTTTATACATGGGGAGATCCCTTTGCTCAAACAGACCGCCTATGGTAGCGCCGAGCCCCTGAGTAGCATGTGTCTGGCGGTGCGTTCTCCCCGAGCTTTCCCACTGCCCATTTTCGTATCGTCTCTCTGCACTCGAAAAGTTCGGCACGTTAGGGGGTATGGAGAATGACATGTCGTCGTTCAGCCTTGGGCCCTCGAGAGCGGCCTCACTGGCCTTATGATCTCTTTGGCCGGAACTGGTGGTTTGATGTGTGGTGGCAGAAGTAGGACCGGGTGCTATCGAAGCAGTGGCGCGCAAAATGTCGAATGCCGAGCTGCGACGAACATTAAAAGGATCAAAGTTGTTCATTCCCGACCATCCAACATTGCGGCAAGATATCGAAACAAGGGCTTAACCAAAGAAGGGAAAAATTTATAAAAACGGACGCGCGCAGACCTTAGTGGAACGTAAGGAGGCTTTCTTTTTGCCCCTAGGATTTGTTGACTTGAAAGGCGGTGGAATACGATTCGCGGCCGGGGGGACACCATGCGGGTACCCGCAGTCGATATGGAGGCTTTCGCTTACGCGTTCTGGGGAAGACAGAGTGGATCCCCACGACTGAGGGAACCAGTGAACAACTCGCTCCTTCCGTTTGCCCCGGCTTGGCCCTTGTTCCCCCTGAGCATTACTGCAGGTGCCACTGCCTACGACGTACACTACTGTAACGGAGATTCCGAAACGGATAATCTTCGTGGTTGAAACCCATTTAGCCTGACCAGAGCTCGTCTCTCGAGAGAGAATTGAGATGGGAATATCTCCCACCCGATGCCTGAATTACCTGACACTTGCTATGACTAACAGTTAAATACAACGCCCAGATGATCATGCCCGCTCCTTGTAGATTCTGTTCGGATTCCAAACACCATGAATGACCCTAGAAAGTCTACAGTTTCTGGTACTCGAGCTTGCCTTCGAGCTTCTTCGACTCGGCCACCTTGCGGACAGCGCGGTTAAAGTCATCTTGATTTACAGCGTCTCTGTAGTCCTTGATGGCGAACAATCCTCTGTGATGCAATGTCAGCAACTTGATATCGATCAAGGGTACAAGTTATAACATACGCTTCAGTGACAACGTTCCGTAAATCGGCACCGTTAAGCTGATCGCTCATCTTCACCACGCTCTCGAAATCAATTTCCCCTTCCGTAACCACGCTGGCAGCGTGGATCTTGAGAATTTCCAATCTCCCAACTTCGTTAGGTAGCGGCACCTCGATCTTTCTGTCCAATCGACCCGCACGGAGTAATGCCGGGTCCAATGTGTCGGGCCGGTTAGTTGCCATGATAATCTTCGTTTGACCCAAATAATCGAATCCGTCGAGCTGATTGAGAAGCTCCATCAGCGTTCGTTGGATTTCTCGATCGGCCGAAGTTCCCTCGGAAAATCTTCGTCCACCAATGGCGTCGATTTCATCCATGAAGATGACGCAAGGTTCATGTTCCTTAGCATAGCCAAACATTTCCCGAATCAAACGAGCGGATTCGCCAATGTATTTATCGACAATTGCGGAAGAAACGACTGGAGAATGGAATTAGCTGGGTGCAAAATACCTTGTGAAATCTGCACTCTACCCTTGAGGAAATTTGTTTCTAAGCTGCTCGCTACAGCTCGGGCCAAGAGAGTCTTTCCTGTTCCCGGGGGACCATAGAGCAGAACACCTTTTGGAGGTTTGATTCCAACACGTTGGAAGAGCTCCGGGTTCTTCAACGGCAACTCAATAACCTCTCGTAGTTCGCGGATCTGATCGTTGAGTCCACCAATACCAGCAAAGTTAACCTGCCCGGGATCCTCGAGAGACATATTATAGACCAGCGGATCCACCTCTCGAGGGAGCATGCGCATAATGGTGAGCGTCGTCATGTCCAGGGCAACACGAGTGCCTTGTTTCAGCTTGGCCTTATCCACCTTTGATCTGCAACCGACGACATAACGCGGACCGGAAGACGCTTTGACGATGACTGGGAAGTCGATAAGTTAGTTCATGGGTATAAGGAATTACAGTGATCAGTGCAATATATAAAGGAGATCATGCATTAGGATAGAAAGCGCCACTCACATCTCTCCTCATCGAGCTGCTTCAACACCTCGCCAATGATCTGGCCGACGCTCTGCAGCGCTTTGATGTTGTCTTCTGTCGTATCGAAATCCTTTTGCAAGCCTTTAATCTCCAGTCTGAGAGCTTTCAGCTTTGCTTCCCATTCTCTGCACTCCAAAAGCTTGTTCTTGTACTGCTCCAGCGCCTGATCGCGCTCGGGGTCCACCGTTCCATCCATACTGATCGGACAGGAGGTAGATAATGTATACGGATGAAGAAATTGATAGCCGACCGAAATTGCAGCTTAAGTTTCACCTAAGCAGCTACAGTTTGGGTTGATTAGAAGGGCTAAGGAATAAGATTGTGGTAGCAGAGCTCCTCGGCGGATATCTAGATGGGCTTTCAAAGTCCCGATGTTCATCATTTGGCAGGCAGCTCGCTCTCGTCACCGTCGTAGAACTTACGTAATACAGGTTGTACGGCAGTTCATTCACTTAAGTTACCTAATTAAGTTGTGGCTGAAAGCTTTGCTTAGATAATAAATCTTGCCATGCGGGAGTGATGAAGTCTACTATGATCAGTAGCAAGGAAGCGGTAGATCCAGGAACAACGTAGGGTCGAGGAGTCAGCGGAGAGTGAGCTATCGGATACTAGTGAGTCGATCAAGCTTGCCAATGCTCCTGTATCCGTTTCCGCGGCAGCCTGAGGTGATTTTGCTTGTTGGCCTGAGGCAAGAATCAGTTGAGATGGCATTATTAGTCAACGTTCCCTCTGAGATTTTTTAAAACCACCAATAAGCATTCGATTTGGAAACACCCCCATTAGCATTGCTGCGGCTCCCTATCATCACATCGTAGACAATACCTTGGTGGAGAATTTATTTTTCCGTGAGATAATTTATCTCGCGGTAGCAGAAGTCTGTAAACGGCAAATAGGCAAGTCACATGATATTGCATTAACGCGCATTGTCCAGACTGTCCCAAAGGGCAAAGATCGGACCTTCCCAGGGGGCCCAAACGTGTGAGTATTGTTGCGTCCAGCCCACTTGTGGTCCAAACAAGTCACCCCACCAAGCCTAAGCCCACCCCACCAGGCAAATTGACGTTCGAACGAGCTGGAAGTCTCCTCACTTTGACCACCGCTTTCGACTACTTAAGTCCCTCCAATTCCCACCCACCGTCTTCTCTCTTCAGCTTCATCCTATACCCAATACAAATCATATACCTTTCTTCATCCGTCATTCCTAAAGTAAGTTTCGAAGGACGTCCTTTCTGTGAGCACTGAGCTTGTGCTCAATTGACTGCCCCTCATTGCCCCTCTTTTTCCTTGCTCATCGCTTTACCGATCCCTTACCCCATCTTCATCTTGGCACGAATAGCTTTTTCCTTGGCCGTGTGACATTGGTCCGATTGGAAGCTCTCGAGTTGGTTTCTGAAAAACTACTCGCAAACGAAATTCTTGTTCGAAGAGCACAATTGGCCATATCCTCTATTCTCTCTTTGTGCAGAGTGGAAGAGCTTACAAAACTCTCTTAGTAATTCATCATGGCCATCACCAAGATCCACGCCCGCCAGGTCTACGACTCTCGTGGTAACCCCACCGTCGAGGTCGACCTTGTCACCGAGACCGGCCTTCACCGTGCCATTGTCCCCTCTGGTGCCTCGACTGGTAAGCTCCAAGCTCCACGAACATCTAATTCATTATGGCTGACGTGATGCTTAAATAGGCCAGCACGAGGCTTGCGAGCTTCGCGATGGTGACAAGTCCAAGTGGTCTGGTAAGGGTGTTCTCAAGGCTGTTGAGAACGTCAACAAGGTCATTGGCCCTGCTCTGATCAAGGAGAACATCGACGTCAAGGACCAGCCTAAGATCGATGCTTTCCTTAACAAGCTCGATGGCACCACCAACAAGACCAACCTTGGTGCTAACGCCATCCTCGGTGTTTCCCTGGCTGTTGCCAAGGCTGGTGCTGCCGAGAAGGTTCATCAGCTCTCTCGAAACCCAGCTGAATTGAAAGCTAATGAAAAATACAGGGTGTCCCTCTCTACGCTCACGTCTCCGACCTTGCTGGCACCAAGAAGCCCTACGTCCTCCCCGTCCCCTTCATGAACGTCCTTAACGGTGGTTCGCACGCCGGTGGTTCTCTCGCCTTCCAGGAGTTCATGATTGTCCCCAGCCACGCTCCCACTTTCTCCGAGGCTATGCGCCAGGGTTCTGAGGTCTACCAGCAACTCAAGTCTCTCGCCAAGAAGCAGTACGGTCCCTCTGCCGGCAACGTCGGTGACGAGGGTGGTGTTGCTCCCTCGATTCAGACTGCCGAGGAGGCCCTTGATCTCATTGTCGGCGCCATTGAAAAGGCTGGCTACACCGGCAAGGTCGACATTGCCATGGACGTTGCCTCCAGCGAGTTCTACAAGGCCGACGAGAAGAAGTACGACTTGGACTTCAAGAACCCTGAGAGCGACAAGAGCAAGTGGCTCACCTATGAGCAGCTTGCCGACCTTTACAAGTCGCTTGCTTCTAAGTACCCCATCGTCTCCATCGAGGACCCCTTCGCTGAGGACGACTGGGAGGCCTGGAGCTACTTCTACAAGACCTCTGACTTCCAGATTGTTGGTGACGACCTGACTGTCACCAACCCCATTCGTATCAAGAAGGCCATTGAGCTCAAGTCTTGCAACGCCCTTCTCCTGAAGGTCAACCAGATCGGTACTCTCACCGAGTCGATCCAGGCTGCCAAGGACTCCTTCGCCGACGGCTGGGGTGTCATGGTCTCTCACCGTTCCGGTGAGACTGAGGATGTTACCATCTCCGACATTGTCGTCGGTCTCCGGACTGGCCAGATCAAGACTGGTGCCCCCGCCCGGTCTGAGCGTCTCGCCAAGCTCAACCAGATCCTCCGTATTGAGGAGGAGCTTGGAAGCAACGCCATCTACGCTGGCACCAACTTCCGCAAGTCGGTCAACCTGTAAATTATGAGCAGGATATTTTTCTAAATCGGTGGTCATGTCGTCACGACTAATGACGCAGCGTGGAAGGATGTGCTTTTATGATCACCCCCTTAGAGGTCTAGCACAGGACGAAAAGTGCCTTTGCAGCTGCGGTATTTTTTCCTTTTTCTTATAATTTACGATAACATTTTAAGCATCAATGAAATGACTACAAGTTCAAATACATAATCAATGGAGTAATCCTTTCCTGTGAGAATGAGCCCAAATTGTGATGAAAACATGCGGAACTCCCAGGCTCACTTTTGCCGTAGTTACGGTGAAAGTGGGGTGGATACATGTGCGAAGCGCACTAGGTATAATTGGACAATGTCCTGGTGAGCATGAAGTGCTCATTCTAGGTAAAATTTGGATTGCAGTGATTTGACGCACCATTTCTTTCCTGTCGCCAAGAAATATCAGCTGGTAATATTTCAGGCGCCCATTCGGGCACCGACGAGGGGTTCAGGTTGTTCAGCGGCGGGCCCCGAATAACTCCTGGGCGGGATGATCTGATCCGGTAACGGGGGAGCAATCACCCATTGAAGCAGAAGAGGTGGCCTTGGGCGGACTTTACCCTGAACAGAGCGACTAAAAGTAACAGCGCGGCTTGCAATTGGTAGGTCGCTCGGACGGACTTAGCAAGCAAAAAGTTTAGCGAATCAGTTTGATATTTTTGATCGGCGGAACAACACCCCACCACAATTCGTGACAGTCTGGTTCAACTCACATCCCACACCCATCGGTTACCTCGATCACAATCGCAGATATCGACCGGGAAGCGAGAGCACCTCTTTCATATCTCCGCAAGAATCCACGCATCCTTACGACCAAAATGGCTGGCAACTGGGGTGAGTAAGCACCTTAACCCGGGTCACTGCGCCTGTCACAAAACAAAGGGAACAATACCCACTGACTCGAGATTTCCCCATGCAGACGACGAGGAGAGCAGCAGCGGTCCTAACTCCCCGCCTGCGGTGGTCCCGCGACGAAGCAAGTGGGATGATGAGGAAGACGAGGGTGACGTATGTGAAATTCGTTTGTTCGGACTACAAGAAGAACAGACGCTCATAGAAATCTGAATTTAGGTCCTAGACTCCTGGGATGCTGCTGAGGATTCGGATGCCGAGGCTGAAAAGGCAAAGAAGGCTGAAGAGGCCAAGGCCAAGGCGGCTGCCGAAGCAGCTGCGAACAAAAAGTCCAAGTCTCAACGGATCGCCGAAAGATCGGAGGAACACCGGAGACAAAAGGAAGAAGCAGAGGAATCGGAAAGTGAAGAGGATGAGGCCGAGAGGCGTGCGAGATTAAGGCGTACTGAGCAGGACGCGGATTTGCAGCACGCCGAAGATCTTTTTGGTGATCTGGGCATCAACAAGAAACGATCTGCTCCGAAGCCCGTGGTTGCCCACGATCCCAGTGATCCTACCAACACCCTCGATCTCTCATCGCTACCAATCTTCAAGCCTAATACGAAGGATGAATTTGCCAAATTGCGCGAAGTTCTGGTGCCTGTCCTCACTGCAAACTCCAAGAAGTTACAGTATAGTCTGTTTATGCAAGAGTTTGCTCGGCAGCTTGTCCAAGATTTGCCTAGTGAACAAATCAAGAAGGTAGCTTCGGGCCTGACCACTCTATCTAATGAGAAGATGAAGGCCGAAAAGGCTGCCGAGAAGGGTGGCAAGAAGAGCAAGGCCGCCAAGACCAAGACTACTCTCAATGCTTCTCGGGATACGGGCTCCAGGGCTGATACTACAAGTTATGATGATGACGCCTTTGATGAGTAAGTCCTACTAAGACATGTTTATATATAAATCCGCTTGTATGCTGACGGAATATTCTTCTAGTGACGATTTCATGTGAAGTGTCGGTATTCCACTTTGCATTCTTTGTGTTCTGGAAAAGCCAAGCAAGGAAATGTTGTGCCTAATAACTTGTCATCGTGCCTTAACACAACGCCACAAACAAATTAAAAGGCGCAAACACTGGTCGATCCATTCAGGTCCAAGTCGAACCGGCAAGTCTTGCTGTCTACCACGTCCTGGGGGGTCACAGGTCCCAGGCCCTCGTGGTCCCGCTTGCTCGCCTTCATTGACAAGACGCCGCAGTCGCACTGGAAGAGATGTGCAAGCTTAGCTAGCTAATTCCACTGAGCAATTAACCTTCCTTGTCTCTTTGGCGTATGTACTATGGAGCAAGTGCCTTTCTTCCCTGGACTTGTCTTCGGGCCTTTTTTCCCAGGTAATAAGTGTTATGTAGCATCAGTGTCGGCATCAGCACCAGTCAACATTTTCATTGTGAATTAGAGCATTTTGATTTCTGGCTAAATTAAAATTATGGAATATAATCCCTAAGTGATCTCCGTACTATTTAGATTGCAATGCTTTTTCGTGGCCTCTGAACATTCCAAAATTAAGAGTATAGGATTGCGAGCTGCTAATATAATGAGATATGCATTTGAATTCCCTGAACTGGAAGCTATGGTCCATATGGTTGAAGTTCTGTCCCTGACGTCGGGCAGATTGGCTGGGGTACTTGCCAGTCTTGACTCCCAGTTTCGTTAAGAGACAATTGCGTTAGTCTCTGGACACCTCGGTTGGTAACTTAGCTGTAACTCTGACTTCAACTTGAGAATTATTACGTGCACGTGGTGAATATTTCGAACACTGGCCTGAGATATATTTCACTTGGAACTCGGATTGTGCGCAATTTGAGCAACATCCATTACAACGCAGCTGAGATTGACAGCTGAGATTCTGATCACTATTGTTACTTCTTCAACTCTCCAGGTACAATCTCAGCACTTGGAGTACAGTGCACAAACGATGCCTCATTCATCTCGGAAAAAAGTGGTCAAGCCGACATATCAAAAGCGCGTTCAGCTAGATGATGCCGATGGCTGGACCCATATGACTACTTCTCGACGATCTCAGCATCATGGAACTGACAAGCCCCATGGCACGGTCCAGCACCGGGATAAATTTGTTCCCGCTGAAGTACCAGTGGGCTTCAGGCTTGGATTTTTAGAAAAGGAGTACGCCAGATATAATGATATTTGGACGGGCTCTGAATGCTGGAAACGACTGCGAGACATTTTTCTCTCGCCATCTGGCAAGCCTTTTGAAGGAGACGAACATGACGATCAACAGAAGCAAACCAAACAAGGCGAAGGAAACAGCCAAGATGCGGAACTGATTGCAAATAATTTGGCAGAGCTTTCACTTAATAGTGAGGCTGAAAGACCAGTTCAACCCTCTGATAGGATCACGAGCTGTGTCTGTCTGGGTCTAGGCAGTCTCGTGGATCCAGTGTCTCGGAAGACTTCACTCTATCAATTAGTTGCCTTGCAATCAATTTTAGAGATTTTGCGTTCGTCTCACTTTCCCATGAGAAAAGTCTACAAAAGTAAGGTACAATATTTAAGCTAAAGTGGCTAACAATTTTCGCATTTTTAGGTACAAGATATGCCATAACAAAAGTCTATGCGCAAGATCCAGTGTTCAATCACATGGATATTGAGTTTCTGAAGAATTCATGTAATATAACCGTCCTTCCGGACCCGGAAGCTTTTGCGAAAATTGATTCAAGCACCTTTTTGTATGCTCCTCATTGTGAGCGCACTTTTCTCTTGCCCGGCTTGAAAGGAAAGAAGCCAGCGTTGTCTATATCCAATACGATGGAAACGCTGGTCAATGGGTATGTTGGGATTTCGTCTTTCAACTTTGACCTGCAGAGTTTCTAATGAATAAAATTTAGGCCAATAAGCACGTCTCTCGCGGACGAGGAAATCGATATTGCCAAGGCTTTTCTCGAGGGACAATCTGCGACGAGGTTTCCAGACTTTGAACCGCAACCCGGCACTTTCAATGACATGAGCGTCTATTTGCAGACGGAAGCGGATTAGCCAAGGGGCTGAAGAGCCAGAGCAGCTCTAAGCTTTCTGATCTGCGCGTTGTTCTCTGCGCATCGGCGGATAGGCCATGCCATCTCCAGGCCGGGCGGTATCCGCGTTTTACATCGCAAGCAGCGAATTCACACATGAGACGTGGAACATCCCAAACGAGTGTGCTTTCAATTCCGGTCTGCGTTTACTCGTCCTCATCATCGATAACATCGCTGCCAGATGTTTGCATAGTCAGGCCTTCTTCCGCTTTGAGAATGACGACCCATAAGACTTTTTGGGCCATCTTATGCTCTTTCTTCTCGAGCTTGCTCATCCCTTTATTTATATCCTTCATATTCTTGCCAACCTTGCTTTCCTTGTCCTGCAACGCCTTTGACATGTCCTTGTCGAGCTTTGCCATCTCCTTGTCGTAATCTTCTTTGAGCTCGGCCCTCTTCTTCTCAGCTTTATACCCGTCACCGGCGTATTTTGCAAGTTTTTCCTGATATTTTCGCTCTTCTTTGTCCCTTTCTCGCTCTACCTTGGCAATTTCTTCATCACCATCGCGGGCTTCTTCATCCAACTTTGCCACCTTTTTCGCTTGTTCCTCAGACTTTTTGGACCGGTCTTTCTCCAGCTTCCTATTCTGCTTGGCTTCCAGCTTCCGCGCATGTGCTGCGCCGATTTTCTTCAGGACGTTATCTGGCATTACAACCTGTGGCACATCAAAGCTCAGCGGCATGACACGATCTCCTAGCGCGAGGATTCGACGTATACGTGGATCACTAGCCGGCATCGCTTGCTGCTGAGCCTGAGCCTGATCGAGATTATCCAATGGCGGCAATTGAAGCCTCTCCTCCGCCTCCGGCAGCCCAATGGCCAGCATCATCTTTTTCGTATTCATAATCGTAGCGTGCAACCCGCGCGGTCCAAAGAACCTGTAATTCGACGCCCGCATATACGCCCTGGTCCGCGCATACGAGACGCCAGCGCTCGCCAGACCAGAGGCCACCCCGATACTGCCCGAGAGGATCTGCGCGCTGTGGAGAGGAACCATGCCTATGGCACTGCCAATGAGATTTGTGGCTTGGAAAATCGGACTGCCCAGAAAAGCTTCGTTAAGACCGTCAAGAAAAACGAGGAATTCCAGCTGTGTTATGCCCTGAGCTGCAAGTTCCGGTGCATGGCACCGAGCAAATGGGCTAGAGAAGGCGCCGCCAAATGCCTTTGTAATTTCTGAATCAAGAGTGTTTGTTAGTTGAAGCTACAGACTTGTCATGGAGGCACTACTTACGTGGCACGACGCAGGGTCTGACGGAAGCGCGGTGTTGAGCACCAAATCCTGGGCTTGGAAAGTTGCTGCAACTAGGCTCTTGGGATCCTTTCTCGGGAGGAAATTGGTTATAGGGAGCCGGAGGAGCAGCAACAGGAGCGGGAGCAGGACATGTACCAGATGTTTGATACCCCGCCGTTGGCCGGGATGGCAGTGCATGTCCGTATTCGTGTTCCTGTCTCTGCCATTGCCATTGCCGATTCTCTGTGTCGTGATAATACTCACTATAGTATCGTGGTTCTTCCTCCGAGTATGCACTCCCCGCGGGGCCAGCCTGTCCGGATGTGCACACGCTCGAATACGCCGGCGGGGGCCCGTCCATGTCATACTCTCGATGCGGCGGCATATACTGCATAAGCTGGTGCTGCTGCGTAGACTCTGGTTCTGGTGCGATAGATGCGTTTGCGTCGTGTAGTCCCATTGGTGTATATTTGTCCATGATATTGTTGTGTGTTTATATGTTGAGGCTCTTTTATATATATATATATATATATGCGGTGTATATTTATATGTTGAGTTTTGTTTATATACGCAATGTGTGTATATATGTGGAGAATGTCTTTTATACGCGGTGTGTGTGCGTTTATTTGTAGAGAGACGTTTTGTCACTTTAAACCCGGTCTGGGCAGTCTTATATATATCCATTTTCTCTACACATACCATTGCACCCCCGCGCATCTTATATACCCTTAACCTTGGACTTTTATCTGTATATCTGTCTCACGTAAGGTGCTATATCTTATTCCGCCAGACGAGAAGACGGACGCTATCGTTTACGTTTACGTAGGAGGGGTTCCGCGGTCCAAGGCCCAAAAGCCAAAAGCCAAAAGCCAGGATCTCAGCCTCTCTTTGTGTTGCGATAGTGGTAAAACGTAACGTTAGTTAGGGCACATCTCTTTCCTAAACGGGAGTATTCTACGAGCTTGAGCTTGGGCTTGAGCTATAATCTTACGGCCTGTGAACCAGTGTTTATTTCCCTTAGGTATCCTCGGTAGGCAAGGTAGGGTGACGACCTACCTTGGATATTGCGCATTAACAAGAGGTGGAGCGAGGAGGATACACAGCGCAGGATCGTCGGATGGTGGGATTGTCGGGGCTAAACTACTTTAAGACCCATTTCGCGACCAGGACCGGGGACCAGGGGACCAGGGGACATGACCAGGGGAGGCCGTTTGACGCCGTTGACACGTGCTGACGGTCACGTTCACGTTCTCCACTCGTTCCCCGCCGTCAGGCTCAGGCTGTCCGAGGGTCCCACAGAAGAAAAAACAATGAAAAAATAGATACAATAAAGTCAAATCAAAGAAAAGTAAAATAATATAAAAAAAGTTAAGATCAAGATATATAAAAAAAGGAGGTGGACCAAGATAAAAAAAAAGGACTGATCATTAGAATATATACTTATATTAACATTATATACCAATACTCATTGCCGAGTTAAATTACGGTGGCAATGGATTAAGTGCGCCGATCTTGGCGTGTGTAAGGAGGGAATAGAATAGAATAGAATAGAAAACGAATAGAAGATGAAAAGGAAAAGAAAACGGAAACGGGAACGAGACGGATAGAATAAAAAGAAAGAAAGAAGAAGGAAAAGTAAAAACAAAAACCAAAACCAAAACAAAAAATAAAGAGGATAAAAGGATAAAAGAGAACAAACGCCGACCTTTTATATAAACGCCTGGATCATTACCTTGATAGCCTATAAATTCATCCCTAAATGCGTCCGAGAGAAATGAGTGCGTTCGAATGGATGATTGCGAAGAAGAAGTAGAAGAAGTAGAAGAAGAAAAAGGAGATGAAAGTAATGAAAGTCATCTCTTAAAGTAAACCATGACGCTTGCCAATGACTTGAAAAACGAAGCGAAAGGAGAAAAAGTCAGAACGCTGTATACAATGACTTAAACGAAGAAAAGGTCAGAAGCTGTAGATGTAAATGATATGCAATATAGTGCAATAGAAGGGTTAAATAAATAAGCAGACCCGGAGAAGTCTAAACGGCAACCCAATATAACCATTCATAGAGTCCAAATGTATTTCAAAAAAGGCTCTCATTGCGCAGACACAGGAAGCTCAACGAAAACCGGCACGTCGCTGAGATCAATCCCGTAGCCCGTGGCCCAGTACATGCTCTTGCGCGAGGCGCTTGTGCGAAGGCCGCGAGTGCCGGCGCTACCGCCAATGCCACGGCCAGGTTCGTAGCCGTAGTGTAAGCCGCCTTCATATCGGCCCAGGACGTGCTCCCCTGGCCCGGACCGAGTGCTTGCTTCTATCATTGAATGCGGTCGGTCGCCGACATTGATAAGCCCTCTAGCCTGCACGCGTTGCTGGCCGGGTGTTTGGGATCTTGGAATGACCGCAGGAGCGGCAGGAGCAGCAGCAGGAGTAGCAGGAGTAGCAGGAGCAACAGTGACAGCAGAAGAAGAAGAAGAAGCAGCAGAACCGGTACGACCATGATAGCTTCTCCGGTTCAACGCAGGACTAGCGCGCCGTAAAGGCGCTGCGGCTTTGTCCTGCGGTGTGGGATTTGCAACAACCTTCTGTGCGGGCCGTGCAGGATTCAATGAGGTTGCCGAGGGATTTGAAACGGTTGGAATTCCAGCATACATGCTGGTAGGCCTCTTGACGGAACGGCGTGCTGCCGGGGGCATCAAATGTAAGGTGCTTGTTGTGCTTGTCGTGCTCGGCTCAACCATGCTCTTAGGCCTAGGCAGCTTTGGCCGTGCAGAAGTCATAGGGGGTACAGAATCCTCAGAGGGTACCGATAATTCTGGAACTGTTGGAATCCCAGCATACATGCTATTCGGCCTGGACAATTTTGGCCGTGCAGAATTCGCAGAGGGTGCCGGCGACTTTGAAACGGTGGGAATTCCAGCATACATGCTGGTAGGCCGCTTGATGGAACGGAGTGCCGCCGGAGGCATCAGATGCAAGGTGCTTGTTGAGCTCGTTGGGCTTGGCTCAGCAGACATGCTCACGGGTAATGGTGCGTGTGCAGCTTTCGGCAGAGCTGATGCCGCTGGCAGAGCTGGCACCGGCGGAGCATCTGCAGCAGCACTGACAGGTGGGAAAACAGCAGCGGCCATGCTCACGGGCCTAGGCACTGGAGCGCTGCTGACGGGGGAAGGAGAGCTCCAGCTGTCAGCATCACCGTGGATGCTCCGGGGTCTTGAAAAGCTTTTACTTCTCGCAACATTGGCCTTCCCTTGTGACACTGCAGCCGCTGCCTCTTGGGTCATACCATTGACTCGCTTTTGGCGGGGCATAGCAGTGCTAATTCGGAATGGGGTCAAGGCCGATTGTGCCCGATTAGCATCGGTGAGGCGCGGTCTCGGCATAGGACCAGACATGGCAATGTCATAGGGAGAATGACCAAGAGAGCGAGCCACCGTTCCAAAATCAGAGATCCCAGTGACAGGGTCCTGCTGAGGATTCTTTTTCCGGGACTTTGGCTCGGAGACCTGGCCGTCTGTCGACTTTTGTCTGCGGTGGAAACTGAACAGGCTCTTTGACTTTTTGAGCCCAGGGCGCTTTGCATCGCTGGACGGCGAAGGGAAAGTAAGCGGGTCAGCGACAGGCGCAAGATTGATGAAATTTTCCTTTGATCCAGAATAGTCCAGGCTTGGGAACGTGTGTGGAAGATGGTTCGATGTCGGGTACCGCTTCAGCCTTTCTTTATGCTTCAGCGCAAGATCCGACGGCACAGGCGGGATGTGAAGACTTTCAGCAGGGGTAGGCAAGACATCGCTAGTCGGAATGATGTCTTGGGCTTTGAGCAGCGGTGGCACATTTTGCACTTGCTGCTGGCTGTAGTTTTCCTCCGATACCTCTCGTGCCATATGAGCGGCTGCTGCTGCCACGATTCGGCCTTGTGCTTCGCGGGATACGATAGCTTGGCCTGGTCTTTCACTTGGTGCAGCGTCGACAGCTGAATCGTGTCCGAAAGTAGGTGAAACGTCAACGGGGGGAGATGGCGGTGCTCGTGACGGCGCTTTCATGACCGTGAGCATTTCATTGGAAGGAGATGCTGTTTTGGCCTCACGCTCCATTGACAGAAGCGACAGTTGTGACCCATATCCACTGTCAGTGCGATTCGGCACATCCACCAGTCGCCTACCTCGCACAATAGCATGCGGGGCATCAGCCTGGTTGAGTGGTGCCGCGGACGAAGGCCGCGACCCATTCATTACATCCTCGAGCGCTTGCAATGCGTCAGCACGGAAAAGCGATTGCTCTTCCGCGCTCTTGCCGTTCTGCTTGCCAGCTGATCGACTCTCTGCCGTAGGGGCTGAAGGTCGACCCTGAGGCGTGGCACATGACTGCTGATTCTCCAAGGACGACAATCGCTCAATGAGCCGTTTTGATGCAACCTTGGAATTGTCAATGCCGCCAGAAGGCGATCCGGTAACAGCCTTCAATGGACTTTCAAAGTGAGGAGCATGGTTATCGCGTTGATCTCCTTTGACCTCAGTGGACACAAATCTGCGTGGAGTTTGGCTGCCAGAGTCGGGTGATGCAGCACCATTCGTGACGAATAGAGTCCTCGGGCGCAAGCCACCCAGATGAGAATACTCAGTGCCACAAGGCGTGTCTTTACCAGAGGCGGAAAAGACAATTGGTTCGGCAAGGTCGAGTGCGTTGATAGAAGCCTGGGTTGAAGATTGGATCGGCGTTTTGGATTTCATTGACAGAGGAAGCTCTGGAACGGGGGGCTGCTTCCGCAATATATCATCGATACAGTCGCGTGTGGCAATTCCAGGAGTTCGAAGAGAATTGCGCCGGCTTGGCGACATCGAAGCGCTCCTTCTCCTCTCGTCCTCTGACAGCATAGTCGTAAGCTCATCGTCTGACGGCTTAGTTCTCATCTCCCTGAACAGGCGAGTAGACTCATCAATACCCTCTGGAAGTGGCAGCTTGTAAGAGTAAGGAAAATCACCAATGCTTCCTCTCAATAACGCGGTGGATGTCCTAGCTTGGACGATGCGGGGAGGCATTGAATTGCGTCGCGCAATAAGACTTAATTCAGAAATTTGTGCACTCTCTAGTGGATCGTTCATGATCTCCACAGGGCTGATGCAGACAGAGTCCTCGTCTCCACAGGGAGCGATACTTTGCCGACGCGACTGAAGCATTTCACTTTCGTTGCTGGGCTCATCTCTGGTCCCTTGGTGTGTAATACCCAGTTCCTCATCCTTCTCATCCAAGGCTCGTTCTGGCGTGGAGCGCACAGAGGATACGGGGGAGGGCTTCGCCGAGGGCGCGAGAATATTGTTCGGCGAGCTGTTTGTCCTTGGCTTGGAGAGCTTGTTCTGCGGCTTTCCAGCGGGAGAAGACTGTGCATTTCCCATCTTGAGGGCAGCAAGTCCACAGTAAAAATGCAGTTGCAGCAAATGAAAAAGCTTTCAAAGAACGCTCGAGGCAAGACTGGCGCACACTAACTCGCAACGTTTCTGTTGACTTTGCACATTTGCTGTTAACATCAGAAGCAACGACACTGCAAACACGATTGATGCATCTTCAAGACATCCATATACATTTGGGAAAACACTGCAAGGGAGGTGGTGCTCTCACAAGTCAAATCGGGATTTCAGTTCAATGCATAGCCACCAAAAGAAAATATTAAAAATAAAAAAAAAAATTGGGTAATACGGTATTAAGAAAACCAGCAAAACAAAACGTCTCAACACATGGACTGTAGGTGGTGGGAGGGGCACTTTTGCCCAGAAGACAGGTGAAACTGGATCACGACCTCGAGAGAGCTGCAGTGCTTGACAGATAAGTTATATGAATGAGAGCCAACAATTTACGGAGGATGCCTTGGCTGCTCCCTGACAGGCCCGCAGTGGAGAGGCTGGGGCATTGCAATAGTACTAGGGGGGAAAGGAAACAGTGGAGCAGACAGGGAAGAGGAAGGACACTGGTTGGGCCATAATCCCAAAATCGCAAGAGTCAAGCTGCGGGTATCGATAGCAGCAGCACGACGGACACCGGCCCGACTGATAGAATGCTTGGGGTGGCAAACGAGGAGGACAAAAAGCCAGGAAATCTCAATACTCCGATACTGTAAACAACATGAGGGAGGGGGAACGAGGAAGAAGTGCATGGGAGGAAGAGTTTCGTCTAGGACGCTACTTGGCATCAACACAATGAATGCTACCAGGTACCCCTGCTAGAGTAACCGCACCAGCTCCAGTAGTATATTCTTCTCTTCCGGCCAATCATGATGGACAGATGAAGATGAAAAAGTTGGATGATTGTCCTCGTTGGATGGCTGGGGGGCGCATAACTTAGCCGCAGCTGGTTGACAGAAAAGGCGGTGGCGGGCAGTTGGCATCCGCCAATCAGGCCATATCATCGCGCGGGCGCCACGAGAGATCTAAAACAGTCCAATCCATGCGCTATCCCAACCCAGGGGCCCCGCTTAACTATCCTAAATTAGGTGTGGCGCAGTATCCATCAAACAAAAAAAGCAGGGAACTTCATATCAGACCTCTCTGATCTGAACCGAAATGAGACGAGAGTGTGATCGCCATCATTCTGTCAGGTCAGGAAATCAAAGTACCATGGTCAAAGTATGCACGGTGAAAGCGTACGTGGTTATATATCTTTGACCATTCCACTATTGCCCCCCCCCACTTGAATCTCTCTGAAAGGGGCCCGAACGTACCACGGTTCAACTATCGTAGTACCTGAAGTTGTGTCCTATACAACTACCTGCCCCCAACACGTGATGGAGCACGACTTGATACCACTCTGACAAGCAAGTCCTAATTAGGGATAGAGCCACGACATGGCCGTATCTTCTGGTCGGAGATATTGCCGGCAAGCTTCATGATGGTCGTCCTTAGCCTCCACCATCGGCAACAGTGTCTGAGCTAGCGATCATGCATCCCTTCATTTTCACCTATTGATTGTCTTAGACTTTTCTTCCCCGAGAGACTGAAATGATAATGCAATGCACGTCCTTCCCTTTCCTCTCTCCACGAGACTTTGACATTGCCTGTGAAGAATTTGCCAAACGAACAAATGTATCAACCCCTGCCAAGGGTGATTGGACGGATATAAGTCTCAAGCATGAGGTGAGCCTTTCGTCGGCTTTTCGCCTTTGATGTGTTTCGGAAGAGAAGAAGTCATAGAGCTGTCCCGACTGGTATAAGCCGCATTATGGCAGACATACCCCTGCACGTTATCCATCTATGCCAATCCATTTGTTAAAATGTCTTCATGTAGGCTGGACACACCTACCTAGCTATAGCAACTCGATGTGGCCACGTCGACAGCCAAGCTGCTGAGCTGGGCAATTTGAGCAACGACGAACCTATCGAGAGTTTTGATGAAATAGAGGAAATACATGACGACCACGATGAGGTATCGTCGTAACAATATATGCATTACACGAAGCACTTCTTTGGAATAACACTCCTCTACAGGAGGCTTTAAGACGAACGTGTACTGGGGAGCATGGCATTTCTGCCGAGTACAACATACTATTCTCTCCGACTTATCAAGTCCCGGTCTTGTACTTTTTCATCCGCAATCTCCCCAGTGGCCGCCGCCCGGATATTGATACCGTCTATCAATGCCTCGTACCAAAGGAAATGCAGAGCCAACTTCGCCCCATAGGCGTGCTAGGAGGTATATCCATGGGAGTGAGTGAAAGCTTATATTCCAGAAATGAAGCGTGCACGTCCATCAACTGACTTCTCTGTCCGCAAAAGAATCACCCGATTACCGACATTCCAGCCTTTTTTATCCACCCCTGCAACACTGCGGAGGCTATGAAAGCCTTGGGGGATGAAAGACAGGTAATGCTTGATGAATATATTCAACTTTGGATAGGCGTAATAGGACCAGCTGTGGGATTGTATGTGCCGCTTAAACTGGCAAAAGCGGAATCTCAGCCCTGACTTTATGAGTAAAACGTTAGATTAATAGAGCATCAAGATGGCTGGAACAGGCCTGCTATCCTAGTCTGTATTGTACAATCCCCATTTTGGATCCAACAATCGATAGAAAAAGAGTATATCTCGCGCCAAACGCCATGACCCTAGATAAATGCTTTTTGATGCCATATCTGCCGGAAATATAAAGATCACTCCTCGTCCGATGATGCCTCCATGGGCACGTCGCCTTCGTCATCTTCCTCGTCCATGGGAGCTTCCTCCTCATCGCTCTCCTCATCTCTTCTTCGTTTAACACCCTGAGCAGGACTCTTTTCTCCATCCAGCTGAGTGCCGTTTGGTTGGGGAGCGGCAGCGGCAGCGGCAGCAGCAGCAGCAGTATTAGGAGGAGGTGCGATCGCCGAGGGCGGAGCGTTGAAAATAGATTGCTGCAACGCGGTGGTTGAGGTGGCACTGGCCCCTGCAGCAACTTCGGGCATCTTGAATGTGCCGTCCAATTTGGCGATTGTATCAGACTTTCCTTTGGCGTAATCGATTCTCTGCGTGCGCGCATCTCCCATTAGTTCGCTGAGAAGACAATGCCCCGGGGTTGCAGCAGCTCGGACTCACCATATCTTTTCCATAAAAGTTAAAACCCTGCAGCGCTCTCATGGCCTGTGTACTGGCTTGAATGTCACGGAATACAATGTGCGCTTGACCACGCATTTTCATCGTCTTGAGCGCGACCACGTCTAAGACAGGGCCGTATGTGGAGAATAGCGTGTAGAGCGAAAGTCGCAAATCGTCTTTCTGAAGCTTATCCGGAAGATTCGTACAGTAAAGCCTGGTGACTATCAGAAAAACTGTCATCACACAAAAGATTGGATAGGAAACTATACGTTTGGTTGGGGGGGTTGCTTGACTTGGAGCCCGGAGGCTTTGCGTTTGCTGGCGCTACTTTGGTCGCCATTGCGTTCGAATCTCCGCACACTCGAGAAGAGTGTAAGAGCAAAAGCAATGTCAATAGAACTCTTGCCGGGCTAGTATTGTGATTGATCAAACAAAGTTGTGGGGACTGCGAATATATGCAGTATATCGCAATTGATAGCTCTTGTAACTTTAACGGAATATCGTGAACTCGCACGGCGCACAGGACAAGCTTAGTCATCCACCGACGTCTCCGACTCCCCGAGGGTTCGTCGTCATGCTCCCCCGAGACCCCTCGAACCCAAACACCAGCTCCTTTCCAATTCCTTTTGAATCCATAGATTCAGAGCGATAGTAGAGAGCTACTCCTATCGCTAAATATCAAATCACTTGAAAGAAAGCACAATGGCCGCACCAGAAGTTCATCATCTTTTCCACAGCCCGATCGCGGACCACTCCTTCTCCGCCGATCGAGAGCTCCTCGCCGTTGCTCGGGAGAACAACGTGGAGCTATACTCCCACACTGGCAACCGATTTGCGCTCAAAGATGAGCTCAAAGGACACGAGAAGGTCGTGACAAGCGTGGACATTGCTCCCCAGACCGGCAAAATTGTGACTTGCTCTCAGGGTACGTAAACACCCCTGATACCCAATGATTGCGCCACGTTTTATTCTTCTTAGATGTCAGTAACTAATTCCATATAGACCGCAATGCCTACGTATGGGAGCCGTCTCCCACAGGCTGGAGGCCCACGCTGGTTCTTCTGCGTATCAACCGTGCAGCGACCTTTGTGCGCTGGGCGCCATCTGAGCGCAAGTTTGCCGTTGGATCCGGCGCTCGCGTGATTGCAGTGTGTTACTTTGAGGAAGAGAATGACTGGTGGGTCTCCAAGCACTTGAAGAAGCCCATCAGGAGCACCATCACAAGTATAGCCTGGCACCCCAACTCCGTCCTGTTGGCCGCGGGCTCGACGGACGCGCACGCCAGGGTCTTTTCGGGCTTCATCAAAGGTGTCGACTCTCGTCCCGAACCCAGCGTGTGGGGTGAACGACTCCCTTTCAACACTGTGTGTGGAGAGTTCTTGAACGGCTCCGCAGGGTGGGTTCATGGCTGTGCTTTCTCCCCGAGCGGTGACGCTTTGGCATTCGCCGCGCATGACAGCAGCGTCACCGTTGTGTACCCGAGCGGGCCCGAACAGCCTCCCAAGGCTGTTGTCAGCGTCACTACGCAACTTCTTCCCTTTATGAGCTTGATCTGGAATGGTGAAAGCGAAATCATTGCTGCAGGATATGTAAGTAATAGCCTGTTCAAGGGCTTCTCCCCTCCTTGACGAAGTAACCCCTACGTTGATTATCATTGTTGATCCCATTATATACATGCCTTATCATTCACATTCATTGACTAGCAACGCCTGGCTAATTTTTCTTTCATATAGGACTGCGAAGCATACCGTCTTCGCGGCGACGAGAATGGATGGCAACTCGTTGGCTCACTGGAAAATAAGTCTCGGCCTGGCCTTGCTGACCGGGGAGAGGAATCTGCCTTGAACATGTTCAAGCAGCTCGACCTCAAGGGCAAAGCCAAGAACGATACCCAGCTCAAGACTGTGCACCAGAATTCCATCAATACTATTCGATCGTACGAGGAGGATGCTAGCGGTCATGTCAAGCGCTTTAGCAGTAAGTTTTTTTTTTATTTTATTTTATTTTTTTATCTATTTATTTATTCATTTTGCTTTCTTCCTCTCTTTTTCTTCTCTCCTTCCCTTCTCTCCTTTCCTTCTCTCCTTTACTTCTCGCCCTTCCATTTCCCCCCCTCCACATGTCTACCAAAGATACCAATCCTATTTGATTCCCATCAACTAACATGCCATCCTTTTCCAGCAAGCGGCGTCGACGGAAGAGTCGTCATCTGGAACGTTTGAATCCCTGCTATTCTTAGATTCTTCATTCCTCGTGTTCTTGTCAGATAGGTTATTCAATTCAATTCTGCATTTCTAGAATGAATACTCGACATACTTACAATACAATAAAAATAAAAAATATCTACATAGATAAATGTTACCACGATGTTATATTGATACACCTGTGCTCGTCTCTTGTTAATTTGTCGTCATCTTTACCATTATCATCGTCGTCATCGCCGTCATTGTTATATAACGTCACAATCAAGGGGCGAAAACCCAAAATCGAAAACATCAAAAGAAAAAAGGTAAAATTCAAACTGAATAAAAATAAATATGTGTATAGGGGTCATGATATAGGTACAAGTACAATTAAAATATAACCCGTATATATACAGATCATCCAATAGAAAAATCCACAATCCCTCCCCCTCAAAAAAAGAAAAAGTAGGCTAATTCATCAAAATGTTCGTTACAAATCGCTTTTGTGTTTGAGGGGGAAAAAGAAAAATAAAAGAGCCGAGGCCAACAAAATGCCTTTTCGAGAAGCTCATTGAAGTAATAATGTTACAATTTCGAGAAAATAACGGAATAACGGGTAAGGGAGTCAATCTTTTAGAAAACACACCAAGGGAGGTATTAGAAAAAAAGCAAAATTGTTCCTGTTCCAATTCGCTTGTGCGGGGCGTTAAAAAGGAAGAAAAAAAAGAGTTGTCTACATGCTGTAAGATTGATGGTAACTCCAAGAAAGAAGAAGAAATAACAATAATAAAATCCTTTGTAAATGGGACACCAAAGAAGAGAGAAATATTCGGGATATCTCAAAATCACTCCAGAAAGAAAAAGGGACAAAACAATACTCCTGGTCATAAGGTTGTGCGGCTCAAAAGGATGCTCAAAATGAATATTATGACGCACTCTCTGACGTATCCGCTCTGGACAAAGGTTGACGTAGCAGTGCGTCGGTCGGTGAGGCCCGCCGATAATCTCGCCCACTTTCAGGTGCGCCTGGTTCAGCAGGCAGCGGTAATGGTGGGGGTGGGGGTGGCGGGGGAAGTTGTTGTTGTTGTTGTTGCTGGTGCTGAGGCGGCTGCGGCTGTTGTGGTGCTGGACGTCCGCCATATAGCCGAGCTGCGCTTTGATAATCCTCAAAGGACATGCTGTGGTCCTGCCGAAGCTGAGGGCCGGTGGAAGCTGCGATTGCGACAATGACTCCATTAGTATGAAAGCCTTTTTTCTTTTTCATATTTAATAAAAAAAAAGTCCAATATGGGATCGGAATACAAAAAAACTCTATGTGCGCAAAATGTTTGCAGTTTTCATGTACATACCCAACGGAGGTAAAGTCGTGGATTCTTCGGATGGTGGCGTGTGTTGATATGGGCCATATGGCGCTACAGGAGATTGCTGAGCGGAAGACGGATGCGCCATTGATGGAGATTGATCCAAATGGCCTTGTGACAGGCTAGCGGCTAATGAAGGCAGGGATCGTTGAGAGTTGGTTTCGTCAATGCGCGATAGCGGAGGAAGCATCGTTCTCGACGGCATGGATGAAGTACTGCCTGCAGAGATTCCAGAGGACATTGAAGAAATGGATGAGAGAGAAGTATCCTCGCCTTTCAGAGAAGGCAGAGGCTGCGATGGATGATGAAGAGTCCTTCTGGACGGTATATTTGAAATCCAAGGGTAGGATGGTCCAGAGTCTGTGCTCACCGAAGGTCCGCTGCTTCCGGATTGTTGATCTGGTTGCTCTTCACCCGAAACACTTCGGCCTGGCTCAATTCTGATTGGTTCCGACTGAAGCTCTTCCGAACCACTCGCAGGAATTTGGCCTCCACCAAGGCCCAAGTGACGCTGGGCGCTTTTGACGTTCCATGGCGCCTGCCCCGATGCCATTGAGCCTGTAGAGCTGGGTGACGCGTGGCCACTGGCCGTGAGAGATCCACCGGGGATTAAAGATGGTGATCCCCGATGGCTAGGAGGCGAAGTGGCCGGATTCACTCCCTCTATTTCAGATATGCGAGGCGCGATAGGGACTCGACTCCAGTGGTAGCCTTGTGGACCGCCGGGGCTCTGCCCGGCATTACTACTGTTCGTGCTTTGTTCCGGATGTAGTCTCGGACGTTTGCCCTCTTTGACATTGATCAGCTCCAACCATTACACATGCAAAAGGAGCACAGAGGCCCAGATGCCATCGAAGCACAAGTTTGAGTTGGGGGTGGGGAGGGGAAGACGAGGAACAACAAACTCATGTGCACTCTCTTACCTCCTTGCTGTCCGCCATACTTGGCTTTGAACTCTGCAAGATACTGCAGGTAATCTTGGTAGCCTTGCGTTTTCTTATACTCTGCCATCTCTGCAAGATGCTGCTCCTTGGCAGCGTTCGCTTGCCGCTCATATGGTTCCTTTTCTTTTGCTGATAGCTCCTGCCATTTTTCGCCGACGAGCTTCGCAATTTCGGTAAAGGATAATTCATGGTCCTTGAGGTCGTCTCGGATTTCTGATACAGGTGCCATGTCAGTTACTGCCATTCCCCTTTGTCTTTTTTCCAAAAAGCGAGGAGACCTACTGTTAGAAAATATCACATATGCGGAAGGAGGTCGCGCAGGAGCATTCTCATCCGGCTAAAAACTAATGTCAGTTTTGTCCGAGAAAGGAGAAAAAGCCGTGCTAAGGGAGTCGCCGAGAGAGAAAAAGAAAGAAAAGAGGAGATAGCGTACCTTTGGGTGCCTTCGATACTTTCTTTTGCCACTAGGCCCAAGTTCCCCTCTTCCGCCGGGCTTTGCAATCGACGCTGGCTTCTCCTCTGGCTCATTACTTCTTGACTCGTCAAAATAAGGAGTTCGAGACGGCGACGCTAATGATCTATCTGGAGAATGGCCTCTCGCATCTGCAATGGCGCGTTGCAGCTTCTGCATTTGCCCCGTCGTGTTAGCACACGATCAATCAAACACTCGTGAAAGGGAAACATAAAGGAACAGAATAGAAAATGGGGACAAGATGAAAAGCTTACCCTTCGGTGACCTAATTTGACATTCAAAGCCTCTCTGCATTTGTGTTAGCAGGTTTAGCCAGTTGCGTTGTCTCTTATGGTTGGAGAAACCCGACAAGAATTGACTTACAAGTCAGACTCGGTGATGTCAAGTAAAGTCTCCCAAGTATCAAAGCCCTCAGCAAGAAAGGAGTCCAGATACTGAGAAAGCCCCAGTCGTGCTAATATCGGCTTCACCTCAGTCATGGACTAAGATATGGAGGAGCGCCAATCTAACATTAGTTTTAAGAATGAAGAGAGGCGTACGGCCACGCCAAAGAGGGGAGAAAAGATGGATAGGTGGTTGAAAAGCCCGAATTCTCAGAGCGTCAAGAAGAGTATCCTAAACACTGTAAAGAATATTCAATTCTGGTTGGGTTTAGTCCGGCCCAAGACCACGTCGCAGAGCGGTGCTGAGATGCGCTAGAATTCTATCCACCTTCTCCCTTGCTGGGCTTCTAAGTGCAGAGTTAACGTTTTTGATTGTTGGTTCCAAGCCCGAGTTGAGCGGCACGTTCGGCCCCGTGAGATCCCGACGACTTGCACGCAACAGGATGTCCTTCCAGCACCCAAGTTCGTCACGGCGGAGCGGCCATGGAAGAGTAGAGGCCGTGCAGAGTCTTGCAGCTCACTGTGACGAAAGACACCACCAGTGGAGAGGACTAACTACCTTGTGACGACAAGAGCGCTTAGCACCAAAAGGAAGGCTAGACAGTGGATTAGTTGCGTCCGGGCGAAATGGTCAATGCGTCAGTATAATGACTCTTGTTTTGAATTTCAAAGAAAGCAGAGTGGTGTTTGATCGAAGGTGCCGTCAAGAGGTCGGAAGGATGCAACGCGCTGCAGGGGTGAAGAGAAGGAAGAATTCTTCGATAGCGCGAATATATCAAAGGGTATGGGAGAAGTCCAATTTGCCAGCACGAAAACGCTATAGCAGGTGCACTTGGAGTGCGACAAGCAGAATTAGGATACTGCCGGGACAAAAAACCAGTAGTCAGGGGTATTTGGTCAGGCGAGAAGGAATCAGTGGATGAACCTGATTTGAATCTGTCGAGCGTCGAGTTGACGGGCGAAAACGAGGTGGATTGTGTGGTCAAGGGTGGATTGATCGGTGATGATGCTGGGCGGAAGGGGAGCACAGACGTCAGGCGTTTCGTCTACTCTACGTTTTCCGATTCAGAAAGGGCCCTGGGGGGAGACGAGCTTCGTTGCCCCCGTTAGGCCTTTTCTCCCTTGGGCAAAGTCCATTAGCTCGGGATGACGCTGCCTCTTGGGGGGGGGAGGGGGGAAAACAAATTGGTCTCGCCGAAAGCTTAGAGAAGTGCCGATTTGAACCAAACCAGCCCTAACAGCTTACGAGTTGGAGGTTGTGGGGCATCATCATCATTTTGATTTCTTCCCGATGCGAACCACAATAAGAAATGAACTGACCAACTTACAGTATGTTCAAATGGTGGTTTCAGCGCAAACCTTGTTACAGAAGAGATGCCTATTCCCCTCTTTCTGTCTCTCTTCTCTCTCTCTCTCCCTCCCCTAATTGCATGAAACAAGTGGAAAGCTACGCACTGTGACTTGCAGAATGGGAATCGTAAGAGATGGAACAGTGGTGCCTGATGCGGATGCGGTAACGACAGGTAATGGGTCGATGATATGATGGTGACGTTCGTAGGTAGCTTTGTTCGCCCTTTTTCTCTGCGCATGAGAACGATAATACGGCCGAACAAGTGAGAGTAACTTACTCTTGCCCTAGAAACTTGCTTGGACTATCTCCTGGGGCGGCAAAGCGGTTCTGCTCATTAAGGGGAATTGATCGTCAGAGATCTCGATGATCGCAGAAAAACTTTAGGGCTTCTGCTAATACTGATTTCAAGTTACGAATAGTAGGCCGGGGGGCGTGCAAAAGGTACCGGCGCTGGCTCCGGTGAGGTCCGCACTAGCGATGCCGTTCGGACGAGTCCGCGGGTAGCCTGAAAGTACCGATACCTACAGCGAGAGATATCATCAAGTACCTTACCTTAGGTAAGGTAACCTTTTGATTATCAGTCTCGCGGGTTAAATCTCACATTTACGTCAAAAGGTAATAATGACAACTTCAAGTGATGTAGTGTGTTGTCAACTCCACAAGTACGACAGAAATCCCATGTGCACAATCGATGGGAATCTATCTGAAGATCTTCGACAACTAAAAGATCTGCATGAATCATTGATATTCCAATTGCCGATATAATGGATCCAGCATTTATGATCGCATTTCGGAAATTCCCCTAACAAAAAGCGATATCCGACCTATGTGTAGGTTTTGCCTGAATCGATGACGCCCTGGGTACAAACGGCGTCTATGGTCGACCGTAGTAATTGACGGTCAAGTTTTTTTGGTATGATTTCTTGTGTCGTCATTGGCTTCTCATCGCGGCACCCCCGATAAATCCCCCGTTCCATGTGGTCATTGACACCCGCTAGTCCTCTACAAAGTAACAGGCTGTTTTTGGATGACCCCACCAATTCGTAGACTGGGGGCAAAATATTTACTGCACACTGAGTCAGGTGTGGCGACGGCAACCATAGCCCAAACTGCTTCTGCACTGCACTGGCGAAGCAACTGCGGACCTTTTGACTGATCGGATTTTCTGATGCAGTTGGACTGGAGAAAAAACACCTTAGCGAGTCGATGCCATCTATTTACACGCTTCCTCATTTACCAGCTTGCTTTGCCATTGGTTCCTCACCCCTGCGACTCAGAGCGGACCTGAGTCCGCTCTGAAAAGGACCCAGTGCTGCATGCAAGGGAGACGAAAAGTACCATGCGAGTACCTCTACCTCGCTAGTGGGGATGGAGAAAGTACTCAAAATCGAACAGCGAGGAGCAGGCTACCTAACCTTAGCTACCTGGATCCCTGGGTCCTCGGGTGCAGATACCCTGCCAGAAACGAAACGCTGCGACAACCTACTGCGGAGTTGTGACGAGAAACGAATTGGAATTGCCGTTCGGGCGCCTTAAGGTGCGGTCGCATGTAACTTTGTAGATATCAACAGGGCGAGTCACCTATTTAGGTAGATAAGATCTTCTGAAACAACTCAAAGGTCAGTGCAGATGTGAAATTTGAAAGCGTTCTCTGAAGAAGAAAATCACGAATCCAAGTACGTAAAAATGGACGGATTGTAAAAATTTTTTAGTAGCGCCTAAGGATCTCAAGCTACCTCAATTCGAAATACACGCTGGTTTTAAAAAGGAAAACGGACAGCAGATAAAACGCTATCCGTGAAATATCTCCACCACACATCTTTTTGCTAGAAAAGAAATAACTTGACTTCCTTAACTCCCTAAGTGCGTCGCCAACGCCTGCGTTGAGGGTAGGATATGCAATCTTTGCTTGAAGCGAACTGTAAGCATGTAATATAACGAGATAAAGAAAGCGTGATGTAAGATATTCAAAGTTCTGTGTGAAAGGCGCTCTGATATCTAGCGAAAATGCAAGCTCCGGATGATGATGACGATGATGGACGCCTAGGGCATTGGATATTTACGTTCCCCGGAAGAGGAATTGCATATCCTCAGGAGTTAGTTTTTCCAACGCAACATCATCATTGTTTATGGTGCCGTTAATCATGGCGGCTTTCTTCTCTTGCAGCATGACCATACGAGACTCCACCGAGTCCTCGATGCAAAGTCGAGTAATGACACATGGTCGTTTTTGGCCGATTCTATGGCAACGGTCGGCGCTTTGCCATTCTGCTGCTGGGTTCCACCATCTTGTCTTGTGCGTTAGACGTAGTTGATAAAAAAAAGCCAAAGTGGATAGAACTCACGGATCGACAATGAAAACACGAGATGCTTCAGTCAAGTTAAGCGCCACTCCTCCGGCTTTAAGAGACACAAGGAATACCTCAACATCGGTATTCTTCATGAAATATTCGATTGATCTCTGCCGTTGGGTTGGACTCATACTTCCGTCAAGCATGACTGTATTGAATCCTGCTCGTCTAAGTCGCCATTCTACCAACTGAAGCATCGACGTAAATTGAGAGAATACTATCGATTTATGCGTCTGCTTCTTGCTGCGAAGCTTGTAAAGGTCATAAACAAGCATTTCAATCTTCGTCGAGGAAGTCCAGTCTTCCATTTTGATACGGTTGATGATAGAGTTTTTCTTGATGTTCTCCTCATCTTGTTCAATATCGGGCTACACTACATTAGAAATCCTGAAATCAAGCAATGCAATGCACAGACTTACTTGGTCAAAGTCAATAGATAATGGCTTGATGAATGGTCAGCCCAGTCAAAGAAGAGAGATATTGACCCAAGTGACTTACAATATGACATCGCGGGCAATCGGGCTCGGCCCCAACAGTCCCTTCAAAAGATCTGACGTAATCCTTCGCACAGCGGCGGCAAAACTCATGATGGCAACGTGAGCGAATGGCTTCTTCTGCAGGCTCGTCGCAGATGCTGCAGACAAGAACGTTTTGACCACCTTCAGCGTGTTTCCTGAGAATCAAATCTGGATGGTTCGCCACTTGGCGCATCTGCATGATCAGACCGAAGATATTGGCATCTTGGTAATACTGTCAGCACCGTCATAAGAAAGACAATATATCCGTCCAAGATTACTTACAGTTGTTTAGCATGACACCACGAGACACGTAAGTGTCGAACTGGCGGGTACTGTTTGTCATGATGCTAGTAGAGAAGTCCCTTTCAATATCCCCGAAGAACTCATTATGAATCACAACTTCCTTTGGCGGCAACTCCCTAGTCAATCAAATTTAGCAATGCCGTAATTTACGTTTGCAAGCACGATAGCAGCGACGGTTGACTTACATGGAAGCAGTGTGATCTCGTTTCACCCGTCTCAACATTATCCTATCCGTGATGAGACGTAGCTTATTGAAAGCCTGTCGTCTTAGAGCCTGATTCTCCCCTTGAGTAATAGGCCCTAAGATCTCTTGGTTGAAGACTGAAACGTGGTCGAAACCTCTATGACGGCAATGAGTGCACTTTTTATCCGGTGTCAAAGACCAATGCAATTCTTTGCAGCTGCAAGACTTGCAGAAATAGCACGCAAAGGGTTTGACCTCTAGGAAACGCAGAAGCGAAAAGAACTCTCCGATACGATTTTGCACTGGAGTTCCCGAAAGACACCATTTATAGTCGCCTTTCAAGGCAAAACAGGCTCTGGCCACACTCGTGGTCCGAGTCTTTTAAGTGTCAATTAGCATTTTGTATTCATGTATTGGTCCCACACCAGTGAAAAAGCCACTCACTTTGATATTGTGCGCCTCATCAAGGATCAAACGATGATAGTGTATCGAATGAATGACGCTGAGCGAAGTATTAGCTATTTGTACAAGTATCACTTGGTAAGTCTGAATACCTGTCCTCTTTGACTAATCCGTTTCCACGAGCCCAGCCTTTGATCTCTTTCCGATGGATTGACTCAAGGCCGGAGTCTAATCGTTGTTAGCGCCACCAGACTGTAGGATTCACGGGCAGGACGTACATGAAATCATAATAACATCGAATTTCTTTGTACAAAGTTAGTCACATCCAGATTTTACAGCTCCGAATAACTTACCAAGAGTTCCTTTCGAGTGAGGTGCTTTATCTTTGGATTGGTGTTGTGATAAACAAGGATCTTTAATTTTCCGTCGGTATACTCATTGACTTCATTTTGCCACTTAAGGAAAGATTGTCAGCTTATTGAGCATAAAGGATCAAGCCGTCAAGGTACCAACCTGCATCAGAGCAACAGGGGGCACTACGACCAAAGTTGGCGTCTTTGCAGGATAATCAGACATGATAAGAGAGACAGCTTGAATAGTTTTGCCCATTCCCATCTCGTCTCCTAATAACCCTCCTTTCCACTGGGTCTTTTCCTGCTTTGTCATCCAATTCAGACCTTCAAGTTGAAAAGATTTCAAAGGTCGATTGATGGATTCTGGTTGCTTGGCGAGCGCTGCAGGAATTCTGGGAGTATTGCTGAGGTCGTCCCACATAGTTATGATCTCGGGATGAGCAGTCTCCAGCTTTAGTCGCTCTCTTTCGGCTCTTGTCATGGGGCGCCGTCCCCTTCGCGACGGTGCCGCACGGCGACGCGCGGGTGACGGATTCGATAACTCGGAGTCATCATTGGCCTGTCGAAGTGCTAGGTTTCTAGCAAGTTTAAAATCATCTTCGGACGCAGTTTCCTCGTCTTCGAATTCGGATTCTTGCAGCGAGAGCAAATCGGAATCGGGTTCACTCAACGCAGATTCCTCACTGTCGAGAATCTCTGAGTCCTTTGCAACCCTGGGACGTTTTATATCTCTGTTGTTTGAGGAGCGTAGGGTGGAAAGTCTCTTAGGGACTTTGCGCTGTGATCCGCTACTTGGATGTGCCTTAATTCTCCGCTTCGTGGCAATGGTTGCCGCGGACGGAAAATCTGACTCCTGAAAGTCCTCGTCATCCTCATCATCATCATCTTCTTCTTCACCATATTCGTCATCATCGTCGTTCTCCGAATCCTCAATCTCAATGTAAGCCGACTGGCCAGCGCCTGAATATTCTTCGTTCTGCAGTTTTCGAGCAAGAATCTCATCTTGCGTTATGCTCGTATCATCGACCTCGTCTTCTTCATCGGTCAGTTCGGACCAAGCCCTCTTTCCTTTCTGACGGCCCAAAGAAAAGTTACTATCTCGAAGTTGCCGAGCACGATCTGCAGCATTCACACGGGACGTCTGGGTAATTATCTTTGCTTTGCTCGATTGCAGTGGTTCTCGGGGGGTCATGGTCGTACTCGTGGCTGGGGTTTCATATTCGCTATTTGGCTCTTCTGCGTCTGTTGCCCGAATCGATGATGATGAGGTTGGGCTCCCTGTCTGCAAAGAAAGACCATTGCTAAGTGCATCCGTCGAAAATCGACGTTTACGAGGAATATTGACAGATTTGAGGAACTTTGGTGTGGCGCTGCGTAGAGTAGAAATCCCGTCGCTATTGATCTCCATGTCTGCATCAGAGAACCCAGAAGGAGGACCATCAGCTTGGCCCAGGGACGAAGCTGACGGCATGGAGGCCTTTCTAATTCTGGCTGCTGTGAAGTTTGTTAACGAGAAGGGTCTACGAAGAGATGAAGCGTTCCACGATAGAGTGACGACGCAAGAATGGATTCACAGAACTTACAGGATCGCCGTATGGGCATACTTTCTTCCATTGGCAGCGGTTTCATTCTGACCATAACAGCGGCGAATTCAGGTTCCTATCTTGATCTGAATTGGGTCTGAACTGCCTTCAGCAATAATCGCAGCCGGAGGACGTAAAACGTCTTTCAATTGACAATCGGGCGGCGAAGGACAGAAGGGCCGTCACTTTCCAAGAAGACGCCGGGGAATCTTCGATAACCGAAGCTTTCGCCCCGGTCAAGCGGGCGCTTGAATTAACTAGGCACCAATGAGCTAAAATCTCTGGAGCGCTCGGCAAGGGGAACCAGGAGAAGTTAATGATGACTTTGCGACAGTGAATGGATGAACAGATATGGCAAAGGGCAGAAAAAAGATTTTGGACAAGTGGATTATTCGTGGCAGGAAGTTTTACAATCCCTAATATTCTTGATAAAGAACCCAGCTACTGTTAACTAGTCTCACAATTTTCTATGGCAGTCGTTCCTGCATCTATGACATAGATAAATTTGTGTTCGTAGGGCCATTATGACAAGCTCCTTTAAAATGCATAGCTGTTCACCTTTTAACATATGAAGGTAGAACCAATTCTTTCTGTTTCTTTTACCCGTCACTGGCGTCTGCACAGATGAAATATTGAGATTGGAACCCTTTCTTTGGTCCTTCTCTTATCGCCACTGGCGCGTAGGGCACGCGATGACAGACTCGCGCTAGAGAAATGCATTAGAGCGATTATAGCTTAGCCGAGGCGCCCTCTTTGCCCCCCTGCAGCTAACCGAATATGAACCCCCATTACTTCATCTGGTTCTAGACTCGGTATCGATAGGCAGCAACTAGGCCTCAATAATTCACCTGATCTCAGTTGCTGAATAGATCGTCAATTTTATTATCTGTCTCATCAAAACACCCGGGAGAATTTCTGCTATCCAATATTGCAGTCATCACACATTTCTCACAATTCTATGGGCATCGAATAGCCAAAGCCGGTCATCATGTAAGCTCGTTTTGTTCAGGCTCGTCATTTTCTGACAAGATCCTCTAATTCTCTGATCGTAGGTCTAATCGACGGGCAACAAATAACCGCATCCGCGGGCCGTGAGTGGTTTATCTTAGAATTCTTGGCCTCCAATAGCTTACAAGTGATGATGATTGTAGTCAGTCTGCTCTTACGGATTTTTTGGCAGTATGTATCACAATCCAATGCAATCCCGAATATTTCGTCTTACTAGATTGGCCTATGATCTTATACTGATTTCCATTCTTCTAGTCCAACAACATCTCCGCTGCTCAGATTCGAACCGATTACGAGAGACGTCGCAGGGAGGCACAATCTCGGATCAACTCTGAGAGACCTGCAGAAGATTCGGCAGCAGAAGTTGAAACGCAGCAAACAGCGACGTCCACGGAGAATTCTGAACAGAGAAAGAAGCGTAAAAGGCAAGAAGAAAATGCTATAGCCAAGATCAAAAAAAACAAGAACAAGAACAACAAAAATAAACGCCGCCAGCGCTTCGCTGTGGACTCAGAGAGCGATGAAGAAGACGCTACATGGGATTTGTACGCCAAGTCAAAACCATTGCCAGGGCAACTGGAAAATTGCGAAATTTGCAATAAACGCTTCACTGTTACGGCTTACAGCAAGACAGGTCCCGATGGAGGGCTACTCTGTGCTAAGTGTTCTAGAGAATTAGAAGCAGAGGAGAAGAAGGACAAACCCAAGAAAAAATCTGGCGCTCGTGAAAGGCGAAGACAAGTACAGAGCAGACTTCTTGATGGCATTGTTTCGCTCGGAGCGAAAAATTTGCAAGAACTTTGCGTGGAGGTAAGTTTTTCTTGCTGAATCAATTGAAGACTCTTGAACCAGACACCTTTTCTGATATGTTTCATAGAAAGTCGCAGATAATATCAACGACGTCGACGAATTTGGAGATCTCCCTCAAACCCTACTAGACAGACTGAGCCAAATACTGTCAAAGAAACGCGTCATAACATCGCGCACCTTGGACTTGTTCCTGCGGCCGGATTTAGATAAAGTAGCAATTTACGACGCTGGCAGTGAGTCTTTCCAGAATTAAAGCCATTCGGGGTCACCCATTACTGACGATATAAAGAACTCGAATCCCATGACTTTGTCAAGATCTTTGCTGTAATTCCAAACCTACGACATCTTCTCCTCCTCCACGCAGGGCAGTTTAAGGATGAAGTGATGGAATATATGCTCGAACGGCAGGTGCCAATCAAGAGCCTTCAGCTTGAGGCAGCCAATCTCATCTCGAACCGCATGTGGCACGAGCTGTTTCGACGAGCAGGAGGATCTCTTGAAGCTCTTAAACTAGCCTGGCTTGATTCCTCTTTCAATGACGAATGCGTTCAAGTCTTGGCTGACAACTGTCCTAATCTCAAACGACTCAAGCTGAGAAAATGCTTCCACCTTGATGAGAACGCATTGGTCTCGATTGGAAAGCTATCAAACCTTGAGCACCTCTCTCTGCAGTTCTCAGGTCAGGTTGAGGGACAGCTTGTGACTGATCTAGTCAATTCAGTCGGGCAGAAATTGTTCACACTATCGTTGACAAAATTTGAAAACGCCGACGATGCAGTACTTGCCGCCATCCATGCTAGTTGTCGACATCTTCGAAAGTTCCGCTTCTCCGAAAATGACCTCTGCACTGATGCTGCGTATGAGCAACTCTTCACTGATTGGGTCAATCCGGGCTTGGTGTTTGCGGACTTCTCTAGCACTCGCGATCTGGACTACTCCAACCCCGATGGACCAGATGAGCCAGTTGGACTAGCTTCCAAAGGATTCGCCGCCCTCATGAAGCATTCCGGCAGCAGCCTCGAACGCTTAGATATTTCCTCTTGCCGTCATATCGCGCATTCGACCTTTTGCGAAGTCTTTGACGGTATCAAGATCTACCCTAATTTGCGCGAACTGAACCTTTCATTCATCCCTCGCGTAGACACTCTAGTTGTTGCAGCAATATTCAAGAGCTGTCCTCAGCTGCAGAAGGTCGTTGCCTTCTCCTGCTTTGGAATCAGGGACGTCATTGTACCGCCCAATGTTGCCTTGATTGGCATTCCCAATGCGCAGGAGAATATCATGATTAATGCCGATGCACTGGCCTACTACTAAAAAGACGCACGTCAGCCTGGAGCTATTACGCTACTTGCGCATTGCGGCAAACCAAAAGTGCGCGTTTACTGCTCTTTGCTCATGTTGCTGTCAGCTTGGCGTTTGTTGAGAATGGTACGTACTGGATTTAATGGTGGATTTGCGAGGAGTTGCGATCTACATTTCATGTGATGCTGTCTCTCCACATTTGGATTGCGCGGCGCTTTCAAAGTGCACTGGATGGGGTCCATGGTGGGTTGGCGTTACCTTGGAGCAAGCAGGCTTGTACCTTAGTTAGCCTACGGAGCACTTATAGCTACCTTATTCTATCAATTGTGTCCTTGATCGGACGCTTTAGCGAACAATGTACTCCCGTACAACCGATCGATTTACTTTCATATGCGTAGTCGTCACCCATTCATTCCTGTCTGTAAAAGCGAAATCGCGTAAGGTAGAGCGATTGAAGAATTTCACCACCTGTGCTTAGCTGCTGTTTTTGCGAGGGCATCAGAGATGCTAAGAGATGTCGCTCGCCGCCACTCGAACGGATTCAATGGGCAAAGGTACAAAGTAAACAAATAATATGGAGTAAGAGGTTGTTGGAATTAGCCGGATCTCCCTCCCTCTAGTGCGGATCAGTTTTGGGGTTGAGTTAACTTAGTCATGGTTCTGCCTGGCCTAAGAGAAGGAATGACGTGATATTTGTCACTCATCAGGACGCCCATCTCAGGGGGTTTTGATGGGTGAATCAACCATTAGATCCATTTAATGCTAGCGATGTGGTTATTACATCCGAATTAAGCCCGACAGGACACCATGCAAAGTGATGAATAACTATTTTCTTCTCTTCTCCCCCTTGTTCGTTGGACAGCAAAAGGTTTCCAAGGAGATTGGAGAAAGCGCGCCATTAAATATAATGGTAATATGAGACCATAATATACCTCCGAATTTAGGCATCTGCAGCCGAACAATCTCGAAAAGAATGCAACTAGGCTGGTCCCGCCTTCTACTCGTTGTACTCCATGAGAAACGGATCGGTCGAAGGAACCTTCTACCTAGTCTTCCAGAGGCGGTTGATCGCAGCGCACTTGTGAGACTCTGGATTTTTGCACGTGCTCTCACAAAGGAGTGGGACTTGTGGATGGCTTTGTACCTTGACCTAGAAAATCATCAGATCCCTTGTCTTTATTACCTAAGGTCATTTGCATTGTTGTTCATTGTTTGTACTGTGGAGATTGTTCTCCCTCTTTTGCAGCCAAGCTTTTGCCCAGCCGGTACCCAATTATTGGCAAAAGATTCAACAAATCGATGTACATAGACCTACTAAACAGGTAGAGACGTCGCTACCTGGGCTTTTGGTTGGATTTGCTATTCGCGACCTTATGTCTGTCAGACTTTGGCTCCGGTTCCCCGATGGCGCCTTGGGCCAGGAACCAAACGAAACTGTTTTGGGCCAACCATCGAAGCTTGTGGCCGAATCCCCTGGTGAACAAACTGCAGCGTCGAAATTCCCATGGAACCGCAACCAGCCACTCAATATTTTTACTTTTCTCCTCCCCCACAAGCCCCAATTGCCGACCTCTGCGGGCCGCTGCGGTGGCTTTTCTTTTGCTTTCCTTCTGTGCTTACTTGTAAGCTTGCCTCAGTTTTCCCTCGTCTGATTTCTTTTTTGTGGCTGGGGTGGCAAGTCGCCATTATTTACGTTTGTGTCGATATTTTTGCTGGGCGAAAGAATCGGTGAGCAGGAGCGGAGAACCCCAGCGAAGAAGCGGCAACATGGAAATGGTGCCGCGATGCTCGAGGCCGCGTGCGCCGGGATAGCGCTTGTGCGATGCTTGCTGTAGTGCAACATGTTATCGATAGTCGGTGCAGAACCACAAGAGCAAGGCTGTCAAGTGTGAAAAGTCATCTTTAATGATGACGATGAAAAGAGTGACGACGAGGTCGAACAATGATGGCGACAAACACATGGCAGGGTATCCAATGCATAACTTTAGGTAGAGTACTCTGTACGAAGTATAGTATGGTAATCAAACAGAGATGCGGCTTTACAGTTCTTGTGCCTTTTGTTACTCAACCTGCCATGTGCAGGATCTTCCCTTACCCCGGGGTTTGTCCTACGCGTCCAGGACGGATAATGTCCCGATGGAAAAGGAAAAGCCAAAGGATGATCGAACCAGACCATGATGATGATTCTTCAAAAGGCGAGGCAAGGTCCAGCGCTGATCCTGCCAACCCAGCCATTGAAGGGCCTTTTTCTGGTCCGATCGGTTCGAGTCCCCTGGCGGAGCCGCCGTTAGTTCCATGCTATTACATCTGTACGAGTAGAGTAGTATCCTCCGTCCGTAGTGGGGACCACTCCTGCTGGGAAAACTAGCCTTACTAGACGAGTAATAAATGCCCAAACTGTGCATCAAAATACGAGCCCATGGGAACGTCTTTTTCTCAAGACTTTCTTAACACGAAGCCGGCTAGCGCCCCCGCTGAGCGCTGATGTTTCCGTTCAACGGACCAAACAACGTTCATTCTCGGGCCCTCGGTCGTCTCTAAGCAGAACCACCAAAACTGACCGAAACGAAACATTCCTGGGCCACAACCACCCCCCCCGAAACGTTGCTGGGTTTCCCATCCAAGCAGTCCTGTCTTTCCTGGCTGGCTGACTGAACGACTGGATAGGACTGATTTGCTTTCCTTTCCTCTCGTCAACGACCTACCTACCTACCTACCTACCTACCTACCTAGGACTGCTGGCCGCTTGGTCACCACCACTTGCCGACTTCCATTTTTCACCCATTTCCACTTCTTTCCCACTCTCACACACGCCTTCTCTGTGTACGTGCGGCCCATTGTGATCTTGGGGACCTTTGCCGCCTTTCTTTGCAGATGTGCCGGTAAGCGTGTCCAGAATTTACAGCCTTCTTCCTGTCTCGGTGGCGCTCGGAATGTTGTGTGGTGTTTGCGTGCGTTGTGAGTCGCTATAATTGGCACGGGCGCGGATCTGTCAACAACCACCAATTCTTTCGCCCACGAGCGACGAGACAAGAGGGAACATACAACTCTCTCAACGGCATCCAGAATAATGAGGAGTGCCTAACTGGAGTGGCATGTGAAGACTCTAAGGGTTTCTTTCGGACCAGAAAAGGGTGGTCGTTGTGAGAGTACAGTACTGGATTCTCATGATCACTCACTCGACCTCGTCACTCGATCCTCCAACGCCCTCGCCTTCAGCGCCCGCAAAATACAGCAGATGTGCCGCCTGAGAGACTCGTACAAAGTCATTGAAACGATTGTATATACTAATCTGCGGACTGTATCTAGGGAATCTTGCACACCCGTGCTCTAATGGTCGTCCAACTCGGCCACGCTCGTTTTTCCTGGCCACCCCTATTTTAGCTTCAGAGCTGCGGAATTTACAACGACACTCGCTCTGATTCAAACTTGCTTTGCTTCTCTTGCCGCCTCGTTGGTTAGACATAACGCAAACTTTCCGTCATTCTTTTGGGGGTATTTCCCCCCTCTCTTCGTCCAGGACCGTACGCGGTTCTTTGCACTCGCTCGGCGTTCGCCCGCTCCCGGCCGTACATTGACCGGGGCTTTTTGTTGAATTCTTTATGCCGATCAAATTTCCAAAGGGATTCACCCGTCGGAAATCGTCGGGAAATCCCCTTGAGGGAACGGACAATCATTCGGAACCATTTCGCGTGCTGCAGCGCAATCGTGGAGGGAGCAAGTCCTTTGACGAGACCGTTAAAATATCAGAGCTTGCCGGGGGCGGACCATACGGCTCTAGAGGTGGTCCTGGTCAATTGAGCAAACCTGGTTCTAGCAATCGGTACGGGTAATTCGCAAAACTAGTGGAAGCATTCCAGATGTTGACTTGACACAGGGGAAGTGGGACAACTAGCAATTCGACCTCGACTGGAGGTTATCATGATACTTCGTCAGCATCCGCTCGTTTCAGTTCTTCATCTACTCTGCCGTCCTTGACCGACGCCAAGAATTCCGACGAATTTGCCTCGTCCAAGGAACCCCAGAATCAGCATCAAGTTCCTATCCCCCCGATTCCGGACTCGCGGCCCACTTTCTCGTTACGTGCTGCTGGCCGAACATTTTCTTTTGGCGCCAAATCGCCAAAGTCTGTCAAATCACAGCCTGCTCATCCTTCTCATCCTCCCCCTCCCCCTCCCACTTCCTCCCACTCCGTACCCTCACCTTCTTACCAATCCGAGCCCAAGCGAAGGGAAGCGCCACGTGCTGCTATTGCCTCTCAGAAGATGGCTAGTCACGTCCATTCAGCCGCGGCCCCAAGGCTGGATACCGATATTGGACTAGGCGGTTCGAACTTTGGAGGTGCTGAATTCGGCAATATGTTTGAGAACTTTGGAAAGCAGGATCCTCGAGGACCTGCTTCGCAACCCCGGGATTTTGGCCGACCGGTGAGACAAAGCCCGGTGAGTAAGAAGGCCGAATATTCCCCCCCCCCTGTAAGTCAACAGCTAATCTAATGCTTGGCTCCTTAGGAACTGCTCTCGCTTTCGTCGCCAAAGATGCCGCCTAAGCCTCATGAGGGACCCCAGACCCGCAGCAGTACTCTGCCTCCCAACTACGATTACTCCCCCGAAAAGAGAAATTCGCGATATTCTTGGGATAGCAATGCGTCGCAAGAGGGGCTCATGTCTTCTACAACGCCGCCTCCGCTGCGAACTTATCAGACTGATGAGCGAGCCATGTCCACGCCAAGGCATCAGGACGTTCGACCGCTAATTCCACCAAGTACAACATCACTCCCAACGATTGTACAATCTCCGGCAGACTCTTCGCCAGATTACACAGACGCAGGCTCTCGCAATAACGCGATGAGGAGAAGCAGTGCCTTTATGGCACGTTCTCGATCTGTTCCGTTGGAAGATGAAGATGCCAAATTAGTAATGAAATCAGTAGCCGAAAACAGAGCCCCGAATCGCAGACCAGATGGCGTGCGGACAATTGTTGGCCTCCCTTCCGAGCACAATGCCCAGGAACGAGAGATGAATTCTCTACAAGCACCGTCATTCCAGTCATTCTCGGCAAAGAACGCGTCCGTTCCTTCCATCGTTCAAAGCAGCAATAGACATAGCTCTGCCATGACTGATGATGAGTTTGATGTCATTGACACATCTGGCGCGTGGCAAGCAGCGTCGACGGAAACAACTCCGAAGGCGAGAAATATGGAGTTGGTTCAGCAAAACGCCGCTGCAGCGCCCGGCAATCCTACGAAACCCGCAAGCACCCAGACTTCTTCTAATGCTAGACCTGAGGCAGCGTCTGTGAAAAAGGTCATGACGCCTGCACAATTCGAACAATACCGTCGCGAACGTGAGCTGTCGAGGACCAAGAGTAACGCTTCCGATAGCGGAAAATCATCAGCGAGCGATGAAGGCTATGAGGATGTCGACGAATCGGAAAGAAATCGTTTGTTGGCTAAACAGCGACGAAAGCAGGAAGCTCACCTTGCAGTTTACCGCCAACAGATGATGAAAATCACTGGCGAGGATGCTATGGATGAGGTCTCACTCAACTCCCCGAGGCCGGCATTGGCGCGGGCCACTGGCAGTATGCCTACTCTGCCCGTCAGTGCGTCTTCCGCCAGCCTAGCGATGGACAGATTAGGCCCGAATGGAAGGAACAGCGACGACGACGAAGATGAGGATGTGCCCTTGGGTATCCTCGCTGCGCATGGATTCCCGAGCAAAAACCGTCCTCCCTCACGCTTGCATGGTTCATCGTCGATGACCAATCTTCGAGCTTCTGCCCAACCTGGAGCTTACCCGCCGCCTCCCGGTTCTGCAATGGGAGATCCAGCAGCAAATGGTGCCCGCGGCGGCAATCTTCCCGTCTTTGCCAGAAACTTACCCGTCGACCCTTACCTTGGGGCAAGCTTGGTGGCTCCTACGAATCGTCAATCCCTGGCCTTTAGTCAGAATGGTCCCCCTTCAATCCATGCCGGCGGTGCGCCACCAAACGTGCCCGCGGGAGGCCTTGTAGGTGTGATTGCTGAAGAAGAGCGTTCCCGAGCCCTGAGGCGTGCTAGTCCAAGTGCACATGCACTGTATGGCAGCGCTCCGAATGCGCCCGCAATGGCAAATGGGTTCCCACAAATGTACCCGCAGGGCTCTCCCATGGCCGGTTTGCCGCCTCCAGGCTTCCCTGGGATGAACATGGGCATGCCGATGATGCCAGGAACTCCTGGCACGCCACCTTTGCTATCGCCTAGCGACCAGGCACAGATGCAAATGTCACAGCAGATGACACAGATGATGCAGGTGCAAATGCAATGGATGCAGCAGATGATGCAAATGCAAAACATTAACAGTCCGAGTCCACCTGTTCCAAATGGAGCTGCCGGGGTCGGTGCTGGCGGGTTCTTGGCCCCACCTGGTGGTCCGATGCAGCGTCCCATATCAATGGGAAACCCAGGACGGCCCAATACCCCAGGCTCATTCTTGAATGAACAGCATCGGAATACAATGTTTGATCCGGTCATGTCTCAATGGAACAATACTCCAAATGGCCCGAACCCTGGCTACGCGGCATCGGCAAAGGGTTCACTCCATGGTGGAAGACAAGGCTACACACCCTCAATTGCACCTTCAGAGCGTAGCAACGTTGGTTTACCTTCTCGATATCGACCCGTTTCCGTGGCGCCGCCCGCAGCGAACAGTCAGGACAAGTCTCGAGCGTCTAGCTTCACTTCGGGTATGCTCAACGGCTTCAGTAACAGCAACAACACGCAGGGTCAAAACGGGCCTTCCTCTAAATCTACAGTTCAAGCATCGATTCGTGTCATCCCACCTCCCAATGAGACGGCTCAGAACAGGTCTGCCATTGCTGACGAGGACGAGGACGAGGGATGGGCGCAAATGAAGAAGCGACGCGAAGAGCAACGATCAGCACGAAAGAGCAAAAAGCCACCTAGCGCCCTTGACGGGATCTTTTATCCTGGCGAGTCACCAGTCGACATAAGCCCTACGACACCGCATTAGCATTTCTTTGTCTTTCTTTGCACGACTTTTCCATTTCCATTTTGCATCTTTCTATCTTAAGCATCACCCTCCGTTGGACATACTCAACTTTTACGGAAAGCCACTTCTTAACCAAGTCATCAGCGCATTGGATAATACGGAAACGTTTTTTGCCATCTAGAATATGAATTTATCTGCGGTCACGGGAGATCCGCCAGGAAACAAAAAAGCAAAAAGAGAGCCAGCACGCCTTGGAGAGAACAAAAAAATCATCGCATGGAGTATCTAATATCTTGGTTTTTTTCTAATATCTCTCTTGTCATATTTCCTTTGTCTCTGGCCATTTCCCGTCTATCATATTTGAGCATCATATCCTTGTTTGCCCGAAGCCGATTTTCCTTACAATTTTTTCTTTCTTGTTATATGTCTCACGTCCTCTTGTCTAATATAAAAGGCAAATATGTTTGTCTTATTTCTCTTGTCTATTGAATTTTGAGGAACGGAACAAGAATCATAGGCGGCAGACCTCTCTCTCTCTCTCTCTCTCTCTCTTTTCTTATTTTTTTTTTTTTTTTCTTTTTTCCATTTTTGTCGTTTTTTAGAAAAATTCTTTCCCTTTTTTCTTTTTCTTTTCATATCTGTGCATAATAACATTACCGGACTCGCCATTTTCTTTCTCTTGTTCTCTTTTTTATATAGGTAGAGAGATGTAATACTTGCAATCTAGCATACCATTCTATCCATCATCATCGTCACATCGTCGTAACATCGTCTTCACTATTGCTACCTTTCACGCACATGTTCATTTTGGAAATATTTAGTGAAAATTGGGATATAAGTATTAATCTTGCTTTGGTGATTAAGGTAAATTAAAAGCTATAGTTACAGATACAGTACAAGCTAGGTAGGTAAGGTAGGTAAAACAAAGCTGACAACAACAGAAGTGCAGACAGATTTGATGATCAAAAGAACCCGCAACCTCAAAACTTCCACAACTCAAGGTTCAAAAAGTCAACTCCAATCCAAGCTAGATTTTGGTCCTATTCGCCGGTGACCCCCCTCTGCAATGCTAGAATGCAATGTTTGGTGCAATAATGAGTGTGACACTTTTCGGTTTTTTTGTTCGCCGTGGAAATGCAAAATTGCAAATTGCAAGTCGATGAAAAGAAGAAAGGAAGATGATAAGAGCGCGTTTCGGTCGTAAAAGGGAGCGAGGATCGCTGAATTATTCCCCAGGATGGAATGGATGAACGAATGATATGGAAAAGATATAATGGATGAATCAAAGGATCATGGAATTAATCAAGATTGTAGATTGCTTTCAAAAAGGTTTCCCGTCCAAAAGCGCTTACTCAATAAAGATGCGACGCGAGGTAGGTTCGGGAGCCTTGGGGACGACGATGCTGAGGATGCCATTCTTCAAGCTGGCCTTGACGGCGTCCTGGTTGACGCGCGAAGGGAAGCTGAAAGAGCGGTGGAACTGGCCGACCGAGCGCTCAGAGACCCAGTATTTGTATCTCTCGCCCTGGGGTTGTTCTTGCTTGGCAGCGGCAGTAGAGGAGGCCTGAGTGGTGGTGACATCGGTGGAGGAGTCCGGGGTGGGAGTGCCGGCTGCTCCTTCTTCGCCTTCTTCCTCTTCGACGCTGGGCTTGCGGTACTTGTTGTTGTTGCTGTCCTCGTGAGCGGCCTCGCCGGTGATGCGGCCGACGGGCTGTTCACCGCCCTCAATGGCACCAGCGGGTGGAGTGCCAGCGGAGTACTCGCGCTCGGTGCGACCCTTGATGACTAGAGTGGTGGGGTCGGTGAATTCGATGCTGATATCCTTTTGCTCGATGCCGGGGAGCTCGCCGTGGAGCTCGTAGGCATCTTTGACCTCGCGGACGTCGAAGCGCGGCTGGAAAGAGCGCAGGGTGCCAGAGCTCTTTGCGGCGCGGTGGACATCGTAGTCGTCCAGGAGCCGGAAGAGAGGGGCGAAGTCGCCACCGGGGAACTGAGAGAAGAAAGACATGTTTGGCGAAGTGTAGTGGATGTTGCGAGTAGAATTAAGAGCGGGCGTCTTGCACACTTTGAAGGCGAGTGGGAGGCGAGCAGTTGCTGCTTTGTATGCTTGCATATAGCTTATTGTGTGGCTTTGAGGAGGAGTTGAGTTGTTGATGGAATGAGAATGTCTGGTCTGTCAGGTTGAAGCTCCGTATATATACACAATTTTTTTTTTTGCTTGACATTCTGGAAGATGCTAGGCAAAAGGGTATGTGATAATGTCCTGGTGACGAGAATCTGCCCGGGCGGCCCGATAGCTTCTAGCATGCCCTGGAAGCTTGAGGTCGTTTCCCGTAACAATCTGGGGTATCGTGACTGCGGTAACGGGCGTCGAGCTAGTACCTTCTGGCACTTTCTACGAGCGCTGATTGGCCCGCTGAAGCCGACCCTTCCCAAACCGGAAACTTATCTTTCTCCCGAACTTTGACCGAAGACTCTGGAAAGAGCTCTGTGGCCTGGCTTCAAGGCGACAAAGAAACACAGCCAGTGTACGGTAGAAGGCAGCAATCATATCTTGGAGTTATGACGCGTCTTCAACGGCTGATATTTGTGATCCCCGGCGAGGCATACATTTCCAATTGTCGCTCGCCCTTGCGCAAGAGATATTCGATTGCGCCAAAATCCCTCTTGTCCATGGCTGTGTTACGTCGAAACTCGGATCTATTGCAAGTCCATGTCAATCAATGAGCCGTCAGGAAAAAATCGCGGACAAATAAGCTTGAGGGTGCGATTGGGATGTCGACATACCTAGCGAAAGCTTTGAAGTTATCTCGACTCTCCTTTTACCATCCAAACCGTTAGCTTCCGATACTTGGCCTAAACAAAAAAGGAGCTCCAGCGAAACATACAATCGGCTTTTTTGCGGCTTCGCGGAGACATCGTCGATAGAGTGCGAGGACCTCCTTCTGTAGTCCGGACAATCTCATCTTGGTGTATTCACGGGTGAAGCTATTCCGCTTGGCAAGTAGGTGATAATGTCGCAATAGCAGCAGAAAATGTTGCTATATCGAGGAGATTCCTTTTGTTTAAGGTGACCGTTTCTGCATTACTGGAGACTATGGGCAGCTCTGGTTATCGCTGGGGTAAAGCTAATTTGTAGGGCCGAACGAGAGAGAGCTACTGTGAAAATGTATATCCGGTGATGTTATGTAGAAAAGTCAAATTTTCAAACTATAACGAAAAAGCTATCAAAAAGATACTTGCATGAGTTGAGCCAAGTATCTGAAGCTTACTGGCATGATTCTCATTTCTTGGTCGCCCAATTCTCGTTGCACATCACGTTAAGCTTCGGTGTAGTGGAGCTTGGCAACATCCAAGTACAGCTTTAGCTCAGTGCTACCGGCCCGGAGTCCAGATTGTGTGATACCTAGATAGCCAGGGACACAAATAATGTTGCGCTTATCCGTACGCCCTTCCATAGATTCCTAATTAGTCCTTTTTTCTTTCTTTTGTAGCTTATTATTTTTATTAAATCCGCACTCATATTCCGGAAAGACTGACACAATGGTCCAGCGCCTCATTCGCTTTCTTGCCCGTGACGGCAAAGTCTACTACGGCGATGCCATTCTGCCTTCGGGTGTAACCAATATTGCAAAGGCGAGACAAGCCAAGGTGATCAAGGGCGACATCTTTGGCAAGCATGATGTCACGGACCAGGTCGCTGTAAGTTTGGTTTATATCTTCTCCGTCTTGGCCTTGGCCCGCCTCGCCGCTGGAGAATGAAGCTCAATTGTATATGCTATGACCTTAGGACGTCAAGTCGCTCCTCGCTCCGTTAGCATGGGATGATGTGAAAACCGTCAGATGTCTCGGATTAAACTATGTGCAGCACGCCAAAGAGGTTGGTAGCCAGTCCTGAAAGAAGCTGCCGGTAGCCAATGCTGAGAAGAATATAACACTTCTTTAGACAGGCATGCCCATCCCCACATATCCAGTGCTTTTCGTAAGTAAACAACGACCCCCCAGGAGCCGATTTACTGTATCATATATACTCATATCAGTCCCTACAGTACAAGCCATTGACATCCCTGTCCGGTCCGTCGGACAACATACCCGTACCGCTGCACGTACAAAATGCCGAAGGCCTCGATTACGAATGCGAACTGGTGATTGTGATCGGAAAGCCGGCCAGAGAAGTGCCCGAGTCCGAAGCACTTGACTATGTTTTCGGATATGCTGTCGGCAACGACGTTTCACATCGGGAATGGCAGTTCAAGCTTGGCGGCGGCCAATGGTCTCATGGAAAAGGATATGACGGCTGGGCGCCATTTGGGCCGGGCATTGCTTCTTCGAGCCTCATTAACGACCCGCAAGCGCTGCGGATAACCACCAAACTCAACGGCAAGACGGTACAAGACTCGTCGACAAAAGATCAAATCTTTAATGTAGCCAAGACCATTTCAACCTTGTCTAAAGGCACTACTTTATTGCCTGGCGATTTGATCTTTACCGGAACGTAAGTGCCTTTTTACCCTTTGTCCTTTTCTTCTTTTCCTCTTTATTTTTCCCTTTCCCTCTCCCTTATCCTTTATTTCATCTCTTTACTTTCACTTCCATGCTTTAATTATGTTTTTTTTGTCTGTATACGTACATTTGGGCACGAACAACACGGCTGACACCATTATCTCCTCATAAGACCACAAGGTGTTGGTATGGGCAGGAAACCTCCGGTTTGGCTCAAAGACGGCGACATTGTCGAGGTCAACCTTGAAGGTGTCGGAAGCTGCACCAACAAGGTCGAATTCGAGAAAACAAAGTCAAGGCTATAAGTATCGATTTCCGTCCCTCATGGATGAGGCTGGTTTCACATGTTTACAGCTACCTTATTCTGGGTATCATATTCTCCTACTTTGCAATTTTGAGCAACCGGCCGCCTAAATTGCCGGGGCTGGTTTGCTGTCCTAAGCATATTCATATACTTATCTCTCGAGAAGCAATTTATTACAATTTGTTTAAAAAATCATGTGGCCTATTAAACTGAAACTGCAAATGACGACAATTTGAATATCAAGAAACCGGTTACTGTTCTTAACACCTTGTCCGCAAATGCTTTGGCAGAGGGCCCTTGTTTTAGGAGCTTGAACGCCCAAATGGATGTTCCTTTTCTCAAACCCTATGCTACATGTCCAATCAACCAGAACATGGGGGCATTACGAGGCAGTCTACAATAGCCATGTCATGCAACTGTACTGAAATGATCTTCAATCTGAAAGGAAATGTAAATTGATATTTCATAAGGTGAAATGAAAATGAACAGCCGATAGGAGAAAAATTTGAAGCATCATGCAATAGGAGTGAGCTCTGAAGAGCTCCGCCAAGGGAAAAAGCTTCCCTAGTTTAAGAATCTACCGTAACCGGCCCATCAAATGTAAACAACTTTAATAGAATAAAAGAGACCAAGAACTTAGACTACCTGCGCACCATAGCCACGAATACGGTCAGCAAACGCCCAGCTCTGGTTCTCGAGCTTCTCATCCTCCTTGAGGTCAACACCTTCCTTTGTGATCACAGCTATCGAGTACTTGTCCAAACTGCGGGCGTCCCGGTAGAAGAGAACCTTCATGCACTTCTTGATCGCCTCCACTGCCGTCTCTTGCGTCAAGTTCTCTGCTGCCTTTTCATCCGGCACGTACTCTCGCAGGACAGGCTGAGCCAAGTGGGCACCGAATCCAGTCGCAAGCGAAGGGGACGAGTATCTTGTTCCCAAAAGGTCGACATAAGCCAGGAACGGCTTCTCTTCGCCATCGAGACCGGCAACTAGGATCGCGTTCCACAGCGGATTGAAATCAGAACGGCGCTTATACATGACTTTGGTGAGATACGTGTGCAGGTTCTGCGCGTTGAGGCGGTGGCCCTCCGGATAATAGTTCTCCTCAATGTCGAGCGAGTTAAGCAGGCGGTCGAGATACTGCATGTCCGAGACGTCGCCGCCGAAGCCGACGACCGTGGTGTCGTTGAAAGTTCGCAGACGCTTGACGTCGGTGAAGCGAGCGAGGGAGCCATATGATGCTGTTACGCAACGATAAGTTTGGATTAGCAAGTTGAGTCACTACGCTTTCCTTTGACGATGGATAGTGCAATCAAATTGTGGATGGATGTCTGATGTCGGCCCGAGAGCTCTCTGGGCTGTTCGCGATCTAGAGAAAGAAGACAGCGATAAAACGTACCCAAGTTATCTGCGGCAATGACCACACCGTCCTTGAATTTGATTGCGAGTACTGATGTTCCTGTTACTATCGGCGACTGGGTGTGCTGCTTCGGTCCGGTCATCTGGAGGTATGAATGATTGTAGGCGCCGTAAACATCATCTCGGGGCTATTGTTTTCAAATATCCATCATTAGCTGCCTGTTTAATGCAATGTAAATGAGTTCGTCGGAGACAGGCTCCGGAATGCATCGCTGCGCTGTGAAGGGCGGCGGAGTCGTCACCGATGAAGGATTGCAGGACTTACACGGCCCCAGGCCTGAGGGAAGTGGTTCATGATGTAGAGGAAATTGAGAGAATTATGGAAATAGCCGGAGGACTAAGAAAAAAATCGAATCGCAGTGAAAAGAAGATAAAAGGGGACGGGTTCGCGGAGAAATGGTTCTAAGAATCGCTGACGTTGGCTAAGCTCTCTTGCTGTTACCTAGAGCTTGAGGTTAAGCGTAAAGGGTAATAGGCGGTGCGCCGTAGACAAACGCAACAAGCGCGAATCACGTGGCAGACGTCAATAAGCAACAAAATGCGTAATTTATTCTTGGAGACAAAGGGAAATAGGTCCTTTTATTTGGTTTTGAAGAAATGGTGTTTTTATATATAAAAGAAATTATCGACTTTACAGAGGAAGATGCCCTGTTTTGTGCCCTAAAACGCCCCTTTGAGACAAGAAAACCCGCCAGCAGTAAACCGAGAAATGATCACCTGGATCTTGATCGTCTGCGCCGCGGCGACCTTGACCTGCTGCGATCTCTGCTTCTGTATCCTTCATATCGGCCTCCTCGCCTTTCAAGATCTTTTCGTTTTCGGCTGTCCTGGACCTGGGGAGAGCGGGTCCTTTCGCGGTCTAGTCCGGCCATTACTCTCTCTGCAGCGCTACCTCTCATACTTGGTCGACCGCTGCCCGTTGATCCTGGTGTTGCAACCCGACTAGAATCGCCCGAAGCAGCAGCTGGCACAAAATCGATAGCCTCCCTCTGCATTTTTGCCTTTTCTTCCTCTTTCCGTTTCAATACTTCTTGCTGGCTCTTCGCGAGCTCTTCCTTGTATGCCCATTCAGGAAATGCTTGCGGATCCCATATATCACTTGGTAGAGTAGTTGCGTATTGCGTCTGGTCATCGATTCCAGCAAAAGATCTCAATTTCTGCAAGAGGCTCGGGTTCTTCAGCGCCGATGATTTGGAGAGCTTGTCGTTAAAATGGACGCCTTCTCTCTTTAATTGAAGGAAATGCGCAAATTTTGCTGTTGTCCGTGGCGGCGGTGATCCAGGGGGCGAAGGAGGAATATCGAGGTTTGGTACAGTAGGTAATGTTAGGTCGCGCAACAGTGATCGATTTGCGCTGTACGGAGACTGCGGCCTTGATTCTGCCCCGTCCATCGGAGGCGGTGATGCCGGCGGTCCAGTTGGCCCAACCATTGGTCCTTCAACTGCTGATTCTTCTTGAATGGATGTGGAAGCGGGCTCCGTCGGTGGTGCTGATGATATTGATTCCGCAGCCGCAGGATCCTTCTGTTCTGTAGAGAAAGTAGTTAGTATCAAAGTGGAAGTATCTCCAATTCCAATAAAAGGTACGCACCTATTGTAGAAAAATTATCCTTTTTCACTATCTCAGGAGCTGGTCCTTCTGCCTTCCGTCTGTAACGTTAGCTTCTCATTGATCCCACTACTGTGTTGGTGCTCTTGTTTCTGCCGATGCGACTTACTGCTTCGCCCTTTTGTGGCTTCACTTGCTGAGCTGGAGACTTGCCAACATCTTCTTCGTCGCTGCTCTCGTAAGCACCGAGCCCAAGCATTATCTGGCTCACGCTTTAAACAGCTTTCCAAGACGGTCAATTGAGTACAGGGATTTTGGTAATTTATTGGAGAACCAGCGTCGGGAGTTTAGGTGGTAAATCGGCTGTATTATTGAAGCGCCTGGGAACTTTAGCGCCAAGGCAACCTTAGCCGCGGCGAGCTGCGCGTCAACCCTTTGGTGAGGTAACCGTAGACCATCTAACCATTAAGTTAGTCCCTACGAACTCTCCAGTTACTCCAAGCAACCTTTCCAGCCTTACATCCTCTTCCCACTTTTCTCCCGGGCTTCCATTCAAGCTCAAAATAGTCATCCGAAAAATGGCATCCGCATTCATGCAGCCCGGCTTCGGCGAAGCTCCAGGCTATTCATTTTCGCAAGCACCGACAGTAGCAGCTTCCGGCGCCCGAGAGCATAGCTTCTACCCGTAAGCCCTACCAACATTCTGCGTTATACCAGCTCAGTTCCATCATCGTTGCAGCCTATATAGGATTATTCCACATTTTCTAACACATCTTTTTCAAACAGGTACACAGACAACGGTGGATCAACGCTAGGTATCACTGGACAAGACTTCGCCATCTTGGCTGGCGACACTCGATCAACTTCTGGCTACAACATCAACACGCGATACGCCCCGAAAGTATTTCGGATCGGATCAGACGATGAGAGTGGCGCTGGCGGACACATTGTTCTGGCAGTCTGCGGATTTGCTGCTGACGGAGAGGCGCTGAAGGAGCGACTGGACGCTATGGTGAAGATGTACCGCTACCAACACGGCAAGCCAATGTCGGTCAAGGCATGTGCGCAGCGTCTTGCCACGATTCTATACCAGAAGCGATTTTTCCCTTACTATGTGCATGCCATTCTCGGCGGCTTGGACGAGGAGGGCAAGGGTGCTCTATACAGCTACGACCCCGTCGGATCGTACGAGCGGGAACAGTGCCGAGCGGCAGGTGCGGCCGCGAGCTTGATCATGCCCTTCTTGGACAATCAAGTCAACTTCAAGAACCAGTTTGTTCCGGGATCGGGCGTCGGCCATTTCCTTGAGGCGCGGGAACCGCTACCTCTGCCGAGAAAAGACGTCGAAGAGCTGGTGCGGGATGCATTCTCCAGCGCAGTGGAGAGACATATTGAAGTCGGTGATGGCTTGCAGATGATGGTCATTACCAAGGACGGTGTGGAGGAGATCTATCATCCATTGAAGCGGGATTAGAAGCGCGATATTCGGCTGAACACATTTCGTATCCTTTGTTCTCGCGGAAGATAGTATTTGTACTCAGGTTTATTAAGGGTTTATATTCAATGCATGATCACGTTTACTACGATTAAATGAAACTTCAACTTGTATGGAAGGAACGGAAGTGGAGCTGTATTTTTGTGAAGAAGAACGCCCTGCCTCATTTCATAGCTGTCGTAGAAAACGCCATCGATTCTGCTTGTATTATTTCCGTGATATGGTTGCCATGTGCAAGGGGGAAATAAAGAAGAAAGAGCCAAAGAATAAAACGCCGGCCATGCAAAGATCCTTGATGTGAAATGCCCAAAAACGAAGAACGAGCCGTGCCAACGCCGATCCGCCCAAAGCCCAAGCCGATGCATAAGTCAAACCTTTTATGATACAGTAATGCCAGCAATTAGGCAATATTACCTGCCATGCCTATGAAAAGAGCCTGCGCAGCTAATTGAAGAGACCATAGTCCTACCTTTTTGAAACGACGCATGCGAGCTTCTTGATCGACAACATCCCGAGCAAATGCTTCATATGTCTGGAGCTTGGATTAGCTGGAGTCTTAGAGCAATTTGAGACATTCGCGCTTACCTCAGCAGACAAATCGTCCATTAAACCGCTGTCGTAAATCGTCCAGCTTCCATCGAACTCGCTGGCCCTCTTTACTACCCGACAGTTGATTGGGATGAATGTGCGTCTTGAATTCATGTATGCGACAATTGGTCGAATAAGAGCATTGTTGATGTATGAGAGATCTCTGGTAAACAAAGGAACGCCCGCTCGAATGTCATTCAGATGGACTCTAAGGTCCATGACAAGGAATCTCTTCTCGTCATCCGCCTTCTGAGTGGTTGGCGAAGGCGCTTCTTCCGAGTCCTTTTCCTCGGAGGACTTAGTGTTTCTGATCCCTGTGTAGTCCGAAATATATCGATTGCTTGTGACGGTGGCTTCCATTCGATCGTAGAAATCGGACATAACTTTCGCGATACTTTCGTCAGTATCGGCTGGGAGCATGATGTCGGCAACAATATCAACATTGCCCTCGCGAATCCATGAAAATGGACCCTCAATACCGCGATTCAAATGATCAATGTTCAAACCATCAATTCGTAATCGACTATGCTTCTTCCAAGGATTTGGCGCTCCAGTAGCTTCCAGACCCTCTTTGAGCTGGGCCCCTGTTTGGCCGTGCGTTTGGCGTGGATGGATGGTGAATAAAGAGTCATCAAACGACCCTGACATCATATTTGCCGATAGAAAGTCGTAGAATAGCCATTGCTTTCTCAGCTGCGGAAGATCACAGGAGTAAATGCTGACGGAGAATGGACGGAAATCGCCTGGTTGGTAAACTGTGACGAGGAGATCCTCCATTTTGAAAGATTCGAGTTCAAAATCGCCAGGCAGATGTTCGTGTCTATAGCTTCTCGGATCGACATCCTCGTCTGACCAATAGACCGACCTACGGTCCACCACGCCGCGAACGCCTTTCACCTCCACGTTGCGTAGCAGTCCTTTTCCGTTGAACCACTTGGTAAAGGATAAGGTGACGTTGACATTTTCAATTGACAAGTCAAACTGAGTATAGTTATCATCCTCGTCCTCTTCAAGTCCAGTAGATGCGGCTTCTTCCTGGGTTTCATATTCTTTCGCCCTTTCAGCGGCTGCCGCTGCGGCAGCGCTTGCGGACGAACCCTTTGTTACTTTGGACTTTCCTAAACCAGGTCTTTTCGAAACGAAGACATTTTTGAGCGAAATCACACCATCCCCCCACTTAGGCACGATGGCAGATTCGAAGACAACCTTCACGCCAGATGATTTAGTAAGATAATTACCGATCCACCTTGTAAGAGTCTCTGGGTAAAACTGTCAGCACTGAAGTAAGCTGAGTAGTCAAGGAACCAACCTTGTGCAAATACAGTGTTGACTAAGAATATCACGAGAGAGAAGAATGTTGTGGTCCCAACAATAATCCAAATCATATGCCCCACCAAAACCCAGGAGAAAAATGCACTGATATCGTCCATATTAAAGGGCCGCACACTGCGGATGGAGAACCATTTAAATCGAACCTTTAATCGAGACCAGAACCCCGTTGCTGCTGCGAGAAGCTCTTCTTTCGAAGGCCGATGGATATTTGACACTTGGGGTAGACGTTCTAAAATATGTTTATTTTGTTGGGACGAAGTACCGGAAGAATGTTCAGTGGCTGTGCTCTCCTTCGATTGCGAGTTATGTGAGGATTCGCGAGGTTGAGTAGCATGTTTCTCTCCAGTCTCACCACTTTTTGTGGCCGAGCTCTTGTTTCGTCTCCCAACCGCATCGCTGCGGACTTTTGCCTTGCTGCGAACGCCATTTTTCAATATCAGATTCCAGGTCGTGCCAACTGTATGGCTTGTAGAAGGACGCTGTCGAAGGAGATGTGTGTGAGCTACGGCGGTAGCAACTCCAGGAACTGATTTAGCCGGTTGCGAACGAAAAGACGAAGCGGCCGTTGAGAAGAGTCGATGAGATGAGGTGTTGTTTGTATGATTCAGACCGGGGAAATTAAAATTGGTCTTAATGCGAGTTGTTGGTATCACTGGACGAGACACAGAAGCTGCTGGAGATAGAATGCACTGTAGAGTGAGCGGACTTGCTCGTGTGGCTTTGTATAGAGGGCTAGCTGAAGCCCAGAGCTGAGCACATATCCTGCTTCGTACATCGCCAGTCATGATCCTGAAAACATGATCATCAGACCTACTTCAATGCACTGGTCTGAAAGGTTTGCGAGCAATATTGGGTGCGATTCAAGTGAGTTCGGTCGCTCGCATGCAACAAGAAACCTCTGGGGACTCCAGGATAGTAATGACGAGAGCAGAATTTCCGGGCTAAAGGCTGGAAGCTACAGAGTTACCGAAGACTCGCACGCGTTTTTGCGGAGCTAACCTTGTACCTCTTCTCGTGTCTTCGCTTCCCGCGTCCGTCCGCATTCTAAGGTAGCCAGCTATAGTGTCTCGGCTGATTGTCCAATCAGATAAGACCAGTCAACAAAACACTAAAGAAAAGTCGGTGATTATCGACCTTGAGGGGAACCTGATAGCAGAAAGAAACTCTGGCTTCGGTGACTTTTTCTGCCCTCACTATACGACTCTGCTGCTCCCTGTTCAGCGTCTTTCGAACGACACCCACACCTTGAAAGAGAGAAAATTGCGACGAATTCGTGTTCTCAGACGAAAATCGAAACGTGAAAATGCCCGCTCCTACCGCTTTATTACGACGGCCGGGCGAACTGGCCGCAGAAGAAACTATCCCAGTCCCGGGTCAAGGTAATGGCTAATCGGCTTTGCTAAGAGAAAGGAATAGTGAGCACTGACTTGGTTGAACAGTTGACGAGGAACTTTTACTGGATGGCGGCGCAGGCGTTGCTGAGCCTGCCAATATCGGCACAGGACTGCCAGCTCAAAATCAATCAGAGGACACAGAGATGCATATTGACGAGGAGGGGCGACCGCAATTTGCGCCGGCGAAGAATACCGATGGACCCTTCCGAGCTGAGACTCGCAAGGTCCCCATTCCTCCCCACCGTATGTCGCCGCTCAAGTCGTGCTGGACGAAGGTCTATCCTCCTCTGGTCGAGCACTTGAAACTACAAGTACGAATGAATATGAAGAACAAGGCGGTCGAGCTACGCTCGTCAAAGCACACTGATGACCCTGGTGCGCTTCAGAAAGGAGCAGACTTCATCAAAGCGTTCAGTCTGGGTTTTGACGTTGATGATGCCATTGCCCTTCTGCGATTGGATGACCTGTATATCGAGACTTTTGAGATCAAGGACGTCAAGACTTTGAACGGCGAACATCTATCGCGTGCTATTGGCCGTATTGCTGGAAAGGATGGAAAGACAAAATTCGCCATTGAAAACGCCAGTCGGACAAGAGTTGTCCTTGCCGACCAAAAGATTCATATCCTCGGCGGCTTCAAGAATATTCATATTGCCAGAGAGGCTATTGTTAGCCTGATTTTGGGAAGCCCTCCGGTATGTGCACGCCCGAAATTTTTCAATATTTTTACCTGCCGCATGCTAATTCATTCTTTAGGGCAAGGTTTATGGCAACCTGAGGACCGTCGCCTCTCGTATGAAGGAAAGATTCTAAGTGGATTGTTTGAACGTGTCACAAAACTGCATTTAAATAAGGAGTACGGGGTTATCGGCGCTTAGGGAGAAAGATTCTGTCCTCGGAGATTCGACAAACAGTTTCCTATTCGACATATATCTGAGCGTTCCGCCTATACAATGGTCTGTGGATATTTACGTCTTGGTATTTTGGGTGAAATGGTTTACTGTCTGATCAAGAGAGTCTACCACCTGGCTTCCAAGTCAAAAGCTATATTCCATGATTAGCACCTCTTCGAACGTATGATGATGTAAATATTAAGTATTTCAGCATTAGCTTGATGAACTATGCGCAGTGGTATTTTTGCGAGAGATGTGAGTCGTGTAATCCGTCAGGTCAGTTCGTCTTTTGCTTGACCGAGCGCCACTCCATTGCCAGAGATCCGATGAGTGTGAGACATGTCAAGGCTAGCGGAAGATAGAATGTTTGTGTTATAGACTTGTCGTAGCCTTCCAGGACGCTGACAATCTCCTCCTTACTGATGTATTTACTTAAATCTGAAAGACCCATGGAATCCAGCGCGGTAGCATTTAATGGAGGGTTGACGTTCTCCAACGCCGAGGCTAGACGACTGGTAAAAATTGTCTGAGCTAGGGGAACAGAGAGTGCCGGTCCTAAGGCTTGGGCAAACACGACGACAGCAATGCCCATCGGCACATCGCTCTGTGCAAGAATCGTCTGTGCAGCTATTTGGGGAGCTTGGAATCCTAAAGCTCCACCGAATCCCAAAAGCAGTTGATACCCTATAGAATCCGCCGGAGGGGCATTGATTTTGAGTGTTGTGAAAAGGCCCGCAGAGATGGGAGTTAGCAAGCTCGTAGCGATCATAAACGGAGTGTAAAATCCAGTAAGGGAGACTCCTGATCCACCAAGCACAAAGGCAACCATTGAAGCACCAATCATTGGAATGGTCATAATGCCGGATTTAGCAGCAGAGACTCGTTTGACGGCCTGGAAGTATATCGGCAACTGGGTTGAGTAGTTAGCAACTTACTTTTGGGAAAATGAGCCCGTTTGACCTACATAGAAATAAAATACGTTCAATGCAGCATTGTTGAAGAAGCTGAACCACATGCCCGCGAGTATGCTTCTCCTGAGGATGATCCGCGGGGGTAAGATGGCTCTGTCCTGTCGTCGCTTCTGTAACCAAGCGAACGCGCCCAACAGTATTGCGAAGATGACAAAAAGGCAAATAATACGAACATCTGTCCAGCCATACTTTGTACCACCCCATTGAAGAGCCAGTAACAAGCAAACAACAGACGGTACGAAAATGGCTGAGCTTAAGAGATCTAATCTTGATACCTTTTCCTTCAATGGAAGCGACGTATCGGCGTTTACGCGGGGATTGTCGAAAAAGATGAGCACAAAGAGAAAAGTAATCGCTCCCATGGGAAGAATGATGTAGAAACACCAGCGCCAAGACAGCTTTTCTGTGAGCACACCACCAACGAGTGGCCCTGCAATGTCCGAAATCATCTCGATGGCGGCGAAGGACGCAGCATAGAATGATCGTGTCCGAAGAGGAATTGTTTGAGCAAGAATTCTGTGTGGTGTCAATCGTTATGTCATAGAAGAGAAGTCTTATGCCTTCTTTTTGGCATTTTCCGTCGTCAAAAGTAACATAAGGGCATACTTTCTACACCAAAGTATGGCCCATGGGGTTGTAACTTACGTGAAAACGCCAGAGATTATACCCGCAGCCCCGAGACCCGATATCACACGCCCAAAAATCAAAGCTGCCGAAGTCGGCGCAATGCCGCAGAGCAGAGAACCAAGTTCGAAAATACAAACAGCGATGAGGAAGACTTTCTTGATCGAGAAGACCGTATATAGCTTCCCAAACATGAATTGGAATGAGCAGGACGTCAACCGGCTCGAGAAAAGTCAGGGAAAGGCCGGTATAGATACTCAATATTCTGTGCGATACTTACTATCCAGAGCTATACCAGCCCACATCAGCAATTGTTTTGAAGTGATTTGTTATGCTCGGTATAGCCGTGGCAATAACAGCGGTATCCTACAACAATTAAATTTCCAACTTGATCAATAAGCTTTTCATGGGCGGAATCGGCTCACTAAGGATGTAAGGATGAGACTGAGTCCTAATGCGAGCAGGATAGACAGTAATTTGACGCCTGTCGGATATACCCTCTCTTCATTCTGTGACGATTCCTCTACCTCAAGCGGCTCGAGACGAGGTGGACTGCTTTGTGTGTTGGTGTCTGCATGCTGAGAAGGATTGACAGGCTCCACGATGTTGGAAGCTTCTGCACCTGTGGATTTGATCGTCTCAACTTGAGCCATTGCTGAGGAGATCCTCGTTGCTGTGTGACCTGTAGGGATCTAGGAGGTCAAGTATGGTTCAAGATGTATAGGTGGGCTAGGCAGCCATCATCTCTAGTGTATATCGCCATCGACTCCGCATTTCCCGTCTTTATCAGCTGGGCTAATCATAACAGTAGAGATCTCCTCTTCTCTAAATGTCTTGTTTGGAAGTGACGGCAGGTTGGGCAAAAAATCTTATCCGAGCATAGTCTCGCCTGATAAATCCCAACGTGCTCAATCCTGGACGTTCTCCAACTTAGCCAAAATGTCAATTAATCAAATGTCAATTCCACGTGTTGTAGTTCGTCCGTCAACTTGTGGGCGTATCTTAGGGTGTTGCCTATCCAGACTCGGTGCGAGTATATACCGAATTATAGCCAACATAGTTAGGACGGAACCCACCAGGCCACTAAACCTCCCGCTGACGCAACATCAGCCGCTGTTGACAGCAGCCACAATATGTCCTTAAATTGAAAGAGTCAACCAACAGAAAAGCATCCATCTTCAGCATTTGTGACATTGAACGCCATCTGATCAGATTTTAAAATATGCCGTCCTTCATCAAACAGGCCGCCGAGGCTGGCTTCGCCAATGCATCAAGCTATGATCTTCATCGGCCATCTTATCCTGCAGAGGCGGTAGATAAGCTGCTTGGCGCGCTCGGCCTCATTGGCGCGAATGGCGCCAAGGTCTTGGACCTTGCAGCTGGCACTGGGAAATTTACAGAGCTCCTCGCTCGTAGACCAGAAGCATATGAAATCACAGCCGTGGAGCCACATGCTGGCATGCTCCAGGAATTGGACAAAAAAGCACTGAAAGGCGTCGTGACCAAGTCTGGAACGGCAACAAGCATCCCGTTGGAAGATGAAAGCGTAGATGCCATTATCATTGCACAGGTATGATCAAGTACGATCTTTTTGTTTGCTTTTCAATCAACATTGTAAACATTTCCTTTTCTCTTGTGAAACTACAGGTCTTGACTTTGACCAAAGAAGGCTAATGACGATGCTAAAAAATTATAGGCATTTCACTGGTGTGTAGAGCGAATATAAACTCAATTCGAGTTGTGTTTCAATGGAGCTGTTTTGCTAATTGACTGGCCTCAAGGTTCGCAACCCAAGAAACTCTGCGGGAGCTTCACCGCGTGTTGAAGCCCACCGGTGTTCTTGGGCTTATTTGGAATGTTGAGGATTGTAAGTAACTCTCTTTCATCTGAACTCATGCGCATTTCTCCCTCAGTTGTCCATGAGCACAGATCTGACCGGACTAGACAATGCACCCAAGTCGTGGAAGCCAACCACTTTATGGGAATCCAAAGTCAAGAATCTCATGTGGTCATTTGATGACCATAATCCTCGATTCCGTCATGAAGGCTGGAAGAAGGTCTTTGAGGATCAAGTGAAGAGCAGTCCTCTGACAATCCAAACCGTCGATCCATTGTTTTCTCTTCCACTCGGCGAAGAGAGCGTGCCCTTTGAGCGTTGGCTCAGCAAGCAAGGCGTGTGGGATCGATACAATACGTTGAGCCAGATTGCTATACTTGAAGGAGAAGACAGAGAGGTAACGTGATCAAATTGCAAGCTAGCATAAACTGTTGCTGATGATTTTATTTCATGCAGAGAGTTAAGAAGACAGTCTTTGACGCCCTAGACGGAGACGAAGTTGAGAAGAACGCAAATGGAGATGTTGCAATCCACGGAAGCACTTTCCTTGCATGGACTACAAGTATCCCCACAGACACTCTTGGTCAATGACTTAATCCTGACCAAGGCTGCGACCCTAACGAAATCTGTCAGCACTGAGCTTGATAGATGAGGGATTCCCCTGGACTTGGCATTTTCTATTTCCTTTTAATTATTTGAATTCGGGAACTGACCGAGACGAGATACGTCTAGATTGAACAGGTCATGGAGGATTGGAAACCGCTTTTGATTTCAGCAATTGACAGAGCAAGACATATTGCCGCGAGCAACACATTGCCCTTGTCAGTGGACACAGAGCATCGTAAATTTGGTTTACAACCATATATAAGCTGGAATAGCAGACCTTCGACTCTTCATTGTCCGCAAATAGTTTTTCTCAGTTCCCAGGACTGTCTGATGTCAGGCTTCGCTTTTGTTGAAAAGTTCCATGTATAATAATTTGCTTGATTTCCATCTGTTTAAACGTGTAGAAAGATCTATGGTATTTGATTCCCGTGTCCTTAATGCCTCCACACAATAAAGTTGGCATCAGTGGCACAGAACGCTTGAACAATTCTTTTCATAACTGCAATCTCGAAAGCGATATCTTCGATCAACCACTCGACGATTCCACTTGCGCCACTGTTCGAGGACAAACTCTCAAACGGTGAAAATGAAATGCGACGAACACTTGTGCAGTTTTACGGACCCAGAACGCCATCAATAACCGCCGAGTGGGCTCGTCGTCGTGTCTCCGAATAAGACGTATAAAAGGGTGTGCGCCGATGCGCCGCAGCCGATCATGAGTCGGAGCTGATGTACATCACTACAAAAGGATGGTCAGCATACAGTATCGTAAGTGCTTGATCTGCTCCGTCTGCTGTCCATACCGTTGTTCCCTCTCACGAAAGCATCGCCATATGTTCTTCGTCGTTGACCGTTGACGTATTCCTCGGTTTTCTCAAGCGCAATGTTCATATAACCGTCCACGGATTGCAGTTCACCTTATTCACAAAGTCAGTCGAATGGTCTCCCGTTCTGCTGAGTTCAATAAATCATACCCTTGTAGACGACACCCGAGTTCAGCTTGACTGTAACAGGCGCACCGATGATTTCGCTGAGGAAGCCAGAAGGGTCCTTGCCCTCAGAAGCCGCGCCGTTCTCCATTTCCAAATAGTGTTTCTTTGTTTGCGCGGGTCGGAATGAGGACAAAGACTAGAGTTTTCCTGTGTGTAGTGGGGGATGAAGTGTAACTTGCTCCGATTGCCTTGATGTTTGTCGGCCCCGATGTCCACCGCTTTCGCCAAAGCTCGGGCCACTAGCTTAATATACACACTGTCAGCCAATATGATTTACTCTTGTTGAAGCGCAATTCTGCATTCACCTCCAATGCGCTCGTTGCCTCGCTATAAAACAAAGTTCAAATAATTCTTTTTCTGATTGAGCTTACTTTAATCTTTATATCTCTCCTCCGACATGTCTGGCAACCCCGCCGGGGAAGACCAGCCTAAGACGGCCCCGCCGAAGCGCAGCTTGTTCAACAAACCCTCCTGGGCAGCACCCCGCAACACTGGAGAAAATGTCGATTTTTTCCGCCGTGCAAATTTCGCATATAATGATATAGTGGCAGAGGAGGAGGAGGAGCTAAAACGGAAAATTGCGCAACGCGCCAAGGAGCAGGCCGCACAGGATAAAGCGAATGTTGCGTCAAAGGACGGGAAGCGGCGGCGCATCTCAAACCAAGACGAGGATAATGACGAGAACACTACGGCGGGCAACGAAGAACGAGCTAAACATGACACATCTGCCCCCTCAGATAAATCGTAGGTCCTAGTAATACCGAGATTTGATTCCCATGGAGACACATGCATACTAACGCTACTCATCGCCGTCCAGAATATCTCCAATCACGCAAGACTCTAGACCACTGCCCGAATCTTATGATTCTTCGAAAGAACCTTTACATACAAGAAGCAGCAATTCAGTACTGGGAGCAAGGGAATCTCGACCAGAGCGTGCGTCACGGAACATAATCAGCCTCGATGAGGACGACGATGAGCCCATTAGGCCTATAAACCCCCCGAGTATCGAGGACGACGATGATGACCTTGCTATTGTGCGCCCACCTCCCCGTCAAATAGAAGCAGATCAGGAACAACTGTCAGACGAAGAATTCCCGGAGCTTGCACGAAAAGCTCGAGAAAAAGAGCGAGCCAGGCTCGAGCAACTAGAGCGAAGATCAGAGAGCCAGGCCACCCCCGAACCTAGATCCCAGAGTATAACACGCCCGGCTTCAACCCAGGTTGAAAGTGCTTCACCACCTGCCCCGGATCCAGTGGTTCAGATTCTAATAACGTCTCCAATTCCTCATACCACTCCGCTCATTGCGACTCGCAAGCTCTCTCAGCGGCTCAAGGACGTTCGTCTGGCGTGGTGTGAGCGCCAAGGCTTTGACCCAGACACGGCAACTTTGGTCTTCTTGACGTGGCGAGAGAAGCGAATCTTTGATGTTACGACGTGTAAAAGCCTAGGATTTGGGCTGAATAACGAAGGGAATGTTGTTCTCAAAGGAGAAAACAATGCATTTGGCGGCGAATTCGGGAGGATACATATGGAGGCCGTGACAGAAGAGATTTTTAAGGAGCAGAAGAAGAATAAGGCAGCAGGATACGGAGACCAAGCCAATGCAGAGGATGAGCTTGAAGAGCAGTTTGTTCCAGAGCAGCCCGCAATCGAGACAATCAAAATTGTTCTCAAGAGCAAGGAATTTGATGAATTGAAGCTCAAAGTCAAGCCGGTGAGTAATCTCTGCGACTCGGTCTTTCCCATAAGAAAAAAAAATACTGACAAAGGCTTAGACAACGCAAATGTCCCGTCTTATAAATGCTTTCAGGCACACCAACAATATTCCGCAAGAGACGGGTGTCCATTTGGTATTTGATGGAGACCGGCTCGAGCCAGACATGGAGGTTCAAGAGACGGAGATCAGCGACATGGATTATATCGACGTGTTTTTGAAATGATGTCAACTTACCATGCATAATGAATAACGACTAAAAGATTTTGCTTGAGATTCATGATTTCTTGCGATCCAGCGCCCCATTACATCTTTAGTTGAATGCTAATCAGTATTAAAGCGCTAGCATTCAAGAATCAAAATAATCTATAGTTTCAGTATCCAACTTCTCAAATATAATACCTTTGGATATAATCTAATACTACTATATTTACTGTCTTGTCTACTCGCTGTCATGAACCCCACGCTTATATAATCACCAGGCGCGACACAGCGCTAGGAAAATAAGCTTTCAAGCCGCATCCTCCCCACGCAGCCTGGCAGTTTTTGCCGAAATCGCAAAAGTCGAAAAAGTTGCAGCACAACTTAAACCTTGAACAGTGGTTTCCTGAGCTCAAAAAGTCCACCTCCTCACCCCCTCACATCAAATTTGCAATCCCAAGTCCGAACATCCAAATATCCAAATATCATGAAGGTCCTCACAGTCAACTTTCTCACCTGCGCGGTGAAAACCTGCAAGACCTCGCCCGAAGCGTTCCCGCTGCACTTTCGCGACGCGGAGCTCGCGCAGCAAGATCTCGAATTCAACCCCGAATTCATCAAAAACATGCTGCTGCGATTAGACTGGAACGCTTTCCGCGTGACTACTTCAGAGGTGGGTCATTTTTTTTCGTTTGTGGCAGAGACCAAGTCTGCACGAAGTCTGCATACACTCTTATTTCTGCGTCCTTGGTCCAACACATTTCACATTTCTCATAAAAAAAGCTTTGTTGGAAAGATTGGAGGACAAAAGGGAAGAAGCAAACGTAATTGACATGATACAAATAGCTCGGATTCTCTACGATCCCCGCCGAGAAACCCGAAGGCGACGCGCTCAACGACGAGACCCTGCTGCGCGACCTGCACAAGGTGCTGCTCGAAACGCAAGTCATGGAAGGGAAACTCGTGTGCGGCCACTGTGCGCATGAATACGCTATCAAGGAAGGCATTGCCAATTTCTTGTTGCCGAACCACTTGGGTGAGTCTCCGCTTAGGATTTCGTATCTATGGTGTTCCCTTTTATACATACTGCTGTTATACCTATTGTTTACTGCATTGTATACTGCATTGTATACGCATATACGCCATTCTCGCATATATCGAAACCAAAAACATTGACTAACTTGAGTACTAGTATGAACAACAACCACTCTATCGACTATTAAACCCCTCTTTCTTTCTCCCATACAGAAGCATAAAGCATGTCTACATACCCCGCATCACCATCGCATCGGCAATACTCTCAGACCAAATCGACTGCCTCAAACGACAGCGACATTGCCAGAAATTCTAAGAATTTCAACCACGAAAGTAGCTGAACAGCCAAGTCCACTACACGTCTCACTCACGTCAACAATCTGCGACTTTCGTCTTTTCTGGTCTTCTTACTCTTCTTCTTACTCTTCTTCGTACTCAATCACTGCACTTGCACTTTTATTCGTCCGTGCAGTGCCAGAGAGACCACATTTACCAGCGGAATGACCATTGTCTGGTCCACACGTTACTGACGTTCTTACCTTCTCACCTGCATTTCCTTTCCCTCTCCCTCTCCCTGTCTCTCGGTCTCCCTTTGTCTCTCTCTCTGTCTCGCGGTCTCTCTGTCCATCAACTACTCAAATCCAAGCATGCTAGCCCTTTTTATGCTTAGGAACCTCGAGTAGTCGAGGAGTCGAGGAGTCGAGGAGTCGAGGAGTCGAGGACTATACATTAAGCATATTAGGCGTTTCAACTTTTGTTTTCCCCTTTGTCTCATCTCATTTACTTATCATATCTTATACGTCCCGTTTCACCTCGAAAAAACTCGTTTTTCGTCACTTTGTCATCATGATACCTGAATCCCTGAATACCTGAATACCTGAATACCTGAATACCTGAATACCTGAATACCTGAACCTTTGCCCTACCTTTTAAGTCATGTACACTATGTATGCTTTTTTCCTCCCCATATACATTAGAATTTACCTATCTCAATTTAAAAAAAAAAAGTTGCTCGAAGTATATCATCTTCATTCATTTTTTTTTTTCTTCCCTCTACGATCATGAGAGATACCCTAAGCATGAAATAAACCTAGGTAATAAACGTAGGGATCAACCTAATAAACGTTGAGATGAATATAAGAGCTAGACAAAGACATACAAAAAAAGGGGGATGAAAGGGAACACTGAAAGTAGACATACATAAAGAAAGGGGATGAAAGGAAAAGGGAACACGGAAAGAAGACATGAAAGAAAAAGAAGCAAGATGAACATACAACTACAACTACTGTACATTTATATAATACTTTCAAAGTGTCAAGTTTCAAGTTTCAAAATTTCAAAGTTTCGCCGCGCCTGTATTATCCCTCGCCTCTCCCGAGAATTTTGTGTGTATGTGTGTCTGTGTGTGTGATAAAAAAAGTAACCCTAGTACTACGGTAGTAAAAGCCAAGCCGGTGTAAAAGCCAAGCAGGTAAAAACATTCGATTCAAACCTCGGACAGATCATCAAGATCTCGAAGAAGAGAAAGGAAAGGAACAGAGAGGAAAAGAAAGAGAAGAAAGAGGTGAGAGCAGGGGATGAAAGAAAAGAAAGGAAAGAAAAGAAAAGAAAAGAAAAGAAAGGATAAGAACAGAACAGAAAATAAAAAAGCGAGAGAAGGGGATGAAAGAAAAGGAAATAAAAAAGCAAGACAAGTGGGATGAAATATAGGATGGAATGGAATATCAAGTAGGGCGGGGAGTCACAAGGAGGACGAGATTAATAGAGAAACATTAAAGGTAACACGGGACAAGGAAATAACATAGAGTTGGGTAAACTATCAGACATTCAAAAACGCCGTACATGCAGATTTAGTAAGTTTACTATAAACTTGACATTTGGAGCGAGGATACAGAAGAGCAGCAAAGAGATTTTAAGGAAGGAAGGAATTGAGGGAGGGAGGGAGAGAGAGGGGAAAAGGTACGAAGACAGTGGAAGAGAGACGAGAGAGAGGAGAGAAAAAGGGAAGACAAAAAGAAGCGCGCGGGGGCAAATGTGAGCGACAAGCAGCTAATTGAGGAAGCCTTTACAGCCAGAAGAGCCACACAAGCAAGGAATACGATCGTCGCTGTCGAATTCACGCTCGAATTTGTAATCGTACGTGAGTTCTTCGTCTGTTGGATTCAGTTAGCGGGAATAGTTCACAGAGTGCTTGAGAAAGAAACAGGGAAGTCTGTAGGTTTGAGAGTATCGAAGCCGTATAAGATGTAAAGTGAAGTATATTGACAGTGAAGTATAATGACCGTGAAGAATAATGACTAGCACTTACTTTGAGCAATGTCCCGAAGGGCATAAATGACGATCCGCTTGCTTCCTTCGACCTTGATAATCTTTGCCGTGCAGTTTGGCGTGCAACTGTGGTTGATGAATCGGGCAATGCCTCCACGCTTGGTCGCGTCGATGACGGTGGTTTCATCAATTCGGAACAAGTAGCTGCTTCCAATGCCGCTCTTGAGATATCGTCTCTCGCGCATATCTGCCACCTGCTGTCGGACCTTTTCGCCCACGTATTCGATAATCATGTCGTTGGCAGAGATATTCTCCATGGCGTACAGACCCCAGTTGTGGATGGCGGAGCGGGCAAACTTGACCGGCTTCTTTCTCTTCTTGAGCTGGTTGAACCGAAGCACGTCCGCATCACCGCTAATGACTTGCTTCTGAGCGTTAATGTCGGCGACGAGGCGGCGGTTGTTCGCACGGTTAGAGCGCGATGATGAGCCGGAGATGCTCTTGGCAGCAGCAAGCTTGGCTGCGTCCACGACCGACTGTGTCTCGTTCTTGGCTTGCGCTTCGCGTTCCTCTCTGGCCTTTTGCACGCGGATGCGGTGCGGCAGGTATTTGGACTTTTCAGACTCCAAAATCTTCTTTGTGCCTTCTGTCCGTGCCGAGCCTGAAGCGTTCGGGACATAGTATCCTTCAATCATTGTCTTGCTCCGCACTGGTCCGCGCTCGCCGCCCCGGTTGAGAGCCTTAATCTCCTTTTGTTTCCATGCCCAAGCGGCCGCGTGGCCCAAGTCAGCCTCTGGCTCGTCCTTGAGCACGTCTTGAAGGAAGTGGAGATCTTCATTGTCCTTGATGAGATGTTGCCATCCATCCAGGTCGAGGATAATACTCTCGTCATCCTCCACGGTTCGCCTGGGTACATCTGAAGATACGCCCCATTCCACCTCCGCCCTCGGAGGTTCAACCTCGGCTTCTGGCTCAATCTCCTCCTCTGGCTGCGGCTCCTCCTCGATTTCCTCGGCAGGTTGCTCCTCTTGAATATCTTCGAGCAGCGCTCTCTCTTGTGCCTTTTTGAGTTCCCGTTCCTCAAACAACTGCTTCTTCGACTTCTTCTTTGGCTTCGCGCCCTTCTTCTTCGGTTTTGTCTTGGCCGTGGCCTCTGTCGCGTCAGGTAGTTCGCCGAGATCTTCCACCGGAGTTTCGGCTTCGGCCTTGACTTCCTGCTCCTCTCCAGGTACTTCAATCTCGATATTGATGGGCGCGGCTTCAAATGTCTCAATGTCCTCCCTCTCAATACCAAACAACTTATCATCCTCTCTCTGTTTCTTTCGTGCCTCCAGTTCCTTGAGTAACCGTTTTCTCTTCTTGGAACTCAACGGCAGCATGTTCGCTTCGCGAGCAAGCTCTTCTATACTAGCATCCACCGTCTCATCCCTGTAGGCATCAGAGTGGATAAATGTCGTAGCTTGGCCGTCTTCGCCTTCATCTTCACCGCCCCATCGAGATTCCAAGTCTTCTTCTGTGCGGTCTTTGACCGGTACTTTGGCGTTTTCGTCTTCTGACTCGGCACTGGTGGTGCTCATCCTGCTAAGAGGCCTGCTCTCCTGCTCTTCAGTATCTCTCGTCATTGGCGTCCTTTGCTCATCTTCCGAGTCCTCCTCATCGTAGAATTGATGAAGCCGGTGGTGAAGAGGTCGAATATCAGCCTTTCTAGGCACAGGCCGTTTTCGCCGCTCGTCGGCAAAGCCCACAATGCCTTGCTTTGTGCCAGCACCCTTCCTGATTCGAGGCAGTGCCGTGATGTTAAGGGTCGAGGAGCCAAGCGGCCGGCGTTGGCCTGCTGCCATCGGATCGGCCCGCGAATCTGGCGTACCAGCCAGAGGACTCTCATCGGTTCGCTCAATGTGAATCGTGGGCCGCCGGGTGTCATACGGATCAGAAATTCCCAGCCTGCGTCTTTTGTCGACGTGTCGGTCGGGATCGAGGTAGTTGAAGAGTGCCGGCCCAGCGATGCGAGACTTGATGTCGCTCAGAAGCTTCTCAATGAGTTCTCGTCTCACAATGTCGGCAGCCTCTCGCACAGGGTCTAAATCGCTCGCTCTTTGCTTCTTTTGGATTTCAATCTCTTGCTCATATTCCACCCTGCGCCGTTCTCGCTCGGCCTTGTCGCGTTTCTCCGCTTCCACCTGGCCAGGACTCGGGCTGCGTTCGTAGCTGGGATTGCCATATTGCTGACATTCCATATTCATGATATATGTAAAAAGTGGCGTCATATGACACGCCTTGTAGCATCGCAAGGCCTCGTCCTCACCACGTCGGGAGTTGTCAAAAATGACATAGTACCCTGTTTTATCCAATCGGACCTCCTTCCAATCGAAAGCCTTCAAACGCTTCTTAAGGTGCGAGACCGTTGTGCTAAGAACCGGGACATAGCAATGGGCGATGAAGATGTAAGGCTCCCGCTTTAGCTGGTTCAGGATCGGGCTTTCCTCCACTAGAGATGGAAATCCTGGCCGGCTGGTATTCTTTGGGCCTTCGGGAATCTTTGGTGCGACCTTGACTGAGGGGCCCTTGGGTGCGGTTGGGGGCGGCGCAGAGTTCGGGACGGTTTGCGGAGGCGTCTCTTTTTCTTCCGGCTTCTTCTCTTCACCTCTTAATCGATGGAGCACCGCCTCGACGGCGCGTCTACATCGCCGACCTTCTCGATCTCTCTCAACCCGCACAGTGTACGTCCCAATGCGCTGGCCAGTGCCCCCTTTCTCCGCCCTTCTCGCAGCATCAATGGCAAGCTGGGGCGCCGCGCCGCGCACTATCCTGTCCTTGTACCGGATCGAGCATACGCCCAAGAGACTTCCACTTATTGGGTCGGTCTTGTTACTCGTTTCAGCAATCTCGCCGAAGCTCGAAAACAGTGCATTGATGTGTGAGACGGGCGTCAGCGGATTGAAACCAGTAACGACTACCTGTGTGGGGGGGCCTGGGCCGACAGATGTGGCAGAGTCAAACGGAAAGGCTTTCAGGATATAAGGCGCGGTTCTGAGTTTGCATTTAGGCTTGTTGGCTGCGCCTTTGGTATAGTGAGGAATTGCTAATCGGGGGTCTTTGGGAGGTAGATCATCGTCCTAGAAAGTCCGTTAGTTGGTAAATCTTCGGCAACCCGCTTGCCTGAATGTAGAGGTGCTGGCAGCGAGAAAAGGTAGAGAGTTCTCATTTGGGGGTCAAATGGTGGCAATCATACCTCTTCACCAAACTCTCGATATACTGCTTTTAATTTTCGCTTCTGCTTCGAATTGAGCTTCGGGTCAAGCTCAGGATCATATGTGGCTATGGATCCTTTGACACCAGCAGGCCGGGCAGAGAGGCGCGACTCAAGTGGGGTGTGCGCTGGTGTCATTGCATTTGCGACCATTGCGTCAGAGTCGGGCAATGGCTCAACAAAGCCAGGAGAGCCATCCGTAGGGGTATGGCCATAGGTGGATTTGAATTGAGGAGAGCTCGGCGCTTTTCCGGGGGGAGAGGACTCGGTGTTTGTTAGAGGTGTGAGATTATGAAGGTTAGAAATTGCGCCGGCATTGGAAATGATTGAGAGTTGATTATTCGCGCTGAAGACAGAAGACACGGTGCTTGCGTGAGAGCTCGCGGAGCCTACTCCGTTCAAAAGGTCTCCTGGCACGGATTCACTGTCCTCTTGGCCCGTCACGGCCTGTTCGATAATTGAACCGCTCGTGACACCGCCGGGGCGGGAGATTTGTGAATCTTCAGACCCTGACGGGCGGACTATGACCCCGGCAGAGACGCTCGTGGCAGAGAGAATATCGGTTGGTTTGCCCCGCGCTCGTTGTCGTTCCTCTGCAGCTCTTTTTGCAGCTTTGGGGGCTGCGGGAAAGAAGTCGGCGAACGACATATTGAAGACGGTCCTAGCCTGACCTGGTCATCTCCAATCCAGCCCCTCATCGATTGTTTTTTCGCTCAGCGAAAGACTTTTCAAACATAGGGACGCCAACTGATTCAAAGCGTGGGATGCGTCAGTCAGGGCGACACGGTTGTAGTTGGTAGCGGTGGCCGCTGCAACGCGAACCGTACACGAAAGCCGACGATTTGCAGAGCGGGCAACGGGAGGTGTGATGAAGAAGGGCGGCTGAGAGGTTGTCACGAGCTATAATAATGATTATACACCTCGTCTTTTCCAAAACCCTTTTGAATTCAGGGATTGATGGCGACAGGAAACAAGGTCCAAAGAAGCGCCGCGTACTCCGGTAGAAATTTTGGCGAACCTTTTGCTTTCTTCCCTTTCGTTTTGATGTGGTGCTTGCGGAGGACACGGGCGCAATTACATCGTACCGACCAGGATTGGGGCCTAATTACTTCCTCTCTCTCAGTCTCTCACTAGAGTACTCACCACCTAACTTGCCTACTTCTCCCACTTTCTCACATACACTTAACTCTACGCAGAAGCGTCGTCTCTTCTCTCTTTCTTTTGTTGCCCCTTGGCGCTAAACCAAAAGCGATGCGGGTGTAGCTTTACTTAATTACGTCTCTCCTCCTCCTCCTCCTCCTCCTCCTCCTCCTCCCTTTCCCCTCCCCTCTTCAAACCCTTTTGAGCTCTTGGGGTTGGGCAAACACGCCAACCAGCAGCTCATAATGAAGTTCGTTTGGTATCGCAAAGAAAATCAACGGTCAATGAATGCGGTCTCTCGCATATTTGTCACAACTCGATCACCCCCAAGAGGCGGTTCCGACACGCGGTGATAAAAGAGTCAGAGGGTCGAATCGTAATATTGCTAGGTTGCGCGCATTCAGCTGACCTCGCCCGCGCTGCACATCCACTATCTATTTGCTCTCATTTCAATATCTGCAATTAAGAATATTCAAAATGAAAAAAAGAAAGTCTGTTTAATTCTAGCTAACAAGTTTGCAAGGCATCTAATACAGTGTCATTATACATGGTGGCTCCCAGCACGCAAGCAAACGACTCCGGTCCCTCGCCCAAAACCCTTTGCGCTCAAAGAATACCCAGTGCACCATGAACCCAGTAGCAATGCTCCTCAAGATAATTTCTAAAGTATAAAAGGTCAAGACCAAAGCTTTTTACTCGACTGTCACCGACTTGGCCAAGTTGCGCGGGAAGTCGACGTTCAGCCCCTCTGCGACCGCGAGCCAGTAGGCAATCAGCTGGAGCGGAATGACGTTCAAAAGACCTTGAAGAGCGTCGACCGTCTTGGGCACGACAATCTGCTCCGTCTTGTCATCACTGAACTCATCGTCGTTGGGGTTGCAAATCACAATTGGCCGACCGCCGCGGGCAATGACTGTAAGAGACCAAATTCGTTAGCACATGGAATTGTAGCAGGTGTGGAAAATATGTATTATTAGTCGTACCTTGTTGGTAGGCGTTGAGCGACTTGGCAAAGAGACCATCACGGGTCAAGATCATGATAATGGGGAGGTTCTCATCGACCAGAGCCAAGACACCGTGCTTGAGCTCTCCAGACATGACTGCCTCGCAGTGGAGATAGGAAATTTCCTTGATCTTGAGGGCACCTAGAGAGAGGGGAGATATCAGTTATACTTTTCTCGTGCTGCGAATCAATCTTGTTCAAAACACGTACCCTCGAGAGCAGTAGAATACTGGTTGCCTCTGCCCAAGAGCAGCAAACTCTTCTGGTCCTTGAAGAACTTGGCACACATGTCCTTGATGGTATCGTTGAGCTGGAGAATCTCCTTGAATTGCTCGGACACCTTGCCCAGACCTTCCATGATGTCTTCGCGTCTCTTTTGCTTGGATGCGCGATCCTCGCTGAGAGAGAGTGCAAACATGATCATGGCCACAAACTGAGAAGTGTAGGCCTTGGTAGAAGCCACGCCGATTTCCGGGCCAGCGTTGATGTGGACTCCGCAGTGGGTGAGGAGAGAGATGGACGAACCGACCACATTGACAATACCAACAGTCAGAGCACCACGCTCCAAGCAGTAGCGCAGCGCCATCAACGAGTCGGCCGTCTCGCCCGACTGCGAGACAAAGACACAGGTATCGTCACGGAAAACGGGAGCTTGTCTGTCCAAGAAATCCGACGCCAACTCGACAGAGATGGGGATTTCGGTCAATTCCTCAAAAGTACCCCGCACGGCCATGCACGAGTGGTAGCTCGTACCGCAGGCAATGAAGATGATGCGTCGGCACCGTCGAATGGTGCTAATGTATTGACGCAGACCACCAAGGGTGACCTTCTTATTGACCGAGTCCAAGCGGCCTCGCATGGTGTTGACGACAGACTCGGGCTGCTCAAAGATTTCCTTTTGCATGAAGTGGTCAAAGTTGCCCTTCATAATCTCCTGCAGCTGGAGCTCCAGTGTTTGAATGGCGCGCACAGCCGAGGTGCCGTCGTCCTTGGACAGACGGTGGATGTTGAGCTGTCCATCGTGAATGTGGGCAATGTCATCATCCTCAAGGTAGAGGACCTTCTTGGTGTGTTCGACAATGGCAGAAGGGTCGGAAGAGAGGAAGAATTCGGTCGGGATCGGGACTCCATCGTCCGAGAGGAAGGCACGGGACTGGGAGCGGTGGAGCAGGGACTTGTCTGGAGGGGCGAGCAGGTTGCCGGTAGACTTCTTCAGGGCGACATTGTGCGACGCTTGCTCGGCGGGGAGAGCACCCTCCTCGGAGAACTCGACATCGACAAAGTCGACCTTCATCTTCTTCTCCGTCTTGACACCAATGACCAGCGGCGAACCCTTGCGAGCAGCAATGACCTCGTGGGGGTAGTGGACAGACTTGAGGAGGAGACCAAAAGCACCCTGGAGCTCCTTGATGACAGCCTTGGCAAGGACGGTAAACTCAATGTTGGGGTGCTCATCGTAAAGGTACTTGGCCAGCTTGGCAATGCATTCTGTGTCGGTCTCGGTCTCGAACTTGAATCCTTTGGTCTCCAACAGGTGCTTCAACTCCTTATAGTTGGTGATGATGCCGTTGTGGACGACGGAGAATTCCCAGTTGGGGTCGGATCTGTTGAGCAACAGTCTCGTTAGAAGCCCTTCGTCTTCTGACAATTGGAGTGATCTCTAATCTCACCTGTGAGGGTGGCAGTTGAGCCGCGAGGGCTGACCATGAGTGGCCCAGCGGGTGTGCGCAATACCGGCGTGAGAGTCAAAGACCTTGTCCAAGTCGGGCTTGGACTCATCAATGAGCTCCTTCAGCTTGGCAACCTTTCCAACTTCCTTGAAGGCGAACACCTCGTTCTTCTTGTCGCCATCAACGGCAATACCAGCCGAGTCATAGCCACGGTATTCGAGACGGGAGAGACCTGTATTGACATGGTAAGTACGCTGCAAAAAGTGGTCGCGGACAGCGGGCGAGACGGAGGAGTGGCGGCGCACGAACCATTAACGAGGGTATTGAGAATATATCTCCGGTCCTTCTCGACCAAATAGTTGACGTATCCGAAGATGCCACTGCAAGCTCATTAGAATCCAGATTGGGTATACTTCATCTTGGAAAGGCTTGAGTTGGGGTGTAAGTGAAGGGTGTCGGAGGGATTACGTACCACATGATGAATCGACTTCAAATGGAAGCCACACAAAGAACAATTAAAACACAAGTACAAGAAAAGGTTGGGTATTTGAAATTAAAGATTGTAACGAGAGATTGGCTCAGCAGCGGAAAAGTAACAGAGAGTAGCTGCGAGCAGAATGGAGAGATGGGACAGAGAACAATGTGTTTGTGTGGTGTTGATGGGGAATCGGACGAGATGGTGACAGGAGCTTTATACTATTAAAACGAGTTGCGTCTGACTTTAGCGTTGTTTGGTTCCGCCCGAGGAGGAGCGAGGGGTCAAAGGGCCGAGCTGGGGCGGGGGGTGTTAAAGGAGGGAGGGAGGGGACAGGGGACAGGGGACTGGAAACGAACCAGCGGTCGCCTGAGAGACGACCGCCTCAGGCGCTAGAATAACGTAGAGTTACCATCTTTGACCGCGCAAACCGGATAGAGGTGACCAAAGAAGGCCAAAGCTGTGTATTCGTCCAGTTGAGTGCATTTAGTTAATCCCATATCTCACGTGGCTTTTCAGGAAAAAAGCACTCTCGAATGATCCAGTGATTTTTCATTCAACTCTATACAAAATCTACCTTCATGTCAACGTTAGTGTCAAGGCCAAGCCGCCGTTTAGCTGGTCGCCTTTGCTCCTTCTCTCCTTCTCTCTTGTCGGTCGAGGCGCAGTCGCCGACACCATCGCTAAACTCCCGTCGGCACCTCGTAAAAACTTCTGTTAGTCGGAGCATTGTTCTATCTGCAGGGTCAGCATGCCCCACGTTCCGTCATGCTTGTGGACAGTCACTCTACTATTCTAGGGTAATGTGCGTGGTTCCGAGTCTTCCTCAGCCAATGCTCCCAATTCCAACCATCTCGGTTCATACGTACAAGGTTTGTCAAGACTTTGCTAAACGGCAGTCCCTAGAAATTGTAATACCTTTAATGGAACTTATTGGGCCTTCCAATGCCATCAGGGCAGTTTTGGTGTAACTGCTCAGTCACATGGGGGAAAAAAATCAAAGTACACCAAATGTGTGCCCTGACTAAATGTGCATCGTTGCACTGATTATCTGTGAAATGTTTCATTCAAAACAAATGACTCTATGTAGACAAACAATTAATGATGCACGAAAAGCAAACCACGACCAAGCTACTATGTCCTCCGATAGATAGCACAATGCAGGCCACTATAACGGTCACCTGTTATTCCGTGGAACCTGCAGCAGTTTAGGATACCTCGGCAAGCAGCATAAACCATGCGGATGATGTTTTTGTGGCTGTCAGCCAAAAAAATTCCAATATCCGTGTTTCACTCTAAAAAGTTGGTGAAGCCACGACAAAAAGGTTTTTATCAATCAGGGGCCAAAATATCATATGAATCAGGATAAAAACCACATCAAGCTTCATAGTTCCCTGACAACATGCAAGGATACTCCTTCGTACTATTTTTAAACTTCCAAAGATTCAGGAACAGAGCGTAGTGATCAGGGGCTGACAGGGTCCTTTCCAGTACCTCGTAACCGCATCCAATTATTTCCCTAACTTGAGCTTTTCTGCAGCAGATCAGCAACCTCCCAAATTACTTCATCATGCCTTAGCTCCGTTAGTAGATTATTGACCCTAAAGCTTGGCATCTCCAAATTGTTCCCCCATATGTGGATGGAAAAAGCCCACGCCCTTTTTTCTCGACCAACGCTGGGACGATTATTGTGCCTTTCATGCTGTCAGTGGAGCCATCTGCTTAGTAATTGGATGTTCGTGTTACTCCCCTGTGGAGTCTTTTGTTCCTAGAGCCTCGGAGTTCCGGTGATAGTGCGTCTACTCTCGCCTCGCCCATTCCAGCCTGCACTCTTCTATTTATGGCTACCGAATGGCGCAGTGCACGTGCCATCCGGACCATGCGTCACTGCCTCAATCTTCAATAAAATACTTTGTAGGAGACGTCAAAAGAGCAGCCCGGCACTAAAAGCCTTTTGAATTCTCGCCGGAATTATTTTCCAATTTTTGCGAGCTCAATGCCGCTTATCATGCTTCTGAAGGCGGTGAGGAAAATTGACATTTCAATATACGTCGGAAGATTGTCATGTCGGCCCGAAAAAGAAATGCTCGAAATGAAATGATACCAATTTGGACAAGCTAATAGATAAATTTATTAAGCTTGAACATGCTCCGAACAAGAATCCTGTACACATATCTTAGATCTCTAGAGCTGGCTCCATCGAGCTTATGAGTTGTCGTTCGTGTTTCTATACTCTTTCGTCGAAACCCCCAATAGGAAGGAGATATGCCAGTAGGACAAACCCGGCATTTCAAGCACGTGCCGCCAACAAACGCCATCTTAAAATGCCATGTAATTCGCAAACTTGGTAAAACATGAATTTGGTAAAAGGTCGTGTGATTGACATCCATTTTATCAACTCCAATAGTAAGAAACTGCACTCAGAACATATTCGATACAGCAATGCCCTCTCGTCGAAAAAAATCTTTGGTGGACAGGCAAGCTCTCACCCAGAACATATGTTCAAGTAACACATACATTTCCGTATTCTGTCCTTGAAATTGTTTGCGCTACAGTAGACTAGTCGAACGTTTGTGTAGCTGGATGATGCAGGGAAGTATTAAGCATCAACAGCGATACACAATGTGCGAGATAATCAATAGATACGACGATTTCTTGTGTTGAGTCAGATTGCAGCAGAGGCAATATATCAAGAAGGCGAATTAGGCAAAGGGAAATTAAGCCTACAATATATCCACGATCAATGCTGGCCACCCACAGCGGTCCTGAAACAGGCCGGTGACCAAAGCGAGGCTCACGGGCAATAAAATACAACAATAACAGCCTAAGGCGTACGATAGCCCCGAAATGGTCGGTCCGATATAAAATTTTCCAAATATCATCAATTATCATATGAGCAAAGATCTGTCACGCTCAATGCCTGCAAACTAATACAATTACACATTCTATCGGTATTGCGCCGCCATCGTCGTCAATGAATCTGAACAAGAAGGCGCCCGAAGCATTACTCTTCCATCTTTTCCTCGCCCGTCTTTTCTTCCTCCTCGTCATCGTCATCTCCCTCGAGCGACTTCTTTGCCAACCGCTCGGCCTCTTCGCGCAGTTCCTTAGGAACCTCCTGGTGTCTGCCCTTGGTAGGTCCGTCTAATGAGCTGATCCAGGTCATCTCAAGTTCAAACTCCTTGTCTTTGCTGTCTTCGTGTGCGACGTAAATTATGCGTGCAGCTTCCTTGACGCCCTCTTCTAACGAGATACCCGTGGGGGAAAGGTCGAGCTTCTCGAGTTCAGCCTTGGCCGCTTGCCGACCTTTGCCAGTGGCCGCTCCATAATAGCCCTTGATAACCTTGTTAACTACTTTGTTCATACAGACAAGAGGGAGAAGAGAGGCGAGGCAATCTTTTACGTACCCAGTACTGTCCACTCGGCTCAATCATGTATAGTGCGGGACCACCCTTCTTCACATCCGTAACTTTGCCGCCGGCGCCAACTTGAGGGCCATTTCCTACTTGTCCATCGACAGGAATATCCGCCTCAGAGTCCCATCCGCCAATGATTGAAGTAACACCGAATGGCCGAACGCTAGAGTAAAGGGTATAAGCCTGGACATATGCGCCCAAACGGTTGGACAGCATGGCCGTTGAGATGGGCGCCTTGTAAAACTTTCTCCATGAGGATGCCTCATCACGGGCACGGGCAACAAAATGCCGTCCATCAGGGACGAGTCCTGATGATACCTATGTAGTGGAACCTCGGGGTTAATGGATACGATGGGCGAACAGAGGCGGACAGAAAGGGAGGGCGCTTACGACACCAACGTGACGGTCAACTGTTGAGATGCGCTTGTTCGCTCCGACCTTCAGAAGCTTGCTTGTAATGATCTTCTCGATGGCAAGTACAACGCCGTCCTTGCAACGAATACCGACCGCCGTGCCACCATTCTCTACCGCCTTGACTGCGTATTCGACCTTGTTGGCAAGTCAGATGGCTGCGGCACTTCAAGGAGGAACAATTTCCGCATGTATCTCTCACCTGGAAGTTTCTGCCATCGGGCGAAAAGACGGAATTTGACAGATCGTAACCAGTACCTATTGAAGTCTACAGCAAGAGGATGATTAGTCTCTGCAGATCAAGATGGCCGGTGGTGTCTCCAGCTTCTCGTCGGGGAAGATTTCGCAGCGCACGACGTACCATCCTGGACGATTGAAGTAAACACTCTCGTTATGATTTATGATAGGAAGGTTTTGGTATAAGAGCGCCAAGTTGAGTATGCTGTCTGGCTTCAGGCTGGGTAATTAATCTAGAGCTGTACTCCGTAGGTAGCAACCGCTACGCGTAGGTTGCTTACAAGGTCCGAAGTGGAAGTATTAGCGAGCCCATCATCGTCACGATTATCAGCCGCGGAAGGTTGAGCCGAGCTAGAAGACGTCGACCTTGGACTGTATGAACATGAATCATATGCATTATCGCTCTACACAATGGCAACCTTTTACTTAGGTGAGAGTTTTCCTCTAATTATGCTGTGGACTACGGTCAGGCCCGTTTCATAGTCTCCCTAGGTAGGAAGGAGCCGATAGAAGGCGCAAGCTACAGGCAGAAAGTCTACTGAGACTGGGCGAGCGGTGAGGAGGTGGTTGTAATTGTAGTGGTGCCCCTCCGCGGTCGGTTCCTGCAGTGCGGCGGCTTTATCTAAATTACTTGGGTGTTTTAACTAGATGTGGGGAGGCATGTGCTTTTTAACCGGGACATGATGCTATCACGTTATAGGATGGCATTTTCTTCCTTGCCCGTAAAGTTCAATCAAAGACATTCCCCAGCGAATTACCGCCATGTTCCATAACACGTCAAATTGCTGCCTCGGGCATCAGTGGATCAGGTGGCATGTCTTTATTGGAGAGCCAAAAGGACGCGAACACGGGCTAAAGCACTAAGTTGGTGTTGGGGGACGAAGGGGACGTCTCGTTGTAGTGGTCCAATGCCAATTTGCCCCTCCTACCCCTCGATCCTGATTCCGCCTTTCTACCTCCTCAGGGTTTCGAACGAAAGTCCCCACTATGACTCGTCCTCCGATGCTTCTCTGAGCCCTTCATGTGCTCGCCCAGAGCCGCCTTGCATCTTTTTCCAAATCTTAATTCTCATACTTGCTTCAAAACTCACCTCCAGATTGCTTATTGTGCGCAGCATAGACGGAACGTCCTTCCAACACCACTTTTGACAGTATCTTGACTTCACAACGTCACAACGGTGGCCCCTCTTAGAAGACTCTCCTTGCCGCATATTGCTTCTCGCAGTTTGTAGTTGTTTCTCACTTCTATTCCCTGATCTTCCTAGTTAATTCAGCGAAGCACCAAGATCGCCATAATCTGAGCACAGTGTTGCCTAGAAACAGGCATCTGAGTTTGGCAATCAGAACATCGCAATCTTCAGCATCTTCAAACAGGGGCCTTTTACGAACTTGTGAGAGAATCGAACCTTCCCCAACATCCTATCTTACGAATTGCTACTGACTGATATAAGTACAGTTCACCCATAGAATCAACTCACGTATTAGCATCTATTACTGAAACAATGACTACACATGAGGACCTCATCGCTCTCCTCTCCCGCAACCTTACATTTTCGAACCCTAATAATATTGATTCACATGGGTTGTCGGATATTCCATCGCCCAGTAATCCGCCTCCAATTACATATTCCATCACTCAGCATTATCACCACTCTGCCCATCAGGTAACAGCTGCGCCTGCTGAAACTCAGGAGTCTACCTTTGGACAACAGGATCGCGAAGCTGCCGAAGATATCTTGCGCAGTCATGGAGTTGAGCCGTCGAATCTCTTTCCCTCTCAAGTGACATTGTTTATGCACGCTGGTCCTGAAGAGCAATTTCGCCTTCTAGAACTCTGGCGAAGCTCACCGCCCAGCTACGGCGGGCACGAGCTAGCGCGAGACTTGAATAACTGGCCTGCTACTAGCTTGGAACAAGAGGAAGTCATGGCTCGGCTTAGACAAGAAAGACAGGCATCAGAAGAAGAAAGGAGACTCCTTCTCCTGTCCCCTCCAAGCATCAGTAGCCAAGAGGAGGAAATGGGGGATGCAGAACCTGACGTTCCTCTGGCTCTGACCCCAATTGAAGCTGGCGATGGACGCAGCCTTGCCGAGCCTTACATTCTGAACGGATACGATGTTGATGGATACAGCGACATGATTGAACCATTGACCAAACCAACCACTTATGTTCAAGCGATAGATCCGGTCTTCAAAGGGTCAGAATACCTTGGCAATTTTGTTGGAAACCAGGCTTTGGGAGACCAGTATGGGCCTTTTGAGCACATGAGGCAGTACGCCCAGATGTCTGGCGGTTTTGCGGGTGTGCACGAGTTGCATGATGAAGAGATGCTCTAGACAGATGATACCATGAGATTGTTATTCACCATTGCATTCCTGATTTTGAGCGTCGTTTCATTCATTGTATCCTTTCCTTCGCTTGGTGGTTTTAGATTCTTTTCCGAACTTTACGTCGAGGCTTCTCACGTGTTGGGCGATCATTTCATGTGGGTTCGTTTCAAATACACTCTACTCATTAATCGGATTCCCATACATAGTGTTCGACAAAGTAGTGTTATTGTTCTTGGTAGTATGCGAATACATCAACAATGTCATGACAATTCCCTACAGCAAATTGCAATGGAGAGTTGACCAGAACAAAGTAGACAGATGCAAAAGGTGATCTGATTACTTAAATGAGTGGAAGAAGATATGGCATCATGTAAAGAGTGACAGGTGTAGAAAAGGGTAAGGAACGTCAGGGTTTTATGATACAAAAGCATTTCAATCAGTGAACCTGGTTTCACCAGACCAGACACCGAGTATAGTCGAATTGGTCCTATGCTGACTGCGATTCGACAAGTGGCTTGACGGTGCCGAATACCGGCATAAAATGGAATGATGGAGATCATGTAAACTTGGGGCTTGATCTCCATGGCAGACTTTCCGCAATTGAACCGCAAAGTACTGCCAACATTCCTTGAGCCTTCACATTTAGAAGGCAGTCTTCGGGTTCCATCCGATAGCAACGACGCGGGACGGCGCATAGCAGCTCAAGGCACCCAAATAAGCCAGACCAGCAAAGATGATCAAGCCCCAATAGGCACCACCCGTGGCAGTCAGGAGCTGGCCTCCGATTGGAATGCTCGTCAACGTGCTACAACGGAATCCATCAGCCTTGCACGTCAAAAGAGACAAATGAATAAAATAGATAGAAAAAAGAAAGAAATAAGGTAAAAAGAAGAAAAGGACGTGGTTACTCACCCAAAGCTAGCAAAGAAATAGGACGTAGCAAAGTAACGGCCATAATCCTCAGCTCGGCAGAGTTGCGACAGGCAAACTGGAATGAGGCCCAAGTTACTGCCACTGGCAAAGCCAAACGAGATGGCAAAGACAATAATCACGGCTCGTGAATCTGCAGCTGGCAGCCAGATAGCCAAAACAGTAATGGCACACAGCAAGATTGTCACAATGATGACGTTGAACCTGCCGAGCTTGTCTGCCAGGAGCCCTGGAAGCCAGCGTCCAAAGAAACTTCCTGAATTCAGCAACGCGACAGCAGTGAAGCCAAAAGAAGGGTCTTGGCCATGCGTAGTACAGTACGAGCTAATGTACGTCAAGGGGACAAAAAGACCCCACTCCATCAAAAACATCCCAGCGGAGCACAGTGCGAAGCTGGGATCCTTGAAAGCAGTCAGGTCAGGAAGCAAGCTTCCCGAGGCCTTCTTAGACGGCGGCAACCGCTTCACGATGAAGAGGTTGGCAGGGACCGCCAACAACAGAAAGAGAAACCCAATGACGCGGGTTGACCAGGCAAAGCCAATCTTGGGAATCAGCCCCTGCAGCATCACTGGGATGACGATGCCGCCGATAGAGCCGCTGGTGCAAGCAACTCCCGTTGCGAGACCGCGACGGCGCTGAAAAAAGTGACCAATGGATGCATAGGCGGGGGTGTTGAGAAGCGCTCCTCCTATACCTCCGAGGACTGCATAATCAAGCATGAACTGCCAGTATTCTTATTTTACCATAGTTAGCCCATTTTTGCATAAGGTAATTGCATGCTGTCAGAAAGTATAACTAACCAGTGCAGAAGCCCAATAACATCATTGATAAGACCAGGGCCAGGCTGCCAAATGCAACCAGAAGTCGCGGGCCATGCACATCGAAGATTCCTCCAATGTACAAGCCACAGAAGAAAACCAGGAATAGGTTCAGACTGAAGATCCACCCAATCGAGCCAGGCGAGTACCCGCGAAGCTGATGGTTGCTGAAGTAGTCCTGCAGTGCGGCCGTAGAGTTCACGACACCAAATACCATGAACATGGCACAAAAGGAGCCGAATACGACGAGCCAGGCTTGGAAACCTCCCTCGGGAAACTCGTAATCTGCGTCGTCGTCTTCATTGTTGTCGTCTGAATGATTCCCAGTTTCGTGGGTACTTTGCTGAGGACCAAGTGGTGGTGAGGCTGCTATATCAGCCGTTGGGTCCAGCGAAAGACTGTCCTTTTCTTCAGAGAGTTCGGACAAGTCATTGGTGATGGCTTTATCCCCATTCACGCATTTTGGAAGTGGAGAGGGGGAGTTACGAGCGGTCTCGCCCGCAGCGATAGAGTGGTTTTTTAGGCAGGTGTCCTCTGCATAAAATCCGCCATGGTGCATCTACCGTGGCGTCACTCCAGTCTTGATTTGAGTTGCAGATGTCACCATGCACTTCGACGCTTTAAAAGTGTCTCAAATTTCTAGAAAGATGTGGGTTTGCTGGGAATTTATTAGGCGTGTGACACGCTGTCGTAGTAGATTGTGAAATTTATGACTCTTTTTTGTTTTCTCCGCGCTCTGCAATTGACTCCGACAGGGTACCCCACACGCGGAGCAGATCGATAACTCCCCCGCGCCACAACGTCCCCTATTGGCTTTCGCAATAGCCGGGAAACAGCGCGCTAATTTGGGGATATAGAAGAGATTGGATAAACCTAGTTATGGGCTTTAACTGCGGCCCCAAGCATATAGATACCATTTTCAGCGCTTTCAGCTGAAATCGTTCAACTAGCGATTTATGATAGAAAGGTAAAAATCACATTTGGTGTGATCATATGATTTCATGACAATGTTCAAAATTTCCGTTTTATTCCCTACATCCTAAATGCCAATTCGAGTCAAGGACTCGACTATTTAAACAAGTTGAACGTATCCGTTCTAGTCTAGAATCGAAGAGAAAAATATGCCTCGAAACATATCCGCTTCTATGGTACACTCCTGGCCTTCATTCTGTGCGGCTCGCTGTGTCGAACATCGAAAAAAAGTACGCTGATCCAGCCTATGAAAGTTGACCCGAGGAGACTGTTGAATGTGTACAGATGCATGGACATATCTGTAGCAGACGACACAGGAGACTCAAGCCTTTATTCCGGAAAGTGTATAACAGTAGAGGATATGCTAGCAGAGGTAAGAAGAGAAAAGAATATAAAAGAAACGCCAGCAAGAATATTAGAAAGGCGTAGCGGTTAAGGAGTGGATATAGTTGGAGTTCGTCCGCGGAGTATTGCCAATCAAAATTTTTTGTCTTCTATGTGAAAAATCATATTGATTCAAATTGAATATCTGCAATCAGAATTAACAACTGTGCTTGTAACATTGCCAGATTATGACTGATAGTACTTACATAGTGACCGAAGCGTCCCCTCTTACAGAGCGGCGACAGCATCAGCAGCAGCCTTTGCCAAAGCATCGGCAGCGCGCTTAGCCTTAGAGCAGCCCTGGCCAGGAAGGTGGCAGAAATGGACGGTGTCTGGGTTAGCCTCGGGCACAGGAGCTGGCTCGGCAAGTGCATCAGCAATGGCCGCAGCAGCGCGCTTGACCTTAGAGCAGCCTTGGCCGGGAAGGTGACAGAAACGCTCAATAGCTTCAGCATTCGGCTCTGGTCCGGCGACGGCATAAGCGTCAGCCACAGCAGCGGCGAGAGCGTCAGCAGCACGCTTGGCTTTAGAGCATCCCTGGCCCGGCAGATGGCAGAAATGAACAGTGTCTGGGTTAGCCTCGGGGGCTGCAGCGGGAGCAGCAAAGGCGAGGGCCTCAGCTGCGGCATCGGCAGCACGCTTGAGCTTCGAGCAGCCTTGTCCGGGAAGATGGCAGAAGCGGATGATGGCGTCCGCGTCCGGCGCGGGAGCCGGCGCCGCTGCTGCATCGACGGAAACGCTGGCCAAGATGGCCGCCGAGATGAGAGTAAGGAGCTTCATTTTTTTGATATTTTTGAAAGTGGTAAAAATAATAGGAACGAAGATTGAAGGAAGAAAAGATTGGCGTGGGCGTAAGTCCCAAATACGAATGCTAACAAACGTAACAGTTGGTCTGCAGAACGAAAGTAATGTAAAGATCTGAAGAGCAGATGGTAGCGGGATGATTTGTCCATTTAAATATCGTTGGCTTTCCTGTCAATAGGCTGTGTATTTTGAGTTCAATAGATAGAAGTCTCAATAACTTCAATAGCGGCCAGGCGAATAAAGGGACCTGCGCTCGTTGAATAAAAACAACTTTTTCCCCCCAAATTCCCATTATGACAATAAAAATAAAAAATAAAAGCCCTCCGGTTGGTGACATGCAATTAAACAATTCAAAGAAAGGGGTGTATCTGATTTGGTCTAGATTATCGTAGAACCACAACTCAAGACAGGTCCAAGGTCACGTTGTCCAGAGTCCGTCAAGAATTGCAAAGAAAGGAGACCGTAGCTCTTGTCTACAGAACAGAAATCTAACCAACTGCTAGAGTCAGAAATGAAAGCAAAATCTCTAGAGGCAACCTAGCCATCTAGATAGAACAAAATACTGAAAGCAAAGAAAGACGGAGGCGGGAAAAGGTGGCATGAGGCGGCGTGTTAGTGTGGAAAATCCATTGAGAGATGGGAGATGCCAAGATTTTGGATCATCCATGTCGACGAGAGATTCTCTAGATCTCAGCCGCTTGGTTTTTCTTATTGATGCTATGTGGTGTTGGTTTTCGACGGATTTTGATCATCAATAAGCCCTGACTATTGAAGGCCCAGAGAGGTTTAGCTCGGATTTCTTGGGTCGCCATCTGCCACGTGAGAGTTAACAGATTTCCCACCGCAATTTGGATATGGCGGTAAGAAATGCTTGGGTCAGAACTCTTAAGTAATATACTGCTTGACGATCTTGCTGGCAAGACGTTGGGAAGAAGCTTGGATGGAAGTGAAAAGCCGAAGCCCGAGCAGTGGGGCTGAAGCCAAAGAGAAATGTGTAAAAGGGATTTCTTAAATTTCAATCAGAAAAACATGTACGTCAAATTCAAGATAGGATAGCAGAGCCATAATGGACAAAAAAAGAGCAATAGCGGCCATGTGGATATCTCATTCTGAAGTTGCCAATCACGCGGGATATTGTGAGAAAGGAGCCCCTTAACCCATAGAAGCACGTGATTAAACATTCAAAATGGGACGGTTAACAATATGACACCAGTACACAAATTAACATTTTTATCTTCATAAAAATAACAAAATATCAAGAAGATTCGTCCCAGGACTCTATTTAATGAGCCATCATCATATCGTGTTGTCGTTGTCGCGGTTGCTGTTTCGGGGCGACCGGGTGCGATATCTGATCGTGTGGGGGGAGGAATTTGCCGTGGACGGAACCAGGTTAGACGAGATTACAGCAAGCGAATCTCCGTCAGTTTCCCAGACTTGATTGATCGGTACACCCTAGCCGGGGACCTCGTAGATTATTATTGCTCCTCCCGGCACTAGGAGCCTCTTTCGTCCTCTTGCGGCCTTTTGCTTTTCGGGTTATTGGCATCGTCTCTTTTGACACCATCTCCCATCTCGTCCTCTTCACTCTCCCATCCCTCCCTTCAAGTATCAGGATGTTGTCTCGCAGCTCCGCCAGATCAGCGCAGGTGAGTTTTCTCATTGGCAAATCACACCAATCGGGATCAATTGCACACCGAAAATAGCGCGCTAACAAACACTGCTCGACCGTATAGGCCCTTCTGCGGGGCGCCAAATCTACGCCCTCGAGCGTTCTTGCCCCTTCTATGACCAGATGTAAGATCAATTGAGCTTTCCATGCATCAATTGAGAAGACATGAAGAGCTAACTGAATCCAATTGCAGCCCTGGCCACTGTGCAGTCTGATATCTTCAAGCCCACCAAGTATGGCGGCAAATACACTGTCACCTTGATTCCTGGTATGATGGTTGCCTTCTTGTGCCATCAAGATAATTTTCAATTAGATGCTCATTGTTGAATATAGGTGATGGTATCGGTGCTGAGGTTGCCGAGTCGGTCAAGACTGTCTTCAAGGCCGACAACGTCCCCGTCGAGTGGGAGCAGATCGACGTCTCTGGTGTCGAAACCGGAAACAAGCATGCTGAAGAGCTCTTCAGAGAGTCTCTCGCTTCTTTGAGACGCAATAAGCTCGGTTTGAAGGGTAAGCACGACATTTTTCGGCCATGAGCTGGATCACCGACCTGACATGGCATAGGTATCCTTCACACCCCCGTCGAGCGTTCTGGTCACCAGTCCTTCAACGTGGCCCTTCGTCAGGAGCTCGACATCTACGCCTCAATTGTGCTCATCAAGAGCATTCCCGGATACCAGACCCGCCACAAGGATGTCGACCTCTGCATTATCCGAGAAAACACCGAGGGTGAATACTCTGGTCTCGAGCACCAGTCTGTCCCCGGTGTCGTTGAGTCCTTGAAGATCATTACCCGTGCCAAGTCTGAACGGATTGCCAAGTTCGCCTTCAGCTTCGCCATGGCCAACAACCGCAAGAAGGTCACCTGTATCCACAAGGCCAACATTATGAAGCTTGCCGACGGTCTTTTCCGCAACACCTTCAAGAAGGTCGCCGAGGACTACCCCTCCCTTGAGACCGGCGACATGATTGTCGACAACGCCTCCATGCAGGCTGTCTCCAAGCCCCAGCAGTTCGACGTTATGGTCATGCCTAACCTCTACGGTGGTATTCTTTCCAACATTGGCGCTGCCCTCGTCGGTGGCCCCGGTATCATCCCCGGTTGCAACATGGGCCGCGACATTGCTGTCTTCGAGCCCGGTTGCCGTCACGTCGGTCTTGACATTCAGGGCAAGGACCAGGCCAACCCTTCTGCTATGCTTCTCTCTGGTGCTATGCTTCTCCGTCACCTTGGTCTGGATGACCACGCCAACCGCATCTCCAAGGCCGTCTATGATGTGATCAGCGAGGGGTACGTTTCTTTCCCTCACCCTCATTGCCTTTTTTTCAAATATTGAACATGGCTAACAATCAATGCAGCAAGTTCCGCACTCGCGACTTGGGCGGCAACGCTTCTACTCACGAGTTCACGAGAGCCGTTTTGGACAAGATGGAGGCCGCCATATAAACCGATTTATGTAAATTGACTTTGGGAGAGACGATGGAGCAGAATACCATGTGCAGTTTTAAGATTTGTCACAGTGTAAAGTTGCCGCAAATTGTATTCTAGCCCTGCACATTCATATCAACAATGTATATGTTACCTTACGCCTATTCATCGAATCATTTGCAATCCCCCAACGCCATCTGTAAGCTTGAAAGCAAAACACACACACAAGCATGCCGAGTGAATCAAATGGCTCCGTTTTTAAAACTTTGGCCCTCTCCGCCGACCAGTATATTTGGACGACGGCTTGACAATCTTTCCTTTCTTCTCCAACTGGTCCTTCTTTTTCATAATCCAGGCCTTGCTTCCTTTTCGTTCCTCTTTCCGCCGTGCGTTCTCGGCCTTCCTCCGCGCGTCAACAATATCGACGCCATTCAATCCTTTGACGACACCGGTAATGTCACCTCCTTGCGACTCCAGCTCGCCGCCACCAACAGTCAGGACCAAGTACAACTTGGCGCTCTTCGTTCCCGGGTCGTCTTCCAAGATACCCGCACCGAAACCAGCGCGGACGGCGGCAGCACTGATCATCATCCGCTGCGCGTCATTCTTCGGATAGAATTGGCACACCGCACGACCACCTCTGCGCAAGCTGGCGTACAAGCCCCCAAAGAATCTCGTCAGTCGACCTTCGGGACTGACATCGCTGCTCTCTGCATTACACAGCCATTGAATGGCACTGATGCTGATTGCTGCATCAAAGCTTCCCGGTCGGAATGGCACGCCTTGCCCAATATCGGCAAGAAAAAGGTCTCCCTCCACATCCCGCTGCAGCGCCACGTCCAGCATCGACGCTGAGATGTCCATTCCCACCCACTCGTGCGGTCCTCCCTCTTCAGGAGGCACGCCTGATAGGATTTCTCCAGAAAGTCCAGACCCACATCCTACGTCGAGAATAAAGGATGGGTGTTTGAGGTCCAGCAATTCCAATGCCCGGTTCGTCATGGACGCTTGAATGTTTCGGATACGAGAGGATGTGGTGTACTTGCGCGATTCGAGGTCATTGTAGAAAAGGTCGGGGGGGCTGCAGCATCGAAGTCAGTCGAACCATAGAAGCATAGCATTGAGGAATTGAGTGATCCATATTTTGCAAAGATATGTTGCGATATTTCCGTTTCCTCATCCAACTAACAATGCAGGATAGGGAATGCTTACAGAGAGTCTTCGGGACGAGACATGCTGGTATACTTTGAATATAGTCTATTACAAACTTATGAGACAAGTGGAACGATAATTGATTTGCATAGAGTATGTAGTTGTAGAGCCTTGTAATAGACACAGCAGTAAAGTCAATAAATCGTATTCAAGGTACAGTATTTCCCTCTGCGTTTCGCTTGTGGGGCGGTGAATCTCGAACTTTTTGGTGGATGAACCAAGCGGCAAGTGCCGTCGGACCCTGTATCGTCTATTCCGAAAGTAGATAAGTAGACGAGAGACAAGAATACGCGGAGAGAGAGAGAGCGAGGAGCTTCGTCACTCCCGCTCCGCATTTAGACCAAACAACACGCAGCACCTTACAATTCGGGGTTTGTTCTGCTTTAACTTAACCGTTCCGGATTCTCTCTACTCTTCCAGAGGGCAAAACGCAAACACAATCCAACCCACCTTTACAGAAACTGCGCCCGGAAAATTTCAGGTCACAATAATACTACAACATTTCGAATCTTTATTTTTCTGTTTCCAATTTAAATCCGTTACTCTCGCAGGACATCGCTGCCCCCTCGATCCAATTCACATGCAATCAACTCAATCGCAGCGGATATTATAACACACCATGTGGATCCTCCCGCTCGTTGGCTACGCGGGGATAGTCCTGGGCTTTTGCTTTCTGACATTAGCAATTGGTATAGCCTCTGTCTCTTACTCTCCTTTTTCTACTTCTGTCTACCGGCGCCAAAATTGGAGGCCTGTCTTGAATCCCCCAATTCTACAACTTTCATAATTGAGCTCACAAAGTAGCTAACGAAATGTTTTCTGGGCAGCTTCTGGACTATACTACCTCTCGGAGCTGGTGGAAGAGCATACCGTACTTGCCAAGAAACTGCTCACGCGGCTGATATACACCATAATTGGGATCCAAGTCTTCCTGTGGCTGGTTGACCGCTTCCCGTTTTTCCTTTCCTTGCTCAGCATCGTCAGCCACGTCGTGTATGCTGGCAATCTGCGCCGCTTTCCATACGTCAAATTGTCCGACCCGCTCTTTTTGCTCTCATGCCGTACGTCCTCCCTCAGCTTCTCCTTGTTCCATTCTCCTTGTTCCACGGAATCGAACCTCTGCTAATGCAAAATGAAATTGCAACAGTCCTAGTCATCTTCAACCACTTCGCCTGGTTTCGCCACTTCTCCCAACCGCCCACTCTTCCGCCCGCGGGACGCCCGTCTGCTCTCGAACCGCTTGACGTTCCCTCCTTTTCGGAAATTGCTTCATACTTTGGTCTCTGCGTCTGGCTCGTGCCTTTTGCGCTCTTCGTCTCACTCAGCGCGGGCGAAAACGTCTTGCCCAGCATGGGCTCAGAGTACGCGACGGGCGACACGAGCGCGTCGGCCGCTGCATCTGCTGCAGGAACCGGCCCCGCGAGTGCGCTCGGCGACCCCACGGGCGCACGATCAGCAGGAGGAGAGCGATCAAAGAGTAAAGGACTGGCCAAGGCCGCGGTCGATGGCGTTCGGGAATGGGTTGGCGAAACGGGCGAATTAATGGGCTTTTGGCGCGGCGAGAAATCCAGAAGGTTTTGATTTTTTCCCCCGTATTTACTTTAGTTCCTCTTTGTATTTTTTATATAATTTTTCTTATCCTATGAACTCTTTCACGTCATTAGGTTGCAAATGAGCTTGTTCATTCATATCACTTCCTTTTGTGATTATTTTTTTTATTTTCATGTCCGTAACATGTCATTGCAATGCTACTGTTACTGTTAACATACTATTACTATGCTGCATGAATCCTGGCCCATTTTTGCATTCTTTCTTTTTTTGTCTTCTTTTTTTCCTTTTCTTATTTCTCACCCTTTTTTTCTGTCTTTTGTTTTTTTGTCTCTTCTCTTTTGTATCGTTTGAATCTAAATGCATGTTTACATGTTTGCATGGTCTGATATTCGCCATGGAACATTTGGAATGTTTGGAACATTTATATATCTACTACTTACCTTATATCTATATACCTACCTTATATCTACCTACCTTATACCTACCATCTTAAATCTACCTACCTGACTACCTTATATATACCTACAATGTAACTTACCCCGTAACCATGTACAATGTACTCTGTATGCATGTACGCGTGTATCATGTTACCATGTATGCATGTATGATACCTCTCTTATACTTTTTCTTTTGAAATAAAAATGCAGACATGTCTATATGACAGCTGTCTGTCATCTGTCATCTGCTATCTGTTGTCTGCCGTCTACCGAGTTGAGTTGAGTTGAGTTGATATGAGTCGAGTCGAGTTACGAACAAGTTTTACTTTACTTTTTCACCTTACTTACCTGAGTTACATATTTTTCACGGTCCATTGGAACAAAGGGGAGCATCGTAAGCGCAACGTCACAATATCACAATGTCACAAACTGCACATAGGGCATCAAAGAGTACGGAATAAGTGAATAGAATAGAATAAAAAATAAAATAAAATAAAAGAAGAACGGGTTCGACTATATTATTCCTCTTGTCCCCTAGTTGACAGAGAAAAAAAAAATCAATACTTGGATAACGACGCAAGCGCAGGGTAATAAATAAATAGATAAATAAATAAATAATAAAGGACGGGAAGGATCTCATATCATCTCATTACATCGGAGCTAAGCTAGGGGCGGGAAAAAGAAAGCAAAAAGTAAATAGTAAAAAGTAAAAAGTAAAAAGTAAAACGTAGAGTTGGGAATCGTTATTCGTATCATTGAGAAGAAGAAGAAGAAGAAGAAGAAGAAGAAGAAAAGGCTGGCTTCGCGATCCACGACATGAGATACGCAAGATACGTAAACTGAGCACACAAGTGGCTCGGTATAGAGAGAACTAAAAAGCTAGACGGGTCAGTTGAAAAGAATAGAACGTAGAAAATAAATAATAGAGCAAGAAGTAGAAATAAGAGCAAAAAAAGAAAGATAGAATAGTAATAATAGGGGGAATAATCGTATATCAAAGAAGAAGATCATCAAACGACAGGGTAAATAAATAGCAAAGCACGTTACGTTGGGGGTAGTGAGAAAAAGGGAAGACAAAAGTAGAGAAGAGAAGAGAGAAAGAAGGAAGGAAGAAAAGAAAGGTTGCGTAAAGGAGGGCGGGAAAAGATGATCGAAGCTGGAATAGCAGCAAAATTCATGAGCTACTACAGGTTTTCCTGAAACTTGGAGTCGCGGACAGGACTAATCGAGGCGCCTCTTCCATTTACAGCCACATCGTGAATTGGTGGTGGCGGGGCCAGACTCTCTTCGTCAACGGTGTCACGGGCTTCTTCAAAATTATCCTCTTGGCGCGAATGAGTGGACGATCCGTCTGCCAGGCGTTTTGGTGAACGTCCTCGCCCGGCGTCTTGACCCCTGGCCGCGCTTTCGAGAGAGCTAATCGAGGGAGACCTGGAGGCACGTTTCTTGCCGGCGGCCGTTGCTGCTGCGGCTTCTTCTCCGGCCGACGAGACAGAGTAAAGACCATCGTCATGCTCATCGCTACGACCGGCTACAGCAACCTCACGCACGGAGCCGTCAGTCGCTGGCTCGCCTCCTGGGGCGTTGGCGGCCGCAGCACCGCCGTCATTACTGGCACGAGCGAGAGATGCGCCGCCAATAAAGGATCTGGACTCGGGATGCTGCTGGTCTTCACCACCAGAGGAAGTAGGTCGGTCACTTTCAGAAGATTTCTTGCCGTGACGTGAAAAATGGTTCTTGAGCCAAGCTTTGACTTTGGAATCATGTTTGGGTGATGTCGGTGATGGAGTCCCGGATGATGAAGTGGCGCCGGTTGCGGCCGCACCGACGACAGCTGCACCCGCCATCTGGTGGACTGGGGTAGTAGGTCGGTCCTCTGCAGTGGCGGGCTCAGCTGCAGGTGCTGAAGGAGCCTCTGCGGTTTCCGGTTCAACGCCGACTTCTGCGTCTTCTTCCGCCTCGGGCGCCCTGGCCACTGTGGGAGACGAGGGTTGAGATGCAGTGGTCGCCTCAGCTGCGGCACCACCAGTGACTGCTCCGGCGGCTGTAGCCTCTTCTGCGGCAGGCTCTACGGCGGCAGCGCCACCTGTCTGCTCCTTTTTCACCTCCTTGGACCTTCGCTTCTCTTCCTTTTGCTGCCGTTTCAGCTCTGCCTTTCGTGCCTTTTCCTCTTCTTTCCTAGCACGCTCCGCTTGCTTTTCCTCTTCTATATTTGCGAGTTAGCAGAGCCAATCAAATATATATATATCTTTCGAATTGGCTACTTACGCTTGGTACGTTTGTCGTCAGCTTTCATCTCAGCATCACGTTCCCTTTCCACCAAAGCAAGACGCTTCTTTTCTTCAGCATCCAATTTCTCCTCTATCTCTTTTGCTCGGCGTTCCTCGGCCTTTTCGTCAATCTCATCGAGAGTTGGCTGCACGTTAGCCAAGGCAACTGCATCAATATCGGATTGATCAACAAATTTGCCTCCACCAATGTGAACCTTGCCTTGGTTGGCCGTGCGAGCCTCGCTGTCAGCTTCCGCTTTGGCTCTGGCTTTGGCTTCCCATTCTTCCATCAATGCCGGTGGAACTTTCCCAGTCTCAGCAAAAACCCGCTCATCCATTCCATGCATGCTGGTCCGAACGTTTCTCTGCGCTGCGGCAAGAAGGGCCTCTCGGTCTTTCTGTCTCTTGTCGGCATCAACCTTTGCTAATTTATCATTAAAGATATTCATTTGTGAGCGAATTTTCCGAGATTCTTCGAGGTCGTCAAACGCCGAGCTGTCACTTGAGGCTCGTCGTCGAGGACGTCTGATGGAGCGCCGAACCGATGGCGGATTCATGCCATAATAATTGCGGTATGCGGCGGTCTCATCCTGCTGAATCCTTGCAAGACGCTCTGCTGCGAGTTTCTGAGCCGTTTCCTGTAGATTTACGAATTTGGGAACGTGTGACGTTGTGCCGGTTGGGTTAGAGGCATTACCGGGGACTCCCCGGCTGTGTGCCGCTGTTGCTGCGTGGTGACCACTAGAGTAGCCGCCGCCTGAACCTTGGTCAATGGATTGTTGCTGGAGATCGTACATTTGTTTCGCCATGGATATTGCAGCTGCACGTAGACCATCTTGCTTCTTCTTCTCTTCTACTTCAATTGAGACCGGGGGGGTTGCAGAATACATCTCACGAGAGATGTTACTCTTTGCGATATTGTGTATTCGGCTTGCTTCCTGAGAGGACATGGCTGGAGACTCGGTCCGATTGGCTGCTGGGACCTTTTGCGATGGGCGATGAGCCACTGTCGCAGCATTGAGCGCATTGGCCGCTGAATTTTCTGCATCTGGGTAAGACGGCCTCACAACTGGGGAAGACTCTGCTCTCCGTCTGTTGCCAGACATTGCCCCTGTAGCAGCCAACAATGCACGTCGATTACCCTCCGGCGTGTGGCCGTAGTCAATTTTGGGACTTAGACCAGGAGTCCTCATTGCCTGGCCTGCCGCTGTATTACCGTGCGGGGTCTTCTCTGGGAGCCAGATATCAACATTCCCACCTTCTCTATGCGCTAATAGGGCGGCCTTGCTACCAGCAGCGCTCAGTTCGGGCTTCCAGGGTGCGGCAGGTTTATAGTCTTTGGCCAGCATGGCAGCAGCGCTTGCTGAAGCTGAAGAATCGGGCCTCCAGTGTTCAAATGGTTTTTGATTTGCATGTGCCAGGCTAGCAGCAGCTCCGGCAGAAGACTCCTTGTGGGCAAGCCCTAGCACAGGGTACGATGGAAGAGTAGTCGGATCAGCATGCTTCAAAGATGCGGCAGCACCTAGCTGGACGTATTAGACCAGCGAAGAGATAATTAGACATGGTGTGTTTCGTACCTGCCGCGGAAAGCCGGTGATCGGCATCCAGAGGATAGTGACTCTCTCCCTTACTAGGAGAAGACTCAGGGTGTCCAGTATACAACGCTGCCGAGGCTGCCTAGAAGAAGGACAACACTTAGCTCGTACTCTGAAATTGTCTTACGAAGATGCAAAAGAGTATCAAATACCTGGTCCTCTAGCTTGCTTGAGTCGGTATGATGGCTAGCAGCTGATTTCGGTGGAGGATGCGCAAGCTGCGCAGCTTGAGTTGCTGCTGTAGCCATGGTGCCAAGTGCGAATACGACTCAGCGATGAAAAGATGCTCTTCTTCAAAAAAAAAATTGGAAGAGCTCCAAGGCAATCAACGACCTCAATTAGAGTAAGGCCCAAATAGGATATGAGCAAAGAAAAAATGGGTCGACGACTTAACAGGGCTGAGGATTTGCAACGAGAAGCGGGCATCACCAGGGAGATCGGCATGACGTATGTGGGTCGTCGGGGATCGGCTGGGTCCGGTTTAGCGCGGGCTTGAGTCTGGCCTTTCGTTTGTTGATCGCGGAAATTCTCAGCTCAAACGCTCGTGCAATCATGACGCTAATCCATCCAGTACATTTAATCACACTCCTCTCACTTCAATTGGTTTTAATTTAATTTATTAAATACTTTACATATATAATTAAAGGGTGAGCTTGAATTTCCTTCTATTTGAAGAGCATACTTCCAACCACGAGTCTTCATGGTGATTGTATATTCGGTACAAGCAATAGCAATACTGGGGTTATCCCCCTAAAACTTGGCTTGCCAAACTCAAAGATCCACTCAGGGCAACTTGGTGTCGTCAAGGTCGACAAAGGGGGACCTTGTGGTAGCTGGCAACAGTATTTGATAGGCTGTCCTTGCAAACGTCGGGTACCAGCATGCGGTAAATAGCATAAGAATTATATAAGCTTCTTACGACAGAAAAATAGAATGCATGATGAGGTAACATCAGCCCACGAGTTAAACTATTCGTCTTTGGAGACAACGAGGAAATGCTGTTTCACTATGTCCCTCTGTTTTCTGTTCTCTCTATACATTTGTTACTACCAGCTCAAGAAAGAGTACGATAGCTGCTGAACTGTATGGACTGGACAGGCAGAATAAGTATCAATATAAATCCTCATCTCCAAGAAAGTGTTAATTGTCTTCCATTCTCAATCAACAAATATCTAAGGTAGTTTTTCTTGCAAGATACAATTTTTATAATTCAATCTAATCAATACAATCAGTGACAATGCAAGACATCTCGAAGCAGTAGTTATAGATTTATTACACCTCATACAAGTCTCACTCAACTTGAATACTATGAAATAATATACAAAAAAAATGGTTCAAGGCAAGCGTCGCAAAGTGTGTTGATGATCAGGAGGTACGACAGGACCCTTGACCCACGGTCCCCACCACCGATTACTGTAGTGTATGGGCTAAGGGTCTCGTCACCAAAATCGCTACCTGATTTACAAGGCATCTTCCCAAGGCTACTCTAGGTAGCTAAACGACAGTACCTAGTTTAATTAAACGATTTAGCATAACGCGGCCAACACTTTCACGAACTTCATCTGGTCCCCTACGAAAGGCATCTCCAGGCTCGCTGCGTCTTGGGGTGGAGCGGCTCTCATCAGCGCCTTTTACTTCCTACACATTCCCTGTTCTCGCCGTATCCCACCCCCACCATGTCCCAGGCGACACTAGACGGCATTCTGAATTTCCGCGACGTCGGGAAAACCGTGAATCAGAAATCCGGATCTGCGTAGGCGCATCGATTCCCCCGCAGAGCGTACTACTCTGTATTGTTGACCATCGACTATCTAACCCGTCCTCGCTATTTCAGCTTTGTCAACGAAGGCTTGTTTTTCCGCAGTGCTCGTCCAGGTGTGTTCCTTTTTTTCTATCACTGTTCTTGCTCGTTTAAGCCCGCTGGCCGGCGATAATAGATCAGCTGACATTCTCGGCCAGACGATGCCTCTCCTGCCTCTCGAGATGAATTAGTGAATAAATACGGGATTTCAAGCATTATAGATCTAAGAACAAAGTAATCCTTCCCTTTGAATTCAAACACGACATCGAAATATGTCTCTTAACAGAAGTTACTCCCAGGTCGGAACATATAAGACAAGCGCAGAAACGCGCGGCTACGGTCAAGGCCTCTGCCGCCTTGGCCCCATCGGACGCAGCCGCCGCGGAAACAGTCGAGATTCCCGGGATTCGTTACCACCTGATCAATCTCAATGGCAGAGGGTTCGAACGGAATCTGCTTTGGCAGATGTCTTGGGGAGGCATGAGGTGAGCATTTCCTCATTGGCTTCATATGTTTCTCTTTCAAGTTGTACTATGGTTGTCATGTCTTTTCTATTTTCTATTTTTATTTTCTTTTTATTCTTTTTTTCTTTTCTTTTCTTTTTTTTATGGATCGGTGACTGACCCTCCTTCCAACATCAGCAAACTTCTCACCCTGATGCTATTCGGATACCGCATTGAGGCTATTGGTGTGCTTGGGCGAGAAGTGATGCAGCATCGCGGACTGATTGGGCTGGGATGCGACTCGATCGACTACTGCCAGGCGGAGATTAGTCAAGTCTTTGACGTTCTTGCGGATCGGTCGAATTATCCACTCATTGTGCATTGCACGCAGGGAAAGGACCGTACGGGGTTGATCATTGCGCTGACACTTTTCCTCTTGGGAGTACCTATTGATGCGGTCAGCCATGATTACGTCCTTTCAGAGTCGGAATTGCTTCCAGAGAGGGAAGAACGTTTGGTCGAGATCCATGAGATTGGCCTGACTGATGACTTTGCGGACTGTCCGCCTGACTGGGCGGAGAAGATTCATACGTACATCGATGACAAGTATGGCAGCGTTGAGACGTATCTGAAGGATCATGTGGGCGTCACTGAAGAGAAGTTGCAAAGTATTAGAGAGATCTTGGGTATTAAGAGCGAGAACACTGCATAACAGAAGGTAGGTTATAAATGATAGAGCCAGCGTCATATGTGTATAACCAGGGCTGCTAGGGGGCATTAGAGGAGACACTCGCGGCCCATACAGCTGGCATGATACCATAGAACACGCATCTGTTTTGAATCATGTAGATAGATATTCCTAATGATAATAGAGAGTTTGATTGTATCTAGAGCAATAGCAATAATGGAATCTAAATGCGAGATGCCCTCTCGCGGGTGTACGAACCCCTCGTCCCCCTTCGAAAGTGAATCTCTCCGAACAGGGCGCCGCCGGAAAAATACGGGCTCCAAGCTGCCTTTCGGGAGCAGCCCTCGCAGTGAATGCAGAGCCACGGTCATGGGCCGCCTTTGAGATCTCGAGTTCGAATCCGAGAGAAGGAATCAAAAGGACGCCTTGAGAAGTATCAGAAAACAACAAATAAAGCTCGAAATAAAAGGTAAAATGAAGCTCAAAAAATAGGTAAAAAAGACAAAAAAGCTCGGCCGCCGAGGCGACCTACGAAAAACCCCCCTTCATGTCCTCCGTTAAAGAGAAGGTTTTTCCCCTGTAAACCCGGGAGTAGCGGATGTCGCCCCAGCACGGATATAGGAATATGGGGTTCGCCGTTCCGCGACGCCGGAGGAGCGAAGGGAGCCCTACTACCGGTGTACCATCCGACCCTGACGCATCCGCTGGTTAAAAAGATATGATTTCCGCCAAATATATACCTTCAGTTTAGTTCCCAATCCAGTAATGCATAACTCTGCCCGTTTCCACCGAAAGCCAACTCACCCAGCTGCGCCCCCATGCATGGCTATACGTCCCACGCCACGCCATGATACGGGGTCAAAGCAGGGGATCCGCTTCCATCCGTAACGTTGGTGAAGCTATCGATCTTCTTCCAACACAATCATGTCATAACAACCCAAACTCCCGTCAAATAAGTCGTTACCAAGTGAAGCATCGCAGAACATCAAGCCACAAGCACGTCCCAATACGCAAGAACAGCAACGTCATATCATACTACCATAAGCATTACGATCCGACAGCATGCGCAAACACCTTTGCTGCCAGCTCGCTGAGCAACTGGGTCTTCTGAGATTGCGGCAACTCTCGGAACACGGTATAGACACTCTTGCCTCGCGCATCACGGATCGCGCCAAGCCGGTTGCCAGCCACAGCACCTGCCAACGCACCAGGGAAGTTCGCAACAATGAAACCCATCGCTCCTCCGCTCAAGCCACCAACTAGACTCCAGAATTTGGAAGTGGGGCGGGCTTGCTCGCCTTCAGCCATGCCCTCCTCGCGCATCATCTCTTCAAAGACCGATCCGAACTGCTCGTTACTGAAGCTTTCCTCCTCGGCCTCATTCTTAGCGCCAAATCCAAAAGCTGACCAAGGGAACCCTCCGCTGGCTTTCTCTTGGCGCGGGATTTCCTCCTCGGGAGTCTCGGGCTCGTCACCAAAGTGATACGCACGCGCAGCATCGTATTCCCGCCGTCGGGCCGGGTCAGACAGGGTGTAGTATGCATCATTGACTTGCTGGAACTTCTTGGTGCGTTTCGTTCGTTCCGGAGAGTCCGCTGGCACGCGATCTGGATGCGACTTCAGTGCCGCTCTGCAAAAAGGACGTTGTCAGTATAGGAGTACTCCAAATACCCGATGGCGTCTTTGATGCCATGCTTTATAGATCAGTGGACAACATACCGTTTATACGCATCTCGAATTTGTTGCTGCGTAGCTGTCGAGGGAATATCGAGTATCTTATCTACACACTGGTCAGAGTGGTCTGGTCTCCAGAAACAAGTTGTCGATATGCATTTTGAATGCGGCGACAACGGAAAGGAAACGGATAAAATTTCGTTTTTGCACGAATCGCATGTCTATTAACGACAATGGAAAGTAAATGCCACGGCATACTCACAGTAGTCTTGGTGAGGAGCTGCGAAGGTGTCAGTATATGCTGCTAAGAGAAGCCCTTCGGATGTTGCACGAACCGGACATGATGCAATTACTCAAGATGGGCAGCTGTTTCGTGCTGCAATGCGGGATAGTTGCTTTCGCCTCTCACAGAAACGCAAGGATAATAATATTGATATTTCGGACAGATTATCGTCCGGCCAAAATGCTGGAGAAGATGAAGTTCTGCCTAGGGATTGTTACGCAAGTTCCTGAAGTTGGAATGACAGCTACGTGGCGGTGCAACCGTGGCCAGTAGCGGCTGCATGACGTAGTGTGGCTAACCTACCAGCATCCTTCCGGCGATAAGATATGGTTGCATTTATCCCTGGCAAGACCCAACGACGTCAATTCATCGAAGCTGCTTCACAGAAACCTCTGCTGCGAGGAATATTTCAACTCAATGCGAAAGAGCTCAGATTGAATCACTTCTCAAATCGGACAAAAAATTTACATATGGTTGTTGCTTTTCCCACGAAGCACTTCATTATTGCTATCCCAATTGGAAATACTCGCAGCTGCTTCAAGTACTTATGGAATCGGAAACGAGTGAAGGATCCTGTTCTGTTCGCTTTTTGAAACTCCATTGAAAACTTTCTCGCCTGCTTCTCCTCCTTTCGCGGTATTGACAAACCTTGAATATTCGTCATTGGAACCGGGGCTCTCAAAGACAATATTAACATGATCGATATCGAACTTGTATCGCCTTTTGTTGGAGGGCTTTACTAGCTCGATTACAAACCCGGTACTGTTGTCTGCAAATTGGCCGTGAACAGTTCCGTTATATTTGAGGCTGAAGATACTATAATCTTCCGACGATGAGGCATTGGCTTTCGTTGACGCGAAGACGGTTTCTCCGGCTTTCTCTAGGTACGCATACGTATGCGTCTGTCTGTCAATGGACGAAACAAAAGTCCAGTATACCAAAGAATAGGGGCCGGTAACAGCTCTAGCCCACCACCAGTGGTCAGCGATGAAATCCCATATGAAGGGACCCCAGTTCCTGTCAAACCCCCCGATACCTTCGAACTGGAGGGCGTTGCCATTGAGCACCAAATTAGCCGTCACCCTGCCAGCAGGGACCGCTTCGTTCCAATAGATTAAAGGCGCCAAGGTGACAGACGCGTTTCCATTAGGAAAAGATGAGCCATCCGGATAACGTGCCTTGGTGAAAGAGTTTAGAGTATATGTTCCTTGGAATCCTGGACCATCGAGTTGAACAGTCGACTGAGAAAAGTCATTGGAAATGGCGTAGCTGGAAATGAGATTGTTGCTTGTCCAAAAACCTTCGGTCCAATAATCACTACCTCTCACAAGGGAGTTCTCTGCAAATGCCACGGTGTTGAAACGTGAGCCATTAGACCAGACTGCATCTACACTGACGCGCAGGATTCCTTGGCCCAGATAAACGAGGGAAGGGTCCCGGAAGAAAGCAAGAGTCACGCCGGCAGAGCCATTTGATGATACTCCGTCAAAATACCAATATTCCCATGCCGTAGCATTGATTGACGATATTTTCGGTTTTGCAAATGGGGTTAATGGAGAAGTATCGATTGGTACGGATCCATTGACAATATCGGACGCTGAAACTTGGCTCACAAAAGCTGGGGATTGATGCACATATGCAGGATTTGCCAAAGAAATGGAACCTTGGAAAAGTAAGGCCAAAAGGACATTTTGGAGCAACATTATGGAATACGATCAGACGCGAAAGCTACTCATTATATAAAAATCAGCGGTCTGGCGTTCGGAATATATAGAAATTCGAAGGGCATATCGTTTATGGCTTTCGCCCCCAACACAGAGACGGTAAGCGCTAGCGAACGTCATTGCAGAGGAGGCGTGACCCTGAAGTCTAAATTTCCCATGGCGCTGCAAGTGGCGATGAAGATGGACGATCCTGCATAAATCGTGGAGACATGCCCACAATTTGGGTATCTGGACCCCTCCGAGGGACCACCCCTAGCTGCAAAGCAAAGGTCAACTTTCTGTCTTTGTCATCATCAAGCTTATACTCTTAAAATATTGGATGGGTCGGTGCAAGCTTAACAAGGTCAAGATCATCTACAAATCTCAAGAGCAGGTCGTACGACCGTGCCAAGTCATCAGAGGCCTAGAAAGGTGAGCATTGGGCTACGGTTGATGACTACAGCTCAGCGCTTGGCATCCAAACGCTGCAGCTGAGTTTGTTCTGCTGGGAAAAAGCGACATGCTCACCTAATAATTGCACTCTTTTACTGTTGGTTTAGTGATGGCTCGAAAAGGCGGTAAGTCATGGCTTAGGTGGTTACCCCTCACCAAATCCCCAAGCTCCACTCTGCCCACTGCTCACTAACACTGCGGTAGGCTAGCTCGTTTATTACGATTTTCTTAACTAAAGCATGACATTCGTACGCCTATCATCTCGCCAACTCCCGCTATAGCGTGACCTGTGAACCATGGGCCCCTTGGGCGAGTCCCGGGGACTCAGCGACCCACCTTAGGACGAAAATCAGACTGAACTCTCCACCATACTGCAACCCTATTCGTCCGACCCAATGATACTCATCCCCCCAGGTTCGCCAGGACAGGTTCGTAATGGAGGACCCAACGCAACGATGAGCCCTGCAAGTCAGAGATGAGTACAGAGGGTACACGGGATGGACCGTTCCCGCCAAACACCCACGCACACACAGTCTCCACTACAAATTCGAGGGCTGGGGTCCTGGTTCTGTTCCTGAAACCCCGAAATCTCCAACATCTCAATTGATTCGAATTCCGCTTTTGCCTCTCTTTAACCTCCATATCTTTCTTTTCCAACAAGCAGGTGCTTCAATTGTGCAGCGTACACAAACTTCGTCTTTTTTCAATAACTATTGCAACCAACTCACTCAAATTCCCTCTCTTATTCGAAACACATACTTTCTCTTGTCGCACAAATCCATACATACCACCGCACCGATTGAACCTTCCACGTTGCGCCATACAAATCATCTGATATCTGCAACTACAACCCTAAAACACACTACATTTTACCTCCTATTTTCACTCAATTGCAAAATCTTAATCAATCTACAACCATCTTCCGCCGAGCACACATCATGGGCTTCTTCTCCTCCAGCCCCTCACACCATCACAGCCATAACCATCATGGTGGCCGCACCGGGCACAGCGGACACAATGGACACAACTATTTCATTCGCCCCAGTACTTCCACCCCATCCTACTCCAAACGGCCCGCTTTCTACGCCCGATCTTCCGCCTCATCGTACTACAAGCGACGTCCACGCGATGGATTTTTCACGCGCATGTTGACGCTGATCCGACGCTGGGTCCGGGAATTTTTCGGCTATGCTCGACGTCACCCGTTCAAGGTCTTCTTCCTGGTCATCTTACCGCTGATTACGGGCGGGGCTCTGCATTCCCTATTGCGCCAGTTTGGAATCCGGCTGCCGCCGAGCTTACTTGCGCTGGGTGGAGGCGGAGGCGGTCAATCGTCGCGCGGTGCAGGGGGTTACATGGATGAATATTCGAGATATTCGTACTCCGGGCAACCTTCTTCGTCATATGGTGGCTATGGTGGCGGTGGTGATGGTTTCTTTGGAGGTGGCGCAGGGAATACGCTTGGTACGTTGATGAAGGTTGCGCAGGCGTTTATGTGATTATGAATCCACGGGTTGGGGCCAGATTGTTTTAAGGTATCAAATCCTCCGAGGGAGCTTGTCTTGCGCGACTTGTTCGGCTTGCGGCTCTGGCATTGCATTGCAATTTGCATGTGGATTTTACCCTTTCGTCAGGGATCAAAAAGGTCAAGCGACGATCCCGTCGCAGGAAACCCCTGGACTGGTATATCAATGGTGGAAAGTGTGAGGAACAGAACGCTGGGGTTTGGGATTTGGGATTTGACTTTCAATTCTTCACGAAATTATTTCGCTTCGACCTGACGCCGTTATGATACACGATTTGTTTTTTTAGATTTTAACTTTGAATGATGGGATGCACGAATAGATATAAAGGATATCATCACTCGCAGTATATGACAGTTTTCTAGAGGCAAACTATGACATGACCAAAGAGCTATGCGGAACAGCTAGATTCGAATACTTCAAACAAAAAGACTTTTATTTTATGCTGTATAGATCATTTCATCCTTACATGACCAACATATTTTACCTGCCTCTTCTTCGTCTCTGTGCCCCGCCGCGGCTGTTTCTCGCGCCAGGGAGCGGTGTTGGCGTGTCCGGAGCCAGGGTATCACTGTCGCCGGAATCGCTCTCTTCTGGCTCCAGCTCGCCTTCCTCGGGCTTTCGCAGAGGCGTGATTGCCCGTCCGACTGTTTGGTTGAAAGCCCAAATTGGCAGTCGGTACAACGCGGTCTGCTTGAAGGAGGGTTTGGCAATTTCATCAATCTGTAAGTAGTTGTCAATGATACCGATGCATGATAATACAAAATCCTCTTTGCGCAACTCACATCCAAGAGATATTCTGCCTTTTCGCCATCCTCGTTTTCTTCCTCGAGGTACACATTACCGTTTGCATCAACGATAAGCACCTTGCCGTTCTCTGCAACGACTCTCTTCCGTTCTCCAACGGGACCACCACTCACTTCGGCTTCGACGGGTGTATTGGTACCGCTTTTTCGGTTATTCTTGGACTTCTTGCCCTGAGAAGATTCCCGTTTGTTATCTCTTTCTTGCAACCTTCTCTGACGTCGGTTCAAGACCATGGCAGGTTCTTCGGAAGGAGGCGGGGCAGGCGCAGATGCGGACGCGTCCATTCCAGCAGTAATACCTGGGATACCCAACTCGTCGCCCCAAGCAGCCCGTCTTGCCTGACGAACATATCTTTCGACGAATTCACGTTGCCTCTTCCAGCCTAGATACATGGCTGCGTAGTGGGCACCACCTCCGCCGACGACAAGCAAACCGACCAGCACGGAACCTAGACCAGGCCTGAACCGCGCATAGTAATATCCCGTGCCTTTCCATCGAGGAAACCCATTTTTGAGGAAATGATCGTACCGCTCGCGGGTAGGTCCGCCGAGAATCTTGGCCACCACTGTGAGGCGCGCGAACCGTTGGTTCGCTTGAGCAACGGCCTGGCGGAGTTCGCTCTGCGAGGGACCTTTGTTGACGTGCACGCCGGGTTTCTTGCCTTTACCACGAGCGGTCTTTGCGGCAGCAGTTGCCTTGGACGCCGAGAGAGATTGTTTGACCTTGTCTGGGTGGTAGAGCTTCGACTTCTTGCGGAGCGCTTTGGTAATCTCGTCCTGGGTTGCTTTGGGACGCACCCCTAGGAAATCTGCAGTGCCACGGCAAATTAGTTATCAGTGGAATCAAAGGGGCTGAGCTTATTCGAATGGGTGCAGGTACCGTAAAAAGTCACATTTTCGCCTTCCGCAGTTGCAAGCTCATCTCGTAGACGGAAGATTTCATGGTCTGTATCACAATAAAAAAAGATTGAGTCGTTAGCTCGTGTCGTTATTGAGCTCCAAAAGAGCACCTAGAGATAGATTGGACTATAGGGGTTATAGCTCACCTTCCTTGGTCCATGCAGAGACACAGACGAAAATGCTGCACAGCAGCAACAGGGTGAATGGAAGAAGCCTCATGGCGGTCGATCAACGGGGGGGTTGATCTCACAGCACTGTCACTCCTAGGACCCTCGTCCAGAGAAGTTCATCAACAGCTACAAAAATACTGTGATAGAGCCAGGTACTGTGGCACCGCGTAGTAGGGTCTCTCTGCAGGACCAACAAAGCAATATGTGCCTGATTTGGACTAGTGGCTGGTCTGGGGAACGTGGACCAATCGACGCTCTCCAAAGTCGACTTGACGCCCAAATGCTCGATTGCACCTGCAGCAGTAATCACAGTAAATGAAGCTATGGTGAAAGACACCGGAATATATAAAAGAGCCTGATTTCCTCGGTCAAGCCTATTCTTTACTCTAATTGCCCTTGATCAAAATGAATAATTGAAGCTATGGCTAACAGTAGGAGATGTCTCTGGACAACAGCCGACAGCTGATTGGTTCATGGGCGTAAGCGCTCTGATTGGCTGTCGCTAACCAGTCCCTGATTTGCAGTAAGTTTTACCATCTCGGTTGGAAGAGAGCACGAAAGGGTTCTCAAAGTTGACCGATTTAGCTGACAGGCAACGACGGCCCTGGACGCGTTATTGATTCATCACCCTCTGCCAGGGTTATTTTTACGTTGCGCCTCTCGCTCGGCCAAAAGTGGAGCAGTTCGGGGCGAGAGAGTTTGGATGGGCAGGACGAAGAGAGAAAAGTCGGTTGCAGCCAAAGCCTTTCCGGCGTAACTCGTAAAAGGGGGCTGTGACTTGAGAAGAGGTATAGCGACTTCCTATTCTATGACAGAATTGCCGAGCACTGCTGTATCGAAGACTTCTTGTCCTTACGAATCTGCTGCTGGACTGAACCATGGGCGACTCTCTCAAGGCGGATTAGCGCCAGGGTCGGTTCGGGGACAAAAAAGTCGTTGGTCTGGCTGGCAGGGTTTCCCCGTTCTGTGCTGACAAGTCGCCTCCAGGCTCCTACAATAATAACACCCTCTTCCGCATCCTCTAGTGCCATATTTCAGGCAGCCAGTCGAATATCTTTTGGCAATCTTCGCTCTTTTTGTTCTTGACAGATACTTCAAATTTCGAAATCCCCTTCTTTGGCATCTGCACATTGTTGAGGTCAGTCTCCTGTGGTGGCCCCTCCCCTATCCGCGCTATCCCTCGATCGCGTGGCCTCCTTTGGATGAGAATGAAGTCCAAAGACTGACACGTCTCCGCAGGAATTCTCGCAAGGCATTATACAAAGCATATATACCGCCTTGATTTATCCGCTGCCACTATAGTCCTCTATACATATCACCGTACCACGAGACGCAATGGCTGGGCGCTTTCAGATTCCGCTGGACGCTTTGACGTCGCGCCTTAACCTCCAAGGTCGCTTTGACAGCGTCCGATCTCAACCGATTGCTTCTCGATTCGCCAACCTCAGGCCAGTGTCGGAGTTTCTGGACCTGAAGCGTCTCTCGAAGCCGGCAAACTTTGGCGAAGTGCAAAGCCGTGTCAATTACAATTTGGGTTACTTCTCCAGTAACTATGCGGTTGTCTTTGTGATGCTGAGCATTTACAGCCTCATCACGAACCTTTTGCTCCTTTTTGTGATACTTTTTGTTGCTGGTGGTCTCTATGGCATTCGTATGCTCAATGGACGTGACCTTGATGTTGGTTTCGCCAGAGCCACCACTTCGCAGCTCTACACTGGACTCCTTGTCGTCGCGGTGCCTCTGGGCATTTTCGCTTCCCCGATCACCACAATTCTGTGGCTCATCGGCGCAACTGGCGTGAGCATTGTTGGTCACGCCTCGCTCATGGACAGACCAGTCGAGACTGCTTTTTCCGAGGAGGCGGTCTAGGTGGTCGGCCGCGAACTCCATACGGTATGCCCCGACGGGGAAGACCACCAGGGTCGGGACTACGGAGGAAGGTCGTGGATTGGAGGAAGCAGCGAGATTTGGACGATCTGAGGAAATATGACGATACGGAAAGTGACGAGGGTGAATTGCGAGCGAGAGATATGCGCATGGTTGGTGGGCGATTCGTGAGTGACGAGCTACGGTTTACCGGGTATGATTTGGGACAGCGAGGGGATGATTCCGAGTCCGCAGAGGAGGTATTTGGACATGACGTTTCGGAAGATGACACTTTGCACACATTGTCACCTACGGAACGAGAAGACTTTTTGATTGACACGGCAATGGAACGAATACGGCGCGCACAACAATCTGGGCAAAGCAATGTCAGCCTTAGTAAAGCTGAAATGGAAGCCCTCGAGGGTCTCCGAAGCCAGCGAAATCGGTCGGGCGGAAAGCAAAGCAGCTTGGGCAGAGTATCAGGCAGCGACCAAGGCCGGCGAGCTCGCGAACTCTCCAATGCATCCCTGAGTTCAAAAGCATCGAGTGGTCCACGGAGCAGAAGATCATCAATGCTTGGAGAAGATAGTCCACCATATTCTACCGGTGGCGGTCTAGCTCCACCAGGCTTCGTGGTTCGCGAACCCAACGGCGGCACCACGTACGCACCTTTGGGCTACTATGGCCAACCGGCTATCCGCTCTCCATCAGCAAACTCATCGGCCGCCCTCTCAGACAGCTCGCCTCGGCTTCATTCGAGTCGATATTACTCCCCACCTGAGAATAACATTTCAAGCACTCTTCATCCACTGTCACCAGCGCTTTCAGCGCGAGGCGGTCCCGTCGATGAGCTTGACTGGTCGCCACGGTCTCGCTCTCATTCTGCCGCTCAGATTTGGAACCTTGACCCTTCTTCGCCTCACTCAACCCAACCACAGCCGTACTCGCCAACATATTCATCGTCTTCGCCTTACTCCGAGCCACGACATAACTGGTCCAGCCCATCGGAGCTGCAGTACTCTGCAATCCGGCGAGTTCCGCCACCTGCCACTGCGGCCACCATAGCCCGCTATCCGCGTGCTCCGGCCCGCGTCCCGCCTGTGAGCTCTACCTCTGATCCTTCAGTCGCAACTCGCAGGAGACCAGTGGCTCCTGACTCGTCGTGGATCAATGTTGAACCTTCTGCCAGCGGTCCTGGCAGCGGTGCTGCTGCATACGATTACGATACGGGTGACGATGAGGTTAGAGTCATTGAGCGAACTCCCTCCGCCGGCGGGCTCTTGACAACTGCTTCTCCCTCTTCTTCGCCTGCCGATGCTCCTGGGTCATCTGCTCGCTCAGGGTCAGGGAATGCGGCCTATACTCGTCAACGGAGGCAAAAGCGATAGTTTATGACCCGCCCGCTTTCGTCACTGATCATGTTCCTGCATTTCTTTTATCGTCCAAGTATCTCATCTGCTCTCGCCATATTCTTCTTCTCGGCCTTCTCCTTTGCAACTACACGATATAATTTTACAGATTTTATTACAGGCATCAATCTTGTCCATTCTTATTCTCTGTTCCATGTCCTGACCCTTTCTCATTTGGTGGAACACAAGGCGTGGACATCATATAAAAATATCTTCTTCACAAATAACAATTGATTGCTTGGGATCGGGTTCGATTTTACTTGTCTTGGACTTTTGGAGGGAAAACCCTCATGGAGTTTTTGCGCCGCAGTGTCATTTTTTAAATTACTCTACCGTCATGATTCATTCTTAATTTCTACAAAATAGACAATGATTTGAATACATTATTTGTTCATTTTGGTGATTTGTTCTAGTCTCGTATCGACCATCTCACCTTAAGCACCTTGCACTACATAGTATGAACTCGCAAGTTCATCTAGAACTGTATCGTTTTCCAACATTTTTGACATGCGTGGGGTGTCATACGCCACACGCCCTTTGGGAGTGGAGACTTGTAACCGGGCCGGTGTTGTTACCTGTGCTCTGTTAACAACTTGTACCTATTGTCTACGACTTCTTTTTTTTTTTTTTTTTTTTTTTTTTCACATGCAATAATCCACAGGCATGAATCAAATAGTTATATAAAAGTGCCGATGGAATAGACAAGTCTAATGCCATAAATATCACTCCATACGTATCCTAGAAACAACTAGTGTTCGTGGTAAGGCTGACACTGTATACCGAGTACTCGTATAACTGGACGGTCTTAGCTCCGGGTAAATGTCCCGGTGGAGCCCCCAACGTTAATCTAGTTCGCCTCTAACAAGGGCGATGCAAACGAAAAAGGGACCACTACCACACCTGCCATCCTTCCTATAACCATTTTGGTTGAAGCCAGGCATCTGGAGCCTGCTAAAGTATAGCGATACTGCAGTGGGGCAACAAGCCCGGGCCGGTTGGCCAGTTTGGCTCAGTCACCCAGTTTATATACCACATACTATCATGCATACAGAGTACAGCGGACCTGCTGCCAATAGGGAAAAACATTCTAGTGGATTTGTTTGATATTCTTTTACAATTTGGTTTCTGCTTAAGACGACAATATTGCGATACAGCTATACGACAATACAACAATACGATACAGTAATATAATATTACTAAACGCTGAAATCAGAATCAGAGTCAGAGTTACAAAGTCACAGTCATATGATCAGACAGTGTCACTATTGATACTGGGTATTCTGTATAAGAGTATGGATCTCAAAGACTTCCCGGCCCATGCGCCTCCAAAAGCAACGAAAAGGTTGCGTTTTGCTGATGTACGTTGCCTCTTACATTCAAATCGCAAATAGAATCTAGATTAAATGGAGAAAGAAAGAAAGGAAGGAAGAAAGAAAGAGAAGGGTGATAAGAAATGAACAAAAAGAAGGAATAAAAAAAGAAAAGAAGAACATGACGGAAGCCAAAGAAACCAAGGAAAAGAGGAAAAAGAAACGAAGAAAGAGAAAAACAAAGCAGGAGTCAAATAAACAAAAGGGAAAGCATAATTCAAAGACAATAGGCATGCTAATTATATTATCCCAGGTCGCAGTAACAGCAACCGCCAAAGAATTCGCAGGCATCTACCGCAACAACAAGCAATATCACCCTGCGGACTTTGACCGCACGCTCGATCGGGCACTTGTTGCGGGCGTTGAGAAGGTGCTTTTGACGGGCATGTCCCTGGGTGATATCGCGCACAATGCTGGAATTGCGCAATCTCGCCCGAATCAGTGTTTTTTTACTGTCGGTGTGCACCCGTATCATGCCAACGAGATGTATGAGGGCGGGGAGGAGTATCTGGGGATATTAAGGCGGGAAGTTCGGGCTTTAGTGCAATTGCAACAGCAGCCAGGGCCGCAAGCGCAACAACCACAGCAACAACAACAGCAGCAGCAGCAGCAGCAGCAGCAAACTCGTCCTCTCGCTGCGTATGGAGAATTGGGACTGGACTATGACAGACTACAGCACGCGTCCAAGGAGGCGCAGATATATGCATTCAAAGCGCAACTCGATCTCTTCGTTTCAGAAAGGCTCGACTTGCCGTTGTTTTTGCACTGTCGAGGAACAGCAGCAGCAGCAGCAGCAGCATCCACTGCTACTGAAGCCACAACTGGAACCACAACTGGAACCACAACTGGAACTACAACTGGAACTACAACTGGAACTACAACTGGAACTGCAACTGGAACTACAAGTGGAACTGCAACTGGAAGTAGAACTGAAGCCACAACTGGAACTACAAATGAAGCCACAAATGGAAGTACAACTGAGACGACAAATACAACTACAACAGCAACTGGAGTATTTGACGATTTCGTCAACATCCTAACACCCTACCTGCCGAACCTGCCACGACGGGGACTGGTGCATAGTTTCGTGGGCCCCGCGCGTCAGATGCAGAAACTAGTGGAGCTCGGGTTCGACATCAGTGTCAATGGGTTTAGCTTCAGGGACGCAGAGAGCCTGGCGATGGTGGCTGCAGTTCCGCTGGACCGGTTGCAGCTTGAGACGGATGCGCCGTGGGGCCAGATAGAAGACCGGATGGAGGTGGCGAAGCGGTATTGTGTCAATGCGTCCGCGCTACCGGCGGCAGCAAAGAAAAAGGACAAGTGGGACGCGGCGTGCATGGTCAAGGAGAGGAATGAGAGCTGCGCGATGGAGAGGGTGGCGTTTATAGTTGCGGGGCTCAAGGGGATTGGTGTGGAGGAAGTTGCGGAAAGGGCATGGGAGAATAGTGTTAAAATGTTTGGTCTTGGTGAAGCATAAGGATAGGTTATAGATCTCGGCACGTTGGATTTTTAGATGTCTCGGAAATGATATACGGAGCTGATATTAAGTATAGAGTTAATAAGGTAATAAGGATAATGATGAATAAAAGGACGTGAGCTCATGAGCTAGTGATTATGATAGTCGTAGAATAATAATAATAATAATAATAATACACGAGGCGTGACGTCGTAAAGTAAATGGCACAAATCGTAAGAAGTGCTTGTGGCTGCTAGAGCAATGTAGAAATATCTTTGTAGCCACACGTAACGGTTCAAATATGAGATTCGAGATGCAAAGGTAAATGTCTAAATTCCCACGACCCGAGAGTCAAGGCTCAGAGGCTTCATGGTCAATGGTCAATGGTCAGTCGCCATCGCCATCGCCCAAATGAGGGTACTTTCTGTACCAGTCATGGGGATCCCCACCAGGCACGCACAGGCCCAAGCGCCAGAAATAATCCCGGTGAGCGAAAAAGAGCTCCCATAGCTTGAACCGGGACGGAATCAGACCGCGAGCTTTAAGTTCAGTGTCCATTTCGGTGCCAGCATCTGCTTTTGAGTCAATGTCTGCTTGCGCATCCAGGGGTTCGTCTGCAGCGCTGTCACTGCTGAGCAAGAGGGCACCAAGGGCGGCGGCAAATTCAGTATCAGTGTCACTGGATTCCGCGCTGGCAATGCAAGCTGGGTCTTCATCGCCGAAACAATGCTGCAGATCTGTTGGCGTGGGCGACAATGGTTTCTTCGAAATATATACTTCTCCTGCGTGCATGCGGTAGCCCCATTCACGCAAAGGGAGAAGTGGCACAGGGTCATCGACGTGCGTGACGCGCCGAAAGGAGGATCTGGTCCCGGACTTTGATCGCGAGGGTTGTGAACCATGTGGTTCTTCTAGTCCGCCGAGATCGAAACGCTGATCAATGTATTGCATCAATGCTTTATTTCCCACGCGTGGTTCGCCAAAGGTTGTGACTTGTGGCTTCCAGCCCCGAGATTGCATTTCTAACGCGCCGATTGCCGCCACGGCACCGCCTAGAGAGTGGCCGACTAATGTCAGCTTGTAGGCAGGATGTTCCGCAATGAGGGTCTTGAGATGCGGAAGGACGTGAGGCTTTGTGTGTAGCCATGATGAATAGAATCCAGAGTGCACGGTGCAGTTGTTGCACGGGGGGTCCTCGCTGACGTTGGGAAAGTCGTCATTTTGACTCGACGAAGCCGAGTGCAATCGATCTCGAGAAGCCAAACTGTCCAGGCTGGTGGCATTTCCTCCGGGATATGGGATATACTCCTGGGGAACAGTCGACAGATCGACAATAGTGTTTGTGATGGAATAGGTTCCTCGGAATGCGACAATGATTCGAGGCTCGGATGGAGGATGCGATAGCACAATGTAGCCACACGAATCAGATAAGAGCGGGCCTGTATTCCATGTCTGTCATTTCCTCTTATTAGCAAGCGCTAATCAAATGAGCCAATGCAGGCTGGGGAGCATAAAATGTTGAGAAATCCTAACCGTGACAAGCTCAAATCCGTCAAACTCCGAACAACGACTGACGCAAGCAAATGGCTTTTGGATTCCCGTACTTCCAACGCAGTAGGATATATCTACGATACGCGCCAGTTCCTCCAGCTCCATGAAGAGCTCAATGGAGACATTGCGATTGCCTCTATGACTGCCAAGTTCAAGTGGCAATTGCGGTTGCCATTCTGCCGAAGTCGGCCGGGCACAAACAGAGACGGTCCAAACTAGGAACGTCAGAAATGCAAAATACGTCTTGCAGTTCTTAAACAGCATGATTCGGTGGCCTTTGCATATTCGATGTTGTTGGGAGGACCAACGAAATATGAGGACCAGAAAGAGGAAGAGTAGGAAGGAGAGAAAAGAAGTGGAATAGAAATCCGGGGGAAAGTCTAGTGCGTCAGTGAACCACGCGATTCGGCTCGGCTCGAAGCGTCTCTTGTCCGCTTCTGGCCGAGCAGGACATCATCACATCACAGCAGGACAGTCACACTTATTCGTTTTATTTACTTCATACTATTGGAAAAGATCGTCTTGAAGTCTTGCCGCTTTATTATAAAATCTTTGGGCAATGACGCTGTCGAGTTTGTCTCAGCCCGATGGCAATCTATACACAGCTTCCATAGAGCAGAATTGAAGCTTCTCTTTTTTTGGTTCTTATCTTATTTTATTTTATTTTTTGAGATCTGCAAGCGTTATAAATTTTTGACTGCTGTCAAATGCCAAAAGTTTGAAAACGAAATGATGTGCTGTTTCTTCTACTTTCTCTTTGAAGGTATTACTATCGCAGATGTGCTCTGCTCTCAGACTGCCTCAGTATGAATCTCGGGCTGTGTTCTCGATTGCCATTCGAACTTTTATTACTTTCTTGTCCGACATCATTTAGTTTACCATATGGGAACGGTCATTGTCAGGTCAATAATGTCACGGTGCTCGCAAGCTTCTGAAACTTACACCAACCGGTACCTGCTTCCACGACCCCTTAGTTGCCGAACACTCATGTGCCCTCGGTCAGCTATGACATCAATGATCAATCACAACTTTCGCCGAATTTACGGATTGGAGTCGGAAATGCGGCATGTAGCTCCGGTCATATGAAGCATATTAACAATGGCTGTCAAACTCAGATAGCTCTTTGTTTATGCGCACAGTGGAACGCCCGGTTTGATGAAGCATCTTATGGGAAATGGATCATGGCTCTAGGCTCCATCTGGGGTACACTGCTCACGCTGAGCGACTGAATAGAAGCCCAGCAAGTGAAAGCAAGTGCGGTTACATGGACTTGTGCCAAGTGTTCGAGGAATCGAGAGATCTTCTGGAAAGCTTACGACGCCAGTGGTTCTATCGTTGCTGTTCGTGAGGCTGCGATTGCGGGGATTCGCCTGCTTCCACGCAATTCTTCCCCAGACAAATGAGGTAGATAGCTACTATTGATGACGAGGAGCGGCAGCACTTCCTCGCTTCAACGAGAAAGGGTCTCATTCTGTGCCAACAAAAAGTGCTCCTTTCCTTCGTGCCCGATACCTGAATGGCTATTGTCGCAGGATACCACGGTTATTACTCTCCCGTGTGCTGTGTTGGCGATTTTCCAGCCAAAGAGCGCCGAAGCCTGAATGTTGGACATGGCCTCTCGCATGGCCCAGATTTCAAGCCAATCTATTGGTGATGTTCAATCCACCCACTTGTCCTTCGTGATTTGGGGAGTCGGAACGCCACCAGCTGATAAGCTAATTCATACCTTTTTGTCACTCACGGTCATTTCGGTCCAATCATGTCGCATGGGTGCGTGAAGTGCATGTTCTGCTTAACAAGGGGCGCTTAAGTGGTGCCCGGGGTTCAAGTTCATCTCAAAAATGCATCGAGCTGTTGGCCACGCGGTCTAGTTCTACAAAACCAATTTAACTGGTGGATTTCCTTCTACCGAAAGCGCTCGCATGCAAAAGTACACCGCTCATCCATGCTTGGGTCATTTTAGCATGAAGAGGCAGCTTTGCGCCGGCCAGTGCAGGTCCCCCCTTCTCGACTCAAGGTCCAGGGGTGTGGTGCCCACTCAAGGAAGAGACCCTGGCACCTTTTAACCACTGGCGGAAGACCATTATACCTATACTGCAGTCACACGTGCGCCACTGCCGGGCCGACCAGAATGTGAGATCACTTTCCTATTGGCATGGCATACCAATGCTTTTGTCCCGCATGCCGGTTCCGTGGGCTTTGAGGGCCCAAAGACCAACCTTCAATCATTATCATCGTTTTGGGAGTCACAAAGGGCATTGAGCGCTCTGTCTCCTGTCTTTGTCCATTGCGCGACACCGGAACGAAGGAACGCGTCGTAGCGCCAGGGAAATGTCTCGTGCCGGGTACCTGCACCTGCAGGTGGCCATGCCTGTGCCCTTGCTTTTGCTCTGATATTTTCCATGCCAGATCAATGCCGCCTTTTGGAAGGGTTACCTCTCTGGTATACCTTTTGCTTTTCTCCTTCTTTTTTCAAAGTTTAAGCTTTGCTACGAGGAGGGCAGAATAATGATGGCCCAGTCTAGACCCCGAGCCTCCTTGAGCACTCTTTCAATACCATCAATTCACAAAGTATGAATCATGAATCATGAACATTATTGTTATCCCCTGAATCCAATTGACCACAAATAGTATTCAGGGGGGCGCGGATTTGGTCTCGGGTACATCGGACCCTTTCTTTCTGCCAGGGGAATCCGTCATGCTCATTTGATAATTTCGTCTCTTCTGGGTGAGAACAGGGAAAGGTACTAGGCGAATACTTAAAATGAACATTTAAGTTTGGTGGCATGATAGGGTACTTTTCAAGTACCGGAGTGTAGCCGGTTTCCATAACCCCCCCCCCTTGGCCTCTTTCACGCTGCCACCAACTCGGCCCGCGCCGTCGAAATTAATGAGAGCAAATCACTTTCTCTTGCGGCCAAAAGACGCATCAGAAGGGAAGAGAGAGTCTCACCATCCTCTCAGCCAAGTGGCTGAATTTTATCCTGATTATTATCACTGCCGAATAATATTTGCTATGATACGAGTAAACCTAATACCTTTTCACTCCTCTTTACCTACTTCGGTGAACCTCCGCCAATCATTCACCCTCTAATCAGTTCTATTCCAACTAACTTACTCTCCCTTCTTCTTCCTGTTCTTGTGGAAGTTTTGCAATCTCCTATCTTTTCTTCTTCCATTTTCCTATTCGTTGCTTCCCAATCAGCGGTCCCACTCCCTCATCTTCTGCCAAGTGAGAGGGTTTGGTTTCGACATCTACAGCGTGAAATACCGTCTCAGATCATCGAGATACAACACCTAGACCCCTGCTTGTACGGCCGTTGAAACGAGACGGAGTCGTGGTGTCACTGCAGATCGCTGTTCCCCGCCAGAAGGGGCAATGTACGCCCATCCCATCTCTGTCCTTACCGGGTATCGCAGCACAAGGCAACGGCAGTAGTTGCTGCAAATAACGGCCTCCGGGCCTCCTCTGATCGTCAATCTACCCAGTGTTTGCCTACCCGTGACGGGAGCTCTCACAAATCGCCCTCGTGTGACATTGCACTACACCCGTCGATTTAGGAGCTTCGCGGCAGCTGGATCTGCCTCGACAGCAATCTCAACGGGGAGCCATGTCACGGCAGGGTGAAGGGCAGCTTTTGTACCATCCTCATCCTTCTTCTCATCCGCCGTCTGCGCCAGCGTGGAGAGAAGACGGTGGTGCAACCACCAGCACCGCCAACTCGGGTTTCATCTCAAATTCCTCATCTACCTCTCGCGCGTCTCCCGTCTCATCGTCGAATCTCCAGAGACAAGCTGGGCCAGATCCCCGCTCGCTGCAGCACAAACCCATTCCCAGCCCGCTTCAAACTTGGGAATCCTCCATCTCGCCCGAAAATTCCCCGGCACAATCGCCCTTTAACGACACAAGGAGGAGGAGGAGGAGCTCCCCCAGAACGGAAACCACGAATCTGTCTTCCTTGCCGGGTACAAATTCGTCTGGAAAATCACACGGCTCCGAAAAGGGAACGCATGTCCTGGACCCGACCCCACGGGTCACGGCTAATGCATCGACATCTACGCCGCACAACGACATACCTCCCGCTGGCGCTACGCCCTCCAGGTCTGTTAATTACGCCTCCCTCCGCCAGTTGTCGAATCCTCTTCCTACGTCTCGGCCCACTGAAGGCTCCTCGCACTCCTCACCAACAATGAGTCCGACCGGCTCAAAGAGCCCGACGGAGCTAAAGCCTCTGCCGAGAACATCCTCGATCGATTCCGCCATTTCTTCGCTGTCGTCGCACTCTCACAAGCAGTCGCAGGATCCAGTCTCATTTAAGCCTGCCGATATTGCGAATCTTATCGCAACGGCGGGGTCTGCAGAAGCCGTCATCCAACATCTTCTCAAGGAAAAACAATCTTCGGCCTCTCAGAATTCCCAGTTATGGCGCTTGGTGGATAAGCAGAGAACAATGATTCTGGGATTGAACAAGGACCTCGAACAAGCCTTGAAGGACAAGGATCGGTATAGACGAAAGGTGAAGGAATATTTGGCCGAGCTTTCCCGTCCATCAAACGGAGCTTCCTCCAAAAACTACAAGGACCAACCAAGAGACGCGCCAGCGACTGAGGCCATTTCTCCCGAACCGGTTCAACATCAAAACCTTGTGCCGTCTCAATCGAGCAATGTTCGAGATATCGTCTCTGGAAATTTAAGAGCGTCCACTGCTAGTGCATTTGATGTACTGGATGAGCCACGCACCAATTCATCAATGCCGGCTCACGCTGAGCTCACGACGAACACCCCGCTCCAGTCGCCGCGCGAAAACGATGGTGTCCAGGTCGGTGCAGCGTCGAATCCGCCAGCATCTACCAGTGGTTTCAACGGTGGAAACGATATCAAATCGCCGACTGGCTTGAGTCAGTCTCCCTCGTCTCGACAGCAGCAAGCTGGAGCCATGTCTCCAAACAGTTTTACGGCAAAACGTTCTCTGCCTTCGATGCATCGACATGTGGGCTCGCCCTCCCAAGAAAGTATACCGTCAAGTCTCCGAGGAGAGCACAATGAGAAGATTCCTCACCCGCAAAGAAAGGCGCCCCCAGCGCCTTTGAATCTGAGAAAGTCGTCCCGGTCTAGCCCGTATTCGCAACAAGTTGGTCCGGAAGACCATTCGGGATCTGAATATGATGATGTAGAAGAGGTGGATGAAATCCCTGCTTTTGAACGGGGCAGGCGAAAGACGCGCGAGGATGACGATAGAGATCGAGCAGCCGTCGCTCTCACAGAGCGGGAGCACCGCAGTCGCTCGAAGCGCGAAAAGGCTGCCAAGCCTGTCAAGGCTAGCACGCAAGCTCCCAAGGATGAGAAAACCGGATCAAAACCTCAACCTTCGCATAAACAAAGCGCGAGCGACGGTTTCGTCGCACAAATAGAACAGAACCCGTTTGCTCCGTCTAGCTCTATGCACAGCGCCCCCAGAGCCGTGCAAACGGCTGAGCGACGCTTCATCTCACTTCCGCCAATGAGTCCAGGTCTTCCAAATAGTCCTCGCCCAGTTGACAGGCCGATGAATTCGCCGATGCCCCGTATGCCGAGGGAAGGGACCAGTTTTTCTGCTTTGGTGTCCCCTCCAATGTCACCACGACAGGGTTTCCCCGGCTTGCCTCTATCTCCTCGGGCGCCTAGACAACCCATTCCTTTACCGCCAAATACACCCATGTCGTTGGCATCTCCTGGGCTTTACAGAGAAGAAGGGCCTTGGCGACAACCTCCGTCCAGCCTTTCTCGTCAGGTGAAACCGGCATTGGCTGTTGACAGCAGTGTAGCCAATACTACACCGGATCTCTCAACGCCGAGATCCGCCACTTCTCAAGTAATCTACCGCGGCCTCATGTCGGAACAGTATCCAGATTTATTGGTGCCTCCTGAAGCGCTCGTCGCCGTCGATGTTCGAGCGGCTTCGTCCAGGTTGAGACCTTCTCGTCATAGCTACCTGGGTGCAAAGCCAGCCGAAGAAGATCAAGTTTTTACGCTCGGCGTCTACTCCGTCCCCGGCGCAATGGAGCTTTGGAGGGTTGAAAAAACTCTCATGTCTCTTCTGCAGCTGGATAAGCAATTGAAGAAATGGTCAGATCTCAAAGCGCTTGTTCCAGACAAGAACTTATTCAGCGGCCACGCCCCCTCTAGAATCGATGCCCGACGGACTGCTCTCGACGCATACTTTCATTCAATCATGAGAACGGCATTTGATGAACCTGCGGCTCTCTTACTCTGCACCTTTTTGTCCACTGATGCGATCGATAGACATGGTGAGGAGACCACGGTCATTGGAGAGACTGCTACAGACGGACCCTTGTCACCGCTGAGCCCCGTCCGATCTCTAAAGGAAGGGTATCTCACGAAGAAAGGAAAGAACTTTGGCGGTTGGAAGGCTAGATATTTCTGTCTTGAGGGGCCAGTTTTGCGATATTACGAGACTCCTGGTGGAGCGCATTTGGGAACAATCAAGCTACATCGTGCCCAGATTGGAAGGCCATCCCAACTGCATCCCGGTTCGTCGCCGTCACTTGCCACTGATGAGGGCGATGGAGAATATCGTCACGCCTTTCTCATTCTCGAACCCAAGCGCAAGGACTCAGCCAGCTATGTGCGACACCTCCTGTGCGCTGAAAGCGATGCAGAGAGAGATGAATGGGTTCACACCTTACTGCAATACGTTGATACGGCAAATTTCAATGATGGTGCGAGCAGGCCCAGCATTTCCCAAAACGATTCCGGATCTCTCCATACGTCAGACTCAAAGACGTCTCCACTAGGCAAGGAGGATCAAGCAGGCAAGGAAAGCCCGAGCATTGAGAGCTCCAACACGCTGCGGAGCCTGAATTACGATGACACCGTAGCGGCTGAAGCTCCTGTTCGAGGGCCATCGGTGGTGAGGTCAGAAGATACATCTTCTACTCCGTCTCCCACTAGCTCTATATCGCAGCCTGGGGCTGTTCACCAGTCTTCTGTACACATTTCTGGCCCTACCAATGGCTCGGTGATTCAAGACGTGGGTGCATGGGGCAATTTGCCAGCAGCTCCCATTGCTGCCAAAGAAAAGGAATATAAGAAGCGGAGCATCTGGGGCTTCAAGGGGCGATCGTCAACAGAACTCGGAAGTCAGGCGAGTCTTGGGAACAGTGTTTCGGGTGGAAGTCTTTCGCAGCAGACACACCCAGATCGCTCTCATCCTGTCAGAGCAGTCTTTGGCATTCCACTTGCCGAGGCAGCCGAGTATTGCAAGCCACATAACGTTGACGTGAATCTGCCCGCCGTTGTTTACAGGTGCTTGGAGTATCTTGAAACTGAAGGCGCGGCAAATGAGGAAGGGATTTTCCGAGTTAACGGTTCGAATGTTGTTATCAAGGCCTTGCGGGAACGCTTCAACACTGAAGGAGATGTAAATTTTCTTGCCGAGGAGCAATACTACGATATCCATGCAGTGGCATCACTGCTGAAGCTCTATCTCCGGGAATTACCAGCAACGGTCCTCACACGTGAACTTCATTTGGATTTTCTTCATGTTTTGGGTAAGTGATGTCCATGTCTGTCCCTTTCTAGGAGACGAGGGGTTACACGTTAGAGCTAACAGGGGTAAATTCAGAACTCGATGACAAGGAACAAAAAGTTGCAGCGTACAATTCGCTTGTGCATCGACTACCAAGTGCCAACTGGAATTTGCTCAAGGCGCTGTCTACATTCCTCTTGCGAATTACAAATAATTCAGATGTCAACAAGATGACTGTTCGTAATGGTGGGTTTTCTCCGAGTCCCAAAGATTGAAGATGTGGTCACGACTAACATGTTGATTGCAGTTGGGATTGTGTTTTCTCCGACTCTCAACATTCCGGCACCAGTGTTTTCAATGTTCTTGACGGAATTTGATCGTATCTTTGGCGACGAGGTTGACCAGAGCGCGTCTCCTGTGATTGAGATTACTGGAGCGCCAAGTCTAACGCCCGATGAGATTCGATCTCCTCGCCGCCAGATGTTTTCTGACCTTCCCACACCTTCGTATAATCAAACGGCGTTTTCGGGGCATGATCGCTATTATGAGCACCAAGGGCAGGACCCACGCGGTGTATATGACACCGGCTTTGTTCCAATGAAACAGGCTTATGATCAGTCATTATATGGGCAATCTAGCTTTCCTCAGGCTCCGACCGGGTCCCAATCTCTGTCTGGGACAGAGTTTGGATCCCTTAACGAAGCCTTGGCACCAAGCAATACGCGAGAAGCCAAGGCGAGGCGCCGAGAAAGCACCATGATAATGATGGGGATGGGTCAACGAAAAGATTCCTTGCCCAGCTTGAGGGAAGACTCTGGTGAGTTATCCATTCGACTCTACATGTTATACAAGAATTACACTCTAACCTTTGATTGCAGCTTTAATTTAATATATATACCTAATACCCACGCCATTGTACGAGCGAAATTCCTGCAGCATGACCCCTTCGCACCGCAACGATCTAATGCTGTTTGAAAAATGAAGGCCCTCCTGCGCTTAATACCGATACTTGATAATGGAATTTCTCTGACTCATGTCTCACTGATCTACATTTACGCACCGCGGATCTCTCTATTTCACTCTGCCTACTTTTCCTTTTCATTCTACTGCATGGCATTGCACTACTAGTGGCATCATTACCATTGACCTGGCCTATGTTCAGGTAGACCTCGCATGGAGATGCATACATTTCTTTTTTGGGGGGACTTTTTTCATTATGATTCGGCGGTTTAGCTCTTTGGCCCATTTACATTTCTCATACCCTTTGATCTTTGAAACGTTGCAGATTTACCATCATCTTATTATACCTTTCACACTATTATGTCTGTTACAGGAGCTATATTGGGACTTTGCTTCTCATGTCGGAATTTATATTCTTCTCTTCTCTTCTCTTGTCCATCTCCCTTTATTGATTCCCGTCTCATCATATATTTATTTCTATCTCTTAGTTCGCATCATAAACTCCATGTCCGTCAATACTTGGCGCATTCTAGCGGAGCACAGCGATGGGATTTCTGGTCCAGTGACATAGTTGAAACTCTTTTTACAACTCACCTCTTCTAGTACACTATAATTCATGTTTTGTCCTTTGTCCTTTGTCCTGTTGTCATTTTGTCTGGTTACTCGCTACTTGCTACATGAGAATGAGCATGAGAATGAAATTGAGACAAGTTTATGATATACGCATGGCACTTGTTAGCTTGATGCATTTACACATTATGATTGAACATGTATACAGTATTCTCCTTTCCATATCCCAGTCCCTCTTCCCTTTCTTTCTCTCCGTTCCATGTAAACCGCCCAGCCAGCCAAGGAGCTCATACCAGTGACTGTGACTGTGAACTTATAATTCCCCCCCCCCCCCCCTCTTTGAAATACCTAAATTCAAAAATGTGTTGCAACTCGCAAAAAAATTCATACGGGAGTAGTGAGCGGGGAGTTGGAAAAAAAAAAAAAAAAGGAACTCTCCCTCGGGGAATCGAACCCCGGTCTCCCGCGCTTGCGATTCCACAGTGACGCGGAATTGACAAGCGGAAATCATAGCCACTAGACCAAGGAAGATATGTATACGATCCGTTGGCGGATCGCCTTGTTTGCTGCTGTGTGACCAACTGAGCTAAGAGCTGTTGCTGAATAACTTTGGTACTAAAGAGGTATATATTATAGCGATTGGTGCGGTGCATAACATCTAGGGTTTCTAACGAGCGAGGAGCCGGGAGGCAGGGAGGATGCGAGATGTGTGGTGTTGGAATTGTGGGAGTCTCGGAAAGAAAAGTAATAGATCTGGACAAGACCAAAAAAGGTGCAAAAAAAAAAGGGGGAGGAAGAGAAGGAGAGAAAAGAAAAAAAATACCCCAACGATCTCCATAAGTCCTATACGGTGTACGTTTAGATATGCTGGAATAAGACTGCGCTGGAATTGGAATGAGACTTTTCTACCACCAGTCACAGTGATGCGAAAATCAAGGTAAGTTACGCCGTGTTGGTTCCTTGGTTCGAGAGGGAGGATACCACATACCAAGGATAGCTGACTGTCAAACGGAGCGTCAAACGAAGCAAAAGTATTGTGACACTGGCGGCCTGCTGGGCAATGGGCAATGGGCAACTTCTTGCTGAAATGACCGTGAATAATTGGCTATAGCCAATAGCCAACGGGCACGATATTTGCATATATGTACGGGTATGAAAATGTGTAATCTAATCACAGAGCAAGAGGACAAAGGTAAAATGGTATACAAGGTAAAAGGACAATGGTAAAGGGTATACAAGGGAAAAGGGTATATTTTACATCTATTCTAATCGTACGCATTTCTTCTTCCTTGTGCCACCGGATACTTGATATAAAATAAAAAATACAAAAAAGATGCGGCCACGTAGGGACCTGCTGGCAAACTATCGGCTCTTCAATGAGAGCGCTTTACTTCCCAAGCCCAAGTTCAAAAAAAAAAGGGCCGACATATTGTTATACGCTAATGCTTGCTTGCATGCATGATCAATACTCGATGGACAATGCGTAATGCGTAATGCGCAATGCTCAAATCTGATGCAAAGATAAAATAACGAATAAAACCGCCCAATGGTCTTTATGCCGACCACAAAAATCGCAATATAAAGAAGCCCTTCCAACACCGGTATCGCTGTACACCCTTATCAAACAAAAGGGAGTCCAAATAGGAAAAAGGAAGAAGAAGAAGAAGAAGAAGGAGAAGAAAAATGCAAAGGGGAAAAAAAGGAGTCACAAAGATCAGACGACATAAAACGTTGAAACGCCACCTGAGAGTCTTTGCGCTGCAACGGGATAGAAAGAAGCCATGCGATCAGGTTAGATCAATACAGATGATATGATGCGATGTAGAAATGGGACAAAATACAAAGGTAGAAAGTACAAGCTCGGAGAAGCGAAGAGAAGAAGAAGAAGAAGAAGAAGAAGAAGAAGAAGAAGAAGAAACGGGCGAAAAGAGGGTACAAGTTAAACAGCCAGGATCACACATTAGTAAATGTAGGCACAAAATGGACGCTACTCCCTTCTGACACGTTCCCGTTCCAATTCTTCTCGGAGTGCATCATTCTGGGCTCTGCCCTCCTCGAGCCGCTGTCGGGCACCGCTTCGATCCAACAGGCGGGCTTCACGCTCCGCTTTTAGTCTGCGTTCCATTTCCTTGAGGCGTTCGCGCCAGCGCTTTTCACTGGCGCTGTCGGAGGTGGTGGCACTAGGGCTGGTATCCTTGGGAGCAGTGGGGACGTCAGGTGCCGGTGCAGCATTGTTGCTACTGGTACTGTCATCTCTTTGATGATGACGTTGGCGGCTTAGAGAGAGTTCTCTGCCAGATGTACCGGTACCAGGTCTGTTGCCGTTACCGTCTCTCAGGCCGCTCTTGCTAGCACTGCTGCTGACTGCATCGTTGCCGCTGGTACCAGTTCCGGCATTGGCAGCTGTGTTGAACGCGTGTTCGGCTGCCGAAGCAGAATAACGTTTGTTGAGCGCTGTAGAAGGGGTAAGGAGTGAGGTGCGTCGTAGTGTACCTGGTGACGGAACACGGGGTGTGTTGAATGGAGGATCCGTCACAGAGCGGGTGAGATGATAAGGAGTAGCCTGATCTTTGCTGCCAAGTTGTTGGTGTTGCTGTATCATGTGTTTGAGCTCAGCCTTAAGCCTCTTATTTTCGGTGCGGATCTTGGCGATTTCAGGTCCAGACAGGGACGTGAATGTCGGTGAATTGCCGGGTGCTGGCGATTCCCTTGATAAGTCTCGAGTTGCCACAATACCTTCGATGCGTTCGAGCCGCTTGAATCGACCTTGGACGTTGCGCTCGAGTTCTTGATAATCTTTGGTGAGGTCTCGTTCAATCGCTCTAATACGCGTCTTCACGCCGCCAAGTACACCCTCGACGGTCTTCATAGCAAGAATAATGGTCTTGCTGAAATTGGGATAGTATGCGGCGATGACTTCGAGACTGGGCACTTGTCCATTGATATTGCAATTCTGCTTGGACCAATCGGAGCCGCAGAGAGTGGAAAGGCGGTTAAACAGCGCGAGAAGAAGAGTGTTTCGATCCTCTAATTGACTTTTATATTGCTGCTCGAGGTTGTGTGCCTTTCGGCGTTCTTGCTGCCTTGCGTTCTCAAACTCCATGATGCGTGTCTCTTGTTGGGACATGGTTCGCATAGTTTGAAGATGAGTTCTCTGTGCCTTTTCGAACTGAGCCTTTTCCTGCCGCCGACCTTGCCTTTCATGGTCAAGTAGGTCAGACAGTTTCTTCGACTCAAGAGCAGTGTTTTCGAGAAGGGTATCCCGATTTTGGAGCAGTCGTTCCTTGTCGCTAAGGTTATTCTTGGTGATGTCGAGCTCGCTCATAGTCGCACTCAGCATTTTTTGCAACTTTATAACAGACTACCAACAACCGTTAGCTTAACTCCCATGGAATGAAAACACTGGACTTTACCTCTATCAGACTTGTGCGCGTGCCATTCGCGTCACCTAGTGTCTCACGCAGACCGTTTTCAAGCTCAGCTAGCCGTTGTTTCCAAGTGAGTGCCTCGGCTTCTTTCGCAGCAATACTCTTCTTGAGCTTGCGCTTCTCATCTTTGGCATTTGACACCTCGCGATTGAGTTCCTCAATGATGCGTAATTTATCCTCGCGCTCCTTGGCAAGGACGACCTCCCGCTGGTATCGCTCCTCTCCCAGCTTTTCTCCAAGCTCATTGGCCTTCTCCTGCTCAAGATGCAAGATAGACTGCGTCGACGTCAGTGATCCTTCTAGCTCTCCAATCTTGATCTTATCCGCATCCTGCTCTTCTCTTAGGAAGGCAATCTCTCCTTCATGAGATTCCAGTTGGACTTCCAGCCGCTCGACTTTTTGGTTTGAGTCGTCAATGCTCTTCACGTAGCTCTCAATATCCTGGTTTGCAGCATCGAGCTCCTCTTCCAGATTTTGCACCTTTTGAGCATTTGATTGCTGTTCATCCTCAAGGCGCACCAGGCTTTCGCTCAGCATCCGCATCTCGTTCTGCAACGATTTGAAATCTTCATTCCTATTTTCAAGTTCAAGCTCGAGATTCTCGATGCGTACAATCTTTTGATCGATTTCTTCTTCGAGTTTGTCAATCGCTTGCTGAGCCTCACTTCTCAGATCTTCATACTCGACGTCTTTATCTTTGTTGACAGCTAGTGCTTCGTCGCGTTGAGCCTGCACAACACTGAGGTCATGATTATAAACTGTCAGGTCGTTCTCCAATAGACGAATGTCTTGTTGATGCTGCAACTTTTCGCTTTCAGCAAGGCCCAGTCGGTTTTCCATTGTCGCATAGTTGCGCTCGATCTCTTGCATCTTGAGGCGAAGTTCCAACACCTGATCCCGCAAAGCATCGTTCTTGTTCTCGAGCTCTTCCTTTTCAGGGTCACTCAATTGAGTCATGCGCGTGGCAGCGCCGGCCCGTGAAAAGTTTCGTTGATTAACACGGGATGCCGATCGCTCAAAAATACTCTCACCTGCAACCGATCTTCCTCCATCGGCGCGTCGTTGATTGTATTTGAGATCCTCAATTTCTTGATAGAGACGTTCTCGCTCCCGGTTCCGAGATGTGAGCATGGAGGTTTGAGCACCCACTTCGCGTCGAAGCTCAGCATTTTCATGTCTGAGCTGCTCTACCAAAGTCGAGCTGCTTCCATCACTAGACCCTCCTAGATGGGCATAGGTTTGCTCCGTTTCTCGAGATGCCGGCCTTGAGTTAGAGGTCTTCAGACGTTTGCTCTTGTGGAGAGCACTATCGGTCGGTGTAAGCGACGACGATCGGCCACTCTTGAGAGCTTGAAGATCCTGTCGGAGTTTGCGCGCATCCTCGTCGGCTTGCTCACGTCGAGCTGCCTCTGTCTCATACATGTCTTTCCACATATCCTATAAACCATGCCTTAGTAACCATCGGTCGACAACAACAAGGGGTTTAACTCACGATTTCTTCGCGGACTCCGATATCCCCGTCTAAGCCTCGACGCTCTCCCATTGACCGCACTGCATCGGCCAGCCGTCGCGTTTCATTCTCACGCGTAACTCCTTCCTTTCGGATACGCTCCATTTCGCGTTCATATGCTTCGATTCTACTCCTATAATAGGTCACTTCTTCTTCTAGTTCGACCTCTCGGTAAGACCGCGAGTCCTTCTCATCGTCAGAACCAGCATTTTCAGCCTCCCGTTGCTGAGCATCTCCATCTTCCCTTTCTGTAAGCTTGTCTTGGAGGGATTTCACCGTCTTCCGCAAGTTTCGAACCTCCTTCTGTGATGAAAAGAGACTTGCCTTTAGTTCGACATTTTCAGCAATCATGTCCTTGATTGCTTCGTCAGAGCGATCGTTAAGCGCAGAATTGAGAAAAGTAATTTTCAGCTTGAGATCCCAATTTTCCTTTGACAAGCGGTCAATGGTCGTACTTTGTTCTTTCAGCGTCATTCCACTCCTTCGGGGATGTGTGGGGCTGTTGATGGAGGGAATGCTGCTCATGCTAATCGTTCTCGGAAGGTCCAGCGAGCCCATGGACGGCTTGCTCTGCATAGGCGGAACAAAGGAAGAGAACCCTTCCTCGGTATATTTACTTTCGCCATCTTCATTCATTGAAGGTTGAAGCCGGTCTGTAAATCTGGACTCGTTGCCTTCTGATTGTTCCTTGGTCGCCTCTTTTGGTGCCTTTGTGTCTGTGGTCGAGGTGTGTCTCATATCCGTAATCTCGATTTCTGGCAAGTCCGAGAGTTCCGGACTCTGGAACTTGACTTTTGGTTGATATGCACTGCTCTCATCGTGAATCGAGGAAGGGATCCCAATGTCAGTCGCCTCTAGCAGTTCGTTTTCGTCGTAGTCGGAGGACGGAAGCTTTATTTCGGTCGCGTCGACTGATTTAATATCTTCTTCTCCACCATCCTCATCTCCACCAGCTTCCTCTTCATCGCTAGACACGGGGAGCTTCACCTCTGCTGCTTCACCATTATAGTCACGCTCATCGTTTTCAGAAGTTGATTTCGGTCTCAAAGGAAGAGAGATGTCTGACGGTTTGGAGTCATGTTTTGCGGCACGCAAATGCGGAGTTGTCTGAGTCGCTCGAGATTCACGCGAACTATGAGATCCATATGATCCTTGGGAAGTAGATGACCCAGCTGAACCCGGACGGAGTGACGATTTTCGAGGTGGAATCGGGTATTGCGGAGGTGACGACATGGCATACAGGTTTGGCTGAGCCATAGAAGGAAGCCCGAGAATGCCGGCGTCAATGCTGTGTCGATGATTCAGTGTGCGAGGCTCAGTTCCTGCTCGCACCGGGCGTTCACTCAAATCAAAGATGCGCTGATCGTCCAGAGTGGACTTGACGGGGGTCTCGAGCGACGAGAGTCGCCTAGAGAAGATGCGATATTGCGCCAGATTCGCGGTGTTGCACAGGCAAAAAATTCACAGGATTAATGGTTCATGATTTTTTGAACCTCAATTCACAATTGTGTATAACGAGTGAAGCTTTAAAGTAACGTGTCAAGGAGTGACAAATGAAAGATGAAGAAGCCGCATCGAGAGGCGCGCGTGGTGGTGGATTTGTTTTTGTGGTGTTTAGCTGGTGTTGCAGCTGTAAGCGGTAAGAAGTAAACTCGGTTAGAATTGAGACAGGCAAACAGGGGGCTTTGAACTGTTCCTTCCCTTTTTAGTGCAAATGCGGGAGGTCTAATCGCTCACCCGTGGGGAATCATCCGTGGTTCTTTGCACAGGATTTGTCACTAAAGTGCACCAAAAGTAGACAGAAGCTATGTAATTCTCAAAATAAAATCAATTTGATGAGCCTGATATGAAGCAGTGTAAATCTGTGTATTAAGTGTGCCTTCTAGGGAGAAAGCTAAGCAGGTGGCTCATTATCTACAGCGGCTGCCTCCTAGAGTATTTATGCCGTATCATGCGATAGGGAAGGGACGAACCCCTTCGCGCGTATTGCAAGGTTGGGTGGCAATGAAAGAAGGATTATATTCTTTGATATTCATATATCTAGTACATGCGACCATAGACTGAGGAGAACTGGGCATCCCGTCCGCTCTGCCATACATAAGCCTCAGATCGGCGGACTAGTAGTTGGGTCGGTGACGACCAGCGAATCCCCGCTGTTGCATGTTTTTTTCTCTTTTTTTATTTTTTTATTTTTTTTTTACCATTTTTTGTTTGTGTTCTGTACTGAGACTGTATTCCCAAAACCATTATTCACTCTTCCCTAATTTCTTGTTAATTATTATTTTTTATATATATTTTTATATTTTTGGGTCAGTTGTGTATATATGTTTTCATCTCTGGTATTGAACTTGTGAAAGTGTAGTAATTATCGCAAAGACTTTTTATAGATACTCCAGAGTATTATCCTACGCACCCGGAAGCACACGTACAAGCATATAATATAAGCTAAAAATGTATTTTATCAACATACACGAGACCTAAAATGCCCTCACCCTATCATCCGAAAGGTTATCACTAATGGCGGACCCAGACGAGCCCATATATGGCACCAACCCCATTTTCAAAATCAAGTCCGAGGTGCTCGGCTTAAATGGCCAAGATTCCCACGCGGCAATAATCTCATCAAGCATTTCGGGTGTCAGCATGCGGACACGAAGGTGTTCCAGATCCTGGAGGCCCCCCTTGCGAAGATCCTGCAGAGACGGCGCACGCGGAAGGATATAATCCGCTGCACCTGGGGCTAAAGACTCGAGACCACGCACAATGGATTGCTTCGGCTGCATATACAAGTATCCCAAGATGCTAGTGAAAACATCATATGCCTCGGCGGAACGTGCAACTGCGCCCGTCACGGGCCTTGGTTGAAAATCCAAAAGTGCCAGATGATGATTTGGAAAGAATTCTTCCGCTTCAACATTAAGCGGTTCCTCTGTTCGACGATCCCACATGAGCACGGGTGGGGTTGCTTTGATTGCTCTCCGGTCATCCAGATAGAGGAAAATCTTCTCCTGTTGGGGTTCTCGGAGGCCGTCAATCTGAGCGTATACCTTGTCCTTGGACTTGGCCAATTCAGATTCTTTCTTCTCTATCTCGTCATGAGGAATTTTGCCTTCCATTAATGCCAGCTCGATTGCATCTAGGCGAGCTATTTCTTTGACAATCCCTTCCATTTTATGTTGTCGTTTGAAGTCAAGTTTCTTCAATGCCCTCAGCAGGATGAGGCGTTGATATTCTGGGGTCCGTTCTCGTTGCACTCCTCGTTTTCGGCCCCGCCTGGAATCGTATTGCGCGGATACGTAATCTTCATCCTTGACTCGCTCGTCTTGGAATTTGCGAACCTCTCCAGTTATGAGCTTCTCTTCAAGCTCATTCAGTTCCTTGTGCCAGACTCGGCTATCTGCCACGACCGGGCCAGTTGTGGTCGAGGTATCAGTTCCCGGGGTGCTGGATCCCTTGGAAAGTTGTTCCTTGGCTACCTTGAGCGCATCCTTATGCAGCGGACTCTGGCGATTCAGTGGGAAATTAATTCCGTTCTGGAGCATTTGTAACGCAACCTTTTCGGCGCTCTCTTGGTTGATGCTTGTGGGTCTTTTGCGCCATCGATGCTCATCTTGATAGCCTGCTATTTCACGAATGTCACATGTAGATTCTATTTGAACCGAGCTCTTTCGTCGGTTTGCAATCGATCTGGGGAGAATTGTGTTCTTTTCCTTGTCTCCAATCCAAATTAACATTCGTACGAGGCCGTATGCTTGAAAGATGGAGTGATTCCGAACCGCAGACATGAGCTGGTTGATCATGAGAGCAGCAATGGAGTTGAAGCTGCCGCGCTTCTTGGGAGGATAGTGACCTAGGTTTGCCACAAAGAGTAGCGTGTCACTGGGTTTGTTAAGTGCTTCATGGCCACTAGGTAAGAGTTTCTGGTGAGGTAGAAACCCTTCCTCCGCTATTCGCATATATGACGACCATTCTACTCCAGACCATGGCGCTAGTTTATAGGTGGAGTTTCGCTTTTCTAGGAGGGGTTTGAGGAAGGGTAGATATAATTTCTCGTCGGGCTCGAGAAGAATATGTGTCCGTGGTTTGAGGAATTCGTGTAGCTTAGATGACCAAAGTCCGACGCCGGGGTTGAGGTCAATGATGTCGCAATTTTTATGGCGTTCTAAAGATGGTGCCAATGCCTTTATAGTATGATCTATTGCCTGGAATTAGCTGTCTGTTTGCGCCCTTCAAGGATTCTGAGGAACCCACGAATTCTGGGGTGCCGCTCAATCCGGTTTCTCTCGATCACACATACCACACAAATCTGAACTGACAATATTGATCCTTGACCGGTCACCGATAGGTCTCTTCGCTGGACTTGCTGCAGCCAATGCTTCAGCGATTTGGTGTCTGGCTAATCGTTTTGACATGATGCGGTAGAATCCATGAAGTGTTCAGAACTATTTTGTCGCAGCCAAACGGCTTTTCTCGTTGAAAGCCACTGCTTTCTCTATATTGAAGATTGCATAGAAAATTCTGTATGCAGGCGGCGAAGCATATTTTCAATGAAATGAATGCTGGAGCAGTATCATATGCATCATGATGTACAAAGTCGGAGGTTTGGCGGCCAAAGACCGACAAACGACACCGCTGATGCCCCTCCAAGGTTCCTCGGCGTCATATCGACCCTAAAGCTACACCACTCTTGTGCCCAGGCCACGCAATGCTTCAGGCAGCAACATTTCGTTGATAAAGAAGGTGGAGGTTTCTCAGCACCAAATAGATCTTCTATTTGGTCTGCGATTTGAAAAAGTATCATGGATCTTTCAGAGCTTCCGGCCGCGCAACGGCCTATGAGCGTCGAGCAGCTGGTCAAGGCAGCACAAGACTTTGACTATAATCCTTTAATCCCCCTTCGTTACTGGCTTCGTACAGCAGATACCTTATTGAAAGAGGTAAGTGCTGTCATCCCTCGACTTTCCGCAAATGCATTTCTTATTGACTGACGTGTCTTTGACTTTGATCAGGCACGCATCTATGAATTAGAAGGCAACGACCAACAGGCGTACTTACTTCTCTTCCGACATGCGCAACTCGTCCTGGGACATCTCACAGACCATCCTGATGGCCGTCTAAAGGAGAACCGACAGGCCTTGACTGAGGCGAAGAAGGCAGTGAATCGTAATCTGGCGAAACTCGAGGTACTAAAACCCCGGATCAACAAGAGGTACCAAAGGTATGAGGAACTGGTTCGAGCACGAGAGGATCTACGAAAGGCCAGTGCAAATCCCAGCGATCATCAATATGACGGATGCGATATATCGACACTGTCACGGACACCGTTAGACCCCGCCGCAATTGCTCCGCGTACGCTCGCAGCCAGCGAGAACAAAGATCTTGCAGTCGAACTAGCCCATAAGGAAATCAGACGACGGCAGACGCTACGTAGAGCAGTACGACAAGCGGGAATATCATCCCAGGAAGAGCATGAAAGACGGACGGCAGGCATCTGGGGCGACTGGGAGGAAGCGCTTGCACGGCACGGCCAACCCAGGGACAAGGACGACGTGAGTCAACGAGTGCAAGAAACACGGAGGTACATGGACCAGATGAACCGGATATCATCCGCCCAAGGAAGAGACATGGACGACGCTGCACCGCGATCTAGGCTCCCAGCTTCACAAAGTGCATATCAATATCCGTCAGTACCTGCAAAAAGCGCGCACGAATCTTGGACGCCAAGCACTGTATCATCACCATCACATACTTCACCACATAACATCGACCCTCTACCTCTCCGACCACCTAAAGAATTGCCAAACGATCGCAGCGATTACTTTGTGCCTCTGCGACCAGAAAAGACTCCCATACAATCCGCATCACCTACACCACCGCCTCTTCCTCCTTTCTCGACCGCCTCACCGCCTCCGGCACCTCCAAAAGCAGATCTCAACCCCTCAACGTTTACATTTAAACCCGCAGCATACCTTGAAAACGGCACGCCTCTCCGAACCATTTTCCTTCCTCCGAATTTAAGATCAGTATTCCTCGACATTGCTGCGCCCAATACCCGCGCAAACCTCGAAACTTGCGGCATTCTGTGCGGGACACTCATCTCCAATGCATTATTCATCTCCAAACTGGTCATCCCAGAACAAGAAAGCACATCAGATACATGCGAGACTGTAAACGAATCTGCTCTCTTCGACTATTGCGATTCGGAAGACCTCATGGTCCTAGGATGGATCCACACACATCCATCGCAGACGTGCTTCATGAGCAGCCGGGACCTTCACACTCATTGTGGCTATCAGGTCATGATGCCGGAAAGCATAGCAATAGTGTGTGCCCCAAGCAAGGAACCTTCGTAAGTCTCGCCTTCTTTATTTCTCCCTTTTCGATATCTTGTTACCCTTTGCTCCAATTTTCTGCTTCACCCCCTTTACTATCCAAGCCTCATCAATCCAAATCCCCGCCACCAAACCTTTGTCATGCATATAAGCTCGATTACTTTACTCACACCGCACAGATGGGGCGTCTTCCGCCTAACCGACCCACCCGGTCTCAAAACCATCCTCAACTGCCGCCAACCAGGCCTCTTCCACCCGCACGGCGAAGGCAACATTTACACCGACGCCTTGCGTCCAGGCCACGTTTTCGAAGCAAAGGGATTAGAATTCGAAGTCGTGGATCTTCGTCCATCACGTTAACCAATGAAATTATTCAATCCCTCTTTCTCGCATCCTCTCTATATCCGCCCTTTTGATCCTGCTTTGACACGCCTGTCATGAACACAAGATCCTTTACTCCTAGAATTTCATCACCCGCAGAATTGCAGAAATCGAAAATTATTTTGAAAACAAATTTTATCCAGTACCACGCCGTACCCACGCGGGTACCATTCCCCTTCATCACCAATTCCTCGTCTCTATTTTCACGGATATACACCTTGAGATCCCTTTTTTTTAAACTCCCCCGTTCACTTTATGTTGGGCTTGGCCATAAGTTACTCTGCATTATCATCGACCATTTTACACTGCTTGGGGAATTGGGTTTGGCCATTTGATTAATTTCATTGCTCGTCTTCTTCGGCCCATTCATATGTCCATTAATGAATTCCTCGTCCTACATGCTTAGTTCTGGCTGCTGTCATGGCAAAACAATTCTCGTCATTACGTCCCTTTTTCCCATGTTCTGTTTTGCTCTTGTTGATACCAAATGCATATATATGCCCAATTTGCATTTTTTTCATGTAGAGCTAGTATTTAATGCCTAATCACGACGACTATGGAAAAAGGATTCTGAAGATGTACTAATCTTGGCACTTTTTCTCTGTTAGAAATTTACCAATATGATGGTTTGATTGAAATTGCTCGGCCCCTAAAGATGAACGAATTTTACCCTTGGAAAAAAAAAAATCTAAACGCAAAAGGGTAAGAAGATAATCATAGACCAGAATGCGCTGATTCAACGCCAAGAAAATGCTAGAGCTAAGGAGCAAGAGCAATAGGAAATACAATGCAATATGATGAGATACCATGAAATGCAATATAACACCTCAAGAAACAACGAACCCAACAACAATCCACTTCTACTACTAGTACTCCTCCACCTCCGCCTGCTCCTCCTCATTCTCCTCCGCCATATTCCCAGCCATCCACACTGCTGCTCTCAATCGCTCTACAACTTCGCGTCCCAACCATCGTAATTCTTTCCCTCCATTATGTTTCTCCATCCAATCTGCCCAGGTGAACAGCAATCTTAGATTCAAAAGACGATCTCTATTTCCACTGGCAATACTTGCGTTTTCGAAAACCAGTCTATCATCGACAACTGTCGTTTCGAGACTCGGCTGCAAGGGGGTGAACGCGCCGCCTATTGCTCCTGCTACGCCGCCACTAGCAGCTGTGGCGTTCGTGCCAGTGGTATTTGCCGCGGCCCCGGAAACGCCTACGTCCGCGCCTGCAGACAAGGAAGACGATGAGTTTGACGGGGGCAACACCAGCGCGGCTGCAGCGCGGTCGAGGTTCTTGAATGCAGGGAGTTGGAAGATCCAATCGAATGCGTTCTGTTTCTGGCCGTTGTTGGCGTCGGCGCAGACAGCTTGCAAGAAGCGCGAGTCGTTGAGAGTTTGCAGCGTAGCATCGAAGATTGAAGAAGAGTAGAGTGCGTCAAAGGCAGCACGGCGGCGGACGTAGATTGTTTGATTGCGTTTAAAGGCCGCGAGGTGCGAAGGGTTGTTTGCAAAGTCCATTGTGACGGACCAGTACTCGGGAGAGCTTGTGGACAGGGAATGGACGTCGTGGAGCTCCGGAACCAGGCAGGGGGCGGTCAGGCGACGAGAGCTGCCGTCGCGGAGAAGCACTTGGACAGGAAGGGAAATGGGCCGGTGGGTGTCGACGTCGCGGATAATGAGGCAGCGGGGTTCGGCGGCAAAGACCCAAAAGTGGCGGAAGGCTTGGAGGTGGGATTTGTTGTCGAGGACTGCGGTAGGGAAGAGAGGATAAAATGCGCAGAGGAGAGATGCAATAGCCAGGTTCGATGTGCCGAATGTGAAGGTCCCGCCGCCAAGAAAGAGCACGCCAATGGCAATATGGCCTGCAAGGTGGGAGCCGTAGGGAGTATCGCCGTCGATGCGGCCGTGGAGAGAGCGCAGACGGCGGAAGAGAAGAAGGTCGCCGGTTCCAGCCATGACGGCGGCGCAAGAAAGTGCGACAACGTCTTGACAGTTACGGACAGTGCTGCGGGCGAGTCTGCTGTCGAAACTGGGAGCGGGTTGTCTGCAGAGACGCATAAACTGATCCAGGTAATGGAGTAAAAGGTCGCGGACGGGGAGCGAGCCAGAGCCAGCAAAGCGAAGTCCAATGCTGAAACAGAGGCCGGCAACAATGTTGAAGAACGGCATGTCTTGGCTGCTTAGAGGTTTGGTGGCATTGTTCAGTTGAGCGCGTGCACGATAGGGCTTAGGGAGTTTGTTTCTGATCCACTCTAGGCTTGGCTCGATTTTGTTCCACATGATGAGGTTGCTAGCCAATGTGCGTAAGAGGAAAATGTCCGGTCGAACGTAATCGAATTGGAGAATAGTGTCTGGGATATCAATCCGTCGGGCCAAGGCCTCATCGTGAGTCTTCATGAAAATGAGCGCAATGGCCACAATGGCTGCAGCAATGGATTTATCTAGGATGTGGACAATGTTGACTTTCTTGGTTCCAACTGCGAGCGAGAGAAGACGTTCAACGATATGCATATCGTGAAGCCCTCTCAAGTCTCGTCCTTTTCCTAGATTGATGTATCCTAATGCGAATCCCGCGGCTAATCGGTATCCTTCATCGCGGAGACCGCTGATTGGAGTAGAAGGATCTTCCAGCTCGATATGCTCAATCTCAGAAAGCATTATTTCAGTCATCCTGCGGTGTTGAGTGTTACAATAGAGGAGACCGATGCCCATGATACCTGTAGTCTGTGTGAGAGGAGACAGGTTAAGTTCGGCTGCTCCCGGAGGAAGCATTCGTGTGACGTGAACTGAAAGAAGTCGAGTCACCAGCGTATCCATGGTGCCCAAGTAAGATGCTGCCAATCCTAGAAGAAGGCCGATAGAAGTCATAGTATGCTTGGGCGTCAGGTATTTAAAAGCAACCCACTTTGCCACGGACTTTAAGTGGCCATTCAAGCCCAGAGCTAGAAGGAAGCCCGCATGTCGATTGCTGAGCTCTGGAGGTTTATTGAAGACTATCCATGACGTATCTATTCCTTTTGCTTCGCGCGAAATTGTCAGGCCCGTTGCGACGCCAGAGTGGAAGAATGCCCAACAGATCTTTTCCTCGGAATATGTATTCTTATCAGCGGTAACGGTGTTATTAGATGGCCGCATAATGCAGCTCAGATTGAACCCTGGAACTGTAATTCTCTCTGTGAGTAATGGAACTCTGGCGCTATAATAAAGAAGTCCGCGCCCTGGAGGTAAGGCCAAAGTCCGAATGACTACTCTTGAAACAAGCTCCTTCTGGGCTTCCAAGAGATCAGTCTCCGTCCAATCTGCCTCCGGACTGCAACGAGCCACGGCAGGTTTCAGCTGATGAACGAGTCTGAAAGCTTCAGCGAAACGTCGGTCTTCGTGGAAAATAAGTCTTGTGATGGCATTTCTGTCTACATCAGCGGAGCCATCAAATACTGTAATAGGCCCAGATTCATCACAAGTAACGCATATACTATGAACGTCATGCTTTGCCTCCTGACTTGGCTCCTAGAATGTTTTAGTATCGTAAATCTCTTTACAAGATCGCAAACCGAAGAAGACTTACAGACAATGTTGGGACAAACGTAGGACGTGGTTCCCTAGAAAGGAGCATTTTGATATCATCTCTCCCAACGAGATCCAGTAAGGTTTCATCCCATGTCGTTGGAGGATTCGCTTGACTCCAGCTAATGGCTTCACGTAAGGGAGCTATGAGTCCTTCTGGCAACGTCCGCAGAAATCTAGTGACATCCTCATGCTTTACCATGTATTCCAAGAGATCGGCGGATGACGACTCCTTGAGACAAAGTCGCTTATAAATACTTGTTACCAGGCATGTGTAGGGCGTGAGTCTCTCCGCTTCTCTCAAGGTCCAACGACGTGAAGCCTTGCCAAATCTACTCGGACTAACGTGAGGCAAGGACGATGAGATCTCTGCAAACGAGAAAAATTGTGTACCATTACTGGGTTCGAAACATTGCTCTGCCCATGACAAAATCGACGGCGGGTCAAAAGGCGGTGCGGGCACATCCAGCAAGGTGATTGTGGCTGAAAAAATTAACATCATGAGGCAGATTATCGTTTATTGAATATCTCACCTTCGTCAAATGCCCACAGTTCCATATCATCATCCTCTACACTATAGTAGCTTGAGGCCTGCGCGCTCCATCCAGACCAGCCCAGCCATCCTCCAATCTGTGCTAGGACAGGTGTCAATCCACCAGCCGATGTGTTCAATGGTCCGCTTGTTAACAAATCAAGCTTCTGCTCCTCGTGTATGAGGTGAAGTCCGACAAGGACCATTGCAAGGGCTGTTCTTCGAACCTCCTTATCTCGTGAAGCCGCCGTGGGAAGATATCCCTGTGAGCCAGCGGCGGCCTTCCCTGCGCTAGATCGCAGGAATTCACGCGCCAATTTCGCGCAATCAATCAGGAAACTATTCTTCGTGGAGGCGCTTACGTTTGAACCAGGAAGTGGGTGGGGGCTTTTTAACCCTCCTCTTGGATCGGGCTCTTGCATTCGAGTCCTAATCTCGTCCTTGACCCAGCTCCATGCAGGATTCCTCATCCATTCGGGTGACAGGCCACCCGAGCTGTTTTCATGTTTTAGCATCGCTTCCCAGCTGGTGAGTCCTACATTTGCGCCGCTGTCTGATCTTAGATGCAGACCTCTGCGTGCCCTCGTGCGCGGGGTTTGCCTTATCGACTTGTCTTCGATGAAACCCACCGCCATAGTGAACAAAAGAACGATTAAAGAAGTCCACTCCTCATCAGCTGCAGGTTCTTTCCTGAGCCGCAGCCATTTTCGAACTTCCCAATAGCCCACAAGAAGACCTTCGCCACCTCGTTCTAGCCCGGGAAGAACGAAAAAGCAAGCGTCAAGTATTCTGGCCACATGTTCATTGCGCGGCCTCATTTGCACCTGGATTCTATGTTTCTGTCCTTCGGCATCGATAAGAGTTACCTTGCCGTTAGGACCAACATAGCCCAAACCCCGCAGCGGAGAGCGAGATGGTACAAATGGTGCATTTTGATGAAGCCGGCCCTCGTCCGGCGGCACAAAGAGCCTGAAACGATCAACATCACCGGGTTCCAACCCTTCGGTCAAATCGATCCGCATAGTTGTGCTCCAAGGCGCTTGCAATGACAGCTGACCATGGCCATTTTCCGTATCGCTAAGAATGAGCATCCGGGACATTGGTCCGTCGCTCAGTCGAACTGCATCAATAATCCCTTCCCCCCTCTTCTCCTCAATCAGATGAAGGGAGTAGCCCAAGCCAGAGCCTTTGTGTTTCCGGCGAATATTTCGTCTGTACTGTTGAAGTGGTTGAACTTGAAGGCCTACCATGAGCGCCTTTTTCGACTGCTTGTCAACAATGTATACAACAATACATCCGCAGCCAACATCATTGCCTTCTGATAGATATGGTGTGCATACAGTCGACACTACTATGTCTCTTCCAGATGCGCGCTGCTCATTTGGTTGAAGAGGATGCCCATGCTGTTCAATAGGAAAACTTGTGACTTTGTTCATAACGATCTCCTTCTTAAGTCCTTCGGTCATATCGTAGAGGCCCAAGTCTTCGAAGCCCTCGAGCGTGCCGCCAGCATTCAGTTCCTCGAGGAGCCTATCTACAGGAGCTGTTGAGCTGTCACGATGAATTCCAAGATACTGGCCGCTGGTAGACTGCCGCGAACCCGTTGTCATCACTCCGAAGCTACCGCGACTACTATAGCCTCCAAAGGATTCGCCACGCTTCGAGCCGCCATTGTGAGATGTGGATGCAGAGAGGTGGCTGCTGGGCAAACCAGAGAAAGGCATTCTATCATGACCGGTAGAGACATCCGTGCGAGCTAATAAGGAACTCACTCGCCTTGACTGCTTTGCTGGTGCAGCTCCATCTTCAAAATCAGGGTCAATTTGTGATGCCAATTCATCCTCGTCATCGAGTCTGCTGTCGTCGTTGCTTGGGCCTAAAGCACTGTGTTGAAAGGACGCACTGGACGCCCGCATGGCGCCGCCGAAGCTTTCTCTCGAGCCACCGAAACTGGGCGCTATAGGGGTTGATGCTCCAGTGCCAGCGCCAGGACCATAGGAGCTTCTTCGACTCCTTCTCCTTGAATTACTAGCACTTATACTCCTTCCACGCTCGTTTCTTGAAGCGGGCTCCGGCAGTATATAGTTCATTGTCCAAATCGTGTAAAATCCAGTTTGAGTATTCAGGGTCACAGCTAAGGTAAGCGGTGGCTCTTCACCGGCTATAATATCCAAAGAGCTAAATTCTTCCTGGTTTGAGATGAAAATAAGCTCCTCGGCCGGATCCAGATTCGTTGTGCCCGTGTCCAAAGGATTATCAAAGTGCAATCCATTCTGGGGGCCGTTTCCAGCAACAATAAGACCCATCTCGGATAACGGATCGCTCAATATAAAGAATTTGGGCACTCGACTATCATCTAGCTGTGGTTTCGGAGGAGAGATCATCTGTTCAAATGGAGGTGGTGGAGGTGTTGACTGCCGAGTAATTGAAGATGCTAGGCTTGCAAAGGAGATTGACGGTTGAAAACTAGAAGCGCCCCAAGGCTGAGCTTCCGCTGAGATGAATGAGTTCGGAGGCGCTGGCGGGGGCATTTGTGACTCTGGAGCCTGAGCAGCAGGGACAGAGCGCATCTTGCGTTGAATCACCACGCCATGAGGAGCAGGAAATACCGGGCCAACCTCGAATGGCAAATTGATAACATGGCTGGTACCAGAGAGGAAGTACACATGGGCCTGTGTCTTGAGAAAGACCACTAGGGCCCTTGAAAGAGGATTTCCACCTTTTTGCTCATCTGACATTTTGGTGTATTTCTTATTGCGCTCCTTGAGACTTGGACGACGGCGTGATGACTCCGATTTCGAAGCCCATGTGGATCTGCCGGCATTTGAGGCGGACGCAAATGACTTGGAAGGAGGCTTCATCCCTTTGCAATTATTCTCCTTTGCTTGCTCGTCTTCATCCTGACGTACGGGTGGGTCATTTGAAGGAAACCAGGCCATAACAGCTTGAGACACCTTTTCTCCTTCGATATCAAATCGAAAGAGCTTCCTGACGACTCCACCTTGAGACCATACCACACTCGTCTCTGTAGTGACCAGCTCCTCCTCTTCCCCATCATTCTCAATTGTTTGCCATTTGAATTGTTCAGTGATGGGGTTCGCAGGTAGTATATGTTCCCGTATTAATTGCGGCAGCGCGGACGGCTGGTGAATCCCCAGCGACGCTATCGATGCCATTATTGTGGCGTAATTTGGCCATTCGTTCGGACAAGCGATCTCAGATATCTGAAAGAGTGTTGTAGTCTCCCTGGCGGGCAGGAGGTTGCATGGTGTTTTGGTGATTGTTTTTTTACATTGAAAGTCTGGGGAAGACGTGTTGGTGTTGTAGCGACGCGACTTTCACGTTCATCGGCACCCAAAATCCTTCAATCAACTCTGGACTTTCTTCATCATCTCCCGCTACATGCAGCCATGACAAGCTCACGCTTCATCCCCAATGTCCTGCGATCAGGAAAGGACATTCAGCTGAGGTACGGTTATAATTGTTTTAGGTATTATTTGGAAACCTGAAGAGTGGAACTTCTAACGATCGATTCTTTTGCGATAGCTATGAGCTTCCTCATCGCATTCACACGGCCAAAGTTTACCCCATCCCCTCTCCAAACCGGTCAGCAGTCATCGTGTACGGATACGAAAATGGCATTCGAATTCTTTGGAGAGGAGGCAGGCCTTTTAAAGCAACAGCGCACAAGCAAGCTCCCAAGGCGCGAGTGAACGGAACCAGCAGCGATGCCGTTATGTTGCTTGATTCAGACGACGAAGCTACTCCAACCAAAGCACAACCAGCTCCTCCAGAAGAACCAGAGTTTCTCGACGAAGAAGAAGAGTTTGATGAGCTGGAGCCCTACCTCCCGATTATTCAGGATCTTGACCTGTTCCTCGGTCTTGACGTCCTCGACGTGACTTTTCCTCAAATTGATCCATTAGCATCCAATCTGCGCTCAGGTTCCCGCCCGCCTGTACTATCACAGAAGATAATAATTGGCGCTGTCTGTTCCGACGAGACTATCAGAGTCATATCAGTGCCTTTGACGCCGCCTTCGCCAGCGAGCAAAGCCAGGCAGGGACTTGCTGTATCAAGATGCGGTGATGGACGCTGGGGCGAAAGCATGCTAGTCCTTGGCGGACCGTCAGCGCATCAGGAAACTCCATCTGGCATCGCAATGACCTTTACCGCTCCAGCACTCGAGACCAGCATTGAAGATGACACCGATATGGAGGACGTGGGCACTGCTCAGCGGCAGAAAGAGCCCGAAGCTCGGGAAAGAAGTCGATCAACAACACCAGGCGAGAAAGACTGGGATCTTCTTGTTGCTTCGCATTCCCCAGAAATTAATGGCTTGCTTCTAGTTTACAGAATTTCCATTATAGATAAACTTTCCGGGTCGGGCAAGAAGCCAGACTACACCATCTCAACCAACTTCGTCCCGCCTTTTCAAACCCAGCACCTCTCATCACCAGCGACATGCATTGCCTTCAACCCATCTCCCTACCCGGCTCGCAGACACAGCCAGCTACTCGTCGCAGAGACCTCCGGTGCCGTCCGCATTTTTGAGTGCCTCCCGCCTCGTTCGGACACTCTTAGCACCACTTCCGCCGAAATCCTCCCTGACCAAGCGCACTGGCTTGCATCATTCTACCCTGGATTTGCCGGGGCAAAACACAAGTTCCAGAACCCACTCGCTCCATCATACCGTAAGCAAGTTCTTGACGCTCAATGGACATCTGGTGGAAGCAGCATCACCGTGCTCCTCGGCGACGGCGAATGGGGCGTATGGGATCTGGAAGGCGTCAGTCCTGGTGCCAAAAAGCATTTGCTTCAAGGACAACGCTCGAGCCCAGGCATCGTTGGAGGTGCAACCACAACCTTTAACCTGCGCGGCTGGATAGACAATGTTGCCGTCCAGTCATCATCCAGCAGTAGTGGTAACACTGAACGCCGGGTTGCCAGCAAGGGGGACAAACAATCAAAACTCGTTCCCATGACACCGGGCACCCGACGAACACGACAAGAACTTCTCTTCAGTGGGCCACAATCGGCTTCATCCTCCACTGCCTTTTCCCGCGGCGGCCTCTCCATCAGTCCGTCCGTTCGGAGCGGCAAGGGCAGAGGCTTGACGGGAGCCACGACCAGCGAAGCGTCATCCGACGACGAGACAATAGTCATGTGGCATGGCAAAACTGTTGCCATGGTTCCCCGTCTGCAAAGCTACTGGCAGCGACAGCACAGCCAATCGGTTGGTGCTGGAAAGGGCAACCTTTTCGTCAGTCCCGACGCGCGCCTGATCAAACTCGACGCCGCCGATCTGCAAGGGGAGGCCATCACGGCGATTGACCAGTTCCACACTCCTACACCATCTACGCCACCGATGCGGGATATTCTCATCGCGGGCGAACATAGAATAGTCATTTTTTCTACACCGTTGCCTGAACCCTCGAGGACATTTTTCGGGATCGATCGCGACGAGGAGCCGACTGCTCTTGGCGGCAGTTTTGCGTCGCATGTCCCTACAACAGCGGCGGCCATGGACCAGCAATTACTTTCCCAAGGAGAACTTGATCTCAACGGCATGGATCGTATGCTTGCCGATATGGATGGCGGCGAGGATGCCGATGCGAATTCCAGACCATTGTTTGCGACGCGCCGCAGAGTCGACTTTTTGACTTGAGTGGTAGTCTTAGAATTGTTCCACCTTTTACGATGGTGTCCTCCAGCTACTTGCCTTTCTTTTCTTTCCCTTTCCCTTTCCAATCCCATTTATTTCTCCTCGTTTGCTCAATGAATCTCTGGCGTTTAGACTCAAAAGCAATACCTGCTTCGCATCTTAGCACTACTTCCTTCTTTCACCTTCCCTTCCTACACTTTTCCCTTTTACCTTCCCTTCTTTATTTATCATCGAATAATTTTCTTCTTACTGTCTACTAACATTGAACCGTCTAACGAACCGAACGGAAATATATCCCTGCGTTTTCATCATGATGCATTGCATTTCATATTCCACATTCGATTTATCTTTCCTATTCCACATATTTGATTTGTCTTTTTCAGAACGTGTATCATCCAGCTACCATTTTCACTGCCATGTCAAACTCTTTCAACTTGTTTTCCAGCGTCTTATGATTGTTGCAACGCGCCGCAAGCTGATCTCGACAGAACTAACCGGCAAGCAGCGAAGTAGACCTAATACTTAAGTACAGATACACAGCTTATACCAATGCTAATCAGTTTAGAAAAATCGGCTCACGACCTGCTGCACAAGCCATTTTTCTCGATCTAGCGTCCACCTCGACCACCCAGCCAGCCCAGTCAGTCCCATCAGCCCAGTCGTCGATTGACTTCTGGCTAGCTACTACCTCTCCTTTTCTCTTTTCGTTTCTTTCCTTTTTTCTCTTTTTAATTTTCTCTTCCCCTTCTTATTCCCCTCTCCGTTCTTTTCTTTCCTTTCCGTTCTCCTTTTGTTGTTGCCTTTCCCATCCCACTAAAAGTCAAAAAAAAAGGAAAGAAGAGAAACCAAACAAAAAAATCATCATCTTTTCCGCACGTCAAGGTGGAGCCCAGCGGCGAGTCCCATGCCCTGACGCCCTGAGGAATCCTTTTTCTAACGGGGGGAGGAGGGGAAACCCCCACCCTCCAGAGGGAGATATTTCTCAGGGTCCTGCTCTGTATGCGTTCTGCGGTATATCAAGTCCCTGCTTATCCTGCTTTATCCTCCTTCTTGCATTTTTCTTTTTTCCCTTTTCCCTTTCCTTTCCTTCCCTTCCCTTTCCATCGTACATCTGTCTTCTTTTGCCTTTGTTTTGCCTTTGTTTTTGTCGTGTTTCGTTACCTTTGCATTTCACACTTTTTTTTTTATTTTTGCTCTTTTTTCCCCTCCGACCCGCTCCCTTTTGGCATATTTATATATACAAGGGGGGAACGGAAGGGGGGCTAGGGCAGAATGAAAAAGGGGGAACGGTGGGCAAAGGACAGAACAAAGACGGAAACAAGACAACAGGACACGACGAAAGCTTGAAAAGACTTATCGATGGGGAGAAGACGGTTGGGAGGAAGGAAGGGGGAAAAGGGAAAGAGAAAGGGGGAAAAAAAAAAAAAAAAAAAAAAAAAAAAAAAAAGCAAGAGAGTCAAGCAAGGACGGGCCGTCAAATGAACTCACTTCCCTTCGAAAGAACATTTGAGAGTCTTGGGGGCGGTGGTGTTTCGCTGGCTACATTCATATAGGTAGTATATCATTTTCATGTTCATATCCGTCTCATATCCAACAAATTAAAGATTTACTTGTTTAAATCGTATTCATAATATCACAGAATACTTGGGGAGGGGGAAAGCCAGACGGGTTTGTTTAAGTGACTTGTAGTAATTGTTTATATTATTTTATACACAATCTTCTTTTTTTCACTTAATTCCGTTTCCTTTTATGCCTCCTTCCTTCTCCTTTCTTCTTCTTCCACGGACGATTTGTATCGAGCGTACATTGAAAGGAAAGAAGCGGCTGGAGAAGTTGATAAACAACTTCATTTGAACCGATCGAAAATGTTTCCCCAGCACAGAAATGAGATAACAGGATGAAACGTTGTTACATCACGTGTCTCTCCCGGTTCCGCTCTGCTCGACTTCATTGCATGTTAATGCCGCTTGGATAAAGGAAAGCAGACTTGGTAGAAGTAAGATAGGACCGTTTAACAGTGACTGCAAATGAACTGCTGGATTGAATGGGACAGCTACGTTGCTGTGCCAAATCGTTCAAACAAGATTCTTCGATGCTAAGCAATCGTATAATTGTGAACGCTAAGTGGCCATAGAACCTGCACTGCGGACTGGCCAAAAGCGGAAACACGATTCCTCCAAAAATATTTCAAAGAATCGAATGGTGTAAACGGGCCTAGGAAGAGAGGAGACAAAAGTGGTAAGAAAAAAAGGAATACTGAAGAAATCTGCGAGGGCGAGAGTATAGTAAAAGATGTAGAGGATGATATATTGAGTGTGTGCGCAAAAGATATTTTTATTGGGTTAATCAATCAATCGTTAAAAAACGGACGCTGCCGCTAGCCGCGAATCGTAACGTCATCACATATTGACAGGTTTGAAAAAAAAGAAAAATTATTTGGCCGTTTTTTTGTTGTTTAACCGCGATATCCAAGAGCATCAAGCTCCTTGCGCACTTCGTCTTCCTTGTGGATCTTGCTGAGCTGAGTCTCCTCCAGCTTCTCGCCACCAGCAAGTCTCATCTTGAGATCGTCAATGGCGCGCATCTTCTTGAGCAAGCCACGAACCTTCTTGTCGTGCGGGCTTTGACCGGCAGGCGAACTGACAGTAACCTCAGGAGTGGTGCCATTGGCGCCAGCGGGTTGCTGCGCAGGAGCACCATTGGTACGCAAAGCGAGGTGCTGGGGCTGTTGCTGCTGAGGCGCACCTCCACCATTCACGTTGCCAGATGGGCCTTTGCCGGCGCCATCCCGGCGGCGGGAAGTGCTTCGGCGGTCTTGGTTGTGTGGCTTGGACGGCCTACGCTCGTGGCCTCTTCGGTCCTTGCGCTCGCCGCTACGGCCTTCGCTAGCATTTCCGCTGTCGCTGACGGCGCCGGGGGTGCTCAAACCACCAGCCTTGTCAGCAATCTCCTTGGCCTTCTTAGCCTCTCGCTTCTTCTTGTTCTTGAGAGCCGCCTTGGAGAGGTTCTCATCTCCAGCGGCCAGGCTGACACCACCACCGGGAGCAGCACCTGGGGGCAGGTTCTCGCCCGTCGCTTCGGCACCGGGAACCTCTCGTCTTCTGGGCTTGCCGAAACCAGCGAAGCCAGCATTGGTAGAGGAGATGCCATTGCTAATGTACGCAGCTCCGCCCTCGTCCTCACGCTTAAAGTGCAAAGGAGTGAGCGATCCACGGGCGCCTGGAGGACGGTAAGCACCCGCTGGCTTGGTAGGCTTCTTGACATTTTGCAAGAACGTCAGGGCCGAGGCATGCGGATTCGGAGCCGGGTGGAGAGGGTTCTCCATAGGGTGCTGGGTGATGGATTGAGGGCGCCAGCAGACCTACTTAAAGAGTCAGATAAACTGGACGTAGAGAGGGATTATCAAGATTCATGGAAGGGAAACTTACGTGGTACAATTCATTGATATCCAGATTATACATGATACCGCCAAGCACGTGCCAGATGCGAACACCATTGTCGACACGCAATCTCGGGCTTGTAGTGGCAGTCAAGATGTGCTTGCCATCAGGACTCCATTCGCACACGCTGGCGTTGCTGGCCTCGATGGTGGTAACTTTGTTGTAGTTCTTCTCCAAGTCATAAATGTCCATCTGGCCAGCAAGGTTGCCAAAACCAGCAACCAAGACGAAGCGGCCGTGAGGAGAGAAGAGGATTGTGTTACGAGGAGCCAGAGCAAAGCTGTGGACCGGAGCAGCGCGGGTATTGAAAATAGTCGTCTTGGCAGGCATGTAACCGTAGACGACACCAAACTCTTTCGAATTGGTGTTCCACGAGACATCATGAATGGGACCCTCCTTGTCTATAATTTTGTTAGAAATATGACGGGGCGGTACGTTGCCAGTTGGATCTTCGACATACCGAGCGTAATTCTAGCATCAAAGCCACCATTGGCGCTCATGAGGTAAAGAGTGGTCTCTCCGTAGTAGCTCTTTCCGGTCTTGTCGACTTCGGTCTGCGCGAGCACAATCAAGCTGGTACCAAGGTCGTTCCACTTGAGTTGAACCTTGTCGCCCTTGAAAAAGTTCTTCTGAGAGACGGGCGCGCCAAATTGAGGGATATTGTAGACTCGGACAGAGGCAGCTTGACCCTGGCGTACAAGTTAGAGCCATGGTTGATTATTCATATGCAGTGCTCCGAAACTTACCTTGCGCTCTGGAATGAAAACGGCAATGGAGAGGTTCTTGCCCGGAGAAAGAGCAAAATCGGCCACACCCTCGACGCGGAGCTTGTTCCAGACGGTGCCGAGATCACCGCTCTTGTAGAACTGCACCTCGTTGGTGACCACACGAGCGCAGAATTGCTCGTCACTTGTGTACTGCAAGTTCCATCCAGTCTGCGACTTTTGCACGAAACGGCCGACAACGCTACGCTCGCCATTGTCGACTTCGTCAATGACCTTCCAGACCTTGAGGTTCTTCACAGCATCACCCTGCTCGTCCTTGGATGGCCGCTGCCAGGTGATAATGTAGGTGCCGAGAGGAGAAAATCCCAGTTCAAAGACATTGTCTGCCGGGAGGGTGGTGATGATGTGGCCGACAGAAGCATCAATGACGGAGACCCTAGAAGTAGATTAGTCGCTTGATTTTTCGATAACCATTCTGTGGGAATTAATAAAAACTTACTGCTCAGGCGACGCCCACGCAAAATAGCGGCCGCAGGGCGAGTAGGCGCAGCAGCGGAGATGCCCTTCCGGACTGTGAATAACGTTAGCATTTCATGTGAGGCAAGGTTCGCGCCGCCGGTGCCAGCTCTTTTCAAGAGTTTTCGAGCACAACTTATTTTTTCGTCGCGATCGTAATCCCAAAGGAGATCTTACTTCTGAAATCCGGGCAAGCTTTCGTAAACCGGAGCAGCGTCCACAACACCAATATCCTTCACCGATCGGTCTGTCGCCAAAGAAACCAGTCAGCCATAGCCCACCAATACCCCAATATATATTAGACACCAAGCAACTGTTGGGCCTTCTCAAACGCCAAGCCATCTCATTTCCACGTTGTCATCCACGCCAAGTGATGTGATTCGCCGATAAGTGGCCAGACACAGATGAATAGTCGACAGCATCACGAGCTGAAAACTCCATGACCGTCATAATCACCGACCCACAATATGGAGTGCTGGCAGCGTTGTCGAAGACGAGGAGAAAAAAAGGAAAATGAAGCGTCCCACTCACAGGCAAATTGCGTCGGAGCAGCCATGACTACTTAAAGCCACAGAAAAACAGACGCAGAAACTCGAACGATGATGACCCGTAGTTTATCGTCAGGATGACCGTAAGTCGGTCTCGTTACTTTGCTTTATCTGGCAGAAGAACGGTACGTAAGAAGAGGAAATAAATCTCTTCTTTTCTTCGCAGTCGTTCTTCGTCTTTCTCGAAGGGGAGGCTTGGTTGGCGTTCCTTTCAAGGCAACGTGACGACACCCTAGACAAAGGATGACGATGGGACCTTGTTATCGTCAAAGGAGATCAATCCGACAGTAGGACTCCTTGATTGTAGCACTCGCGTTTGAGAGAAACACGAAAGCGCCCCAGAAAAGAAATTGGACACGGCCTGGGACTTGGGAGGAGATGTGGGGAGGACGGTGAGGTAGAAGGGGGGAGAGTGAGAGTGATGAAGGACGCAGGGCTGGACCGAGAAACGGTACTGTAGTATGGTGTTTGCTGGCGTGGGGAAGCCGAGGCGAGGCACTTTGTAGGGGCAAAATGTTTGACGTTTCACTCAAGTCTCAGTGATAATGGGTCCAAAGACTGAATCTGACCATGAATGGAATAGATTGACCATATCTCAAACTATTTGCAGCTTTATAAATCACTGTGCTTCAATTGGAATGCTTAAACCACCCTTTTACAGTAAATATTCATACATTTCATGCAGAAAATAAGTGTCAGTGATGTGTTTGATCTTTATTGACATGAATTTGCAGACATGAATGCCTGACCAAAAGTCCTTGTCAACAAAATTTTGATCAACTTTTTCCCCTTTTTCGCCTCCCGTACCTGGTACCTCTTTCGCTGACTCAGCTGCTCGTCACACTTTCTAAATCAGGTCAAGACCACTTCGTCTAAAGTTGCCAAAAACTCTCGGACTCGGCAATACCTTACGCTGCTTCTGTCTTATCCCCTTATCATAACCTTGCTGGTCTGGGTTGACCACAAGAATCAAGCATGGATAACATCCATGCACAGCAGCACATCACCGAAAATACTGAGCTTATGTCCTTCAACCCGCGGGGCCCAAATCCGAGAGATCAATCATCTCGTAATCATACTTGTTATTTTTTTTTTGTTTTTGATTTTGAGCTAATCGTGGATATCGTCATAATCGTTATAATCATCATCAAACGACAACTGGTCGATTGTAACATTTCGTGTTCTCGGGTTTGCCATTTGGTTAATAATGTGTGCGGGGGAAAAAAAAAAGAGAAAGCAAAGAAGACAGCAACCTTGGCAAAAGAAATCAGGGAGTTGCAATTGTAAACCATATTCGATTCAAAGCGAAGAAAGAGAAGAGAAAAGACAGACTTCATAGGCAGACCAAGCACCCGCTCGCCGTCCCAAAATGCAATAGCATCCATTGCTAATCAATGCACATCTACTTCTCCTCAAAGTAAAACTTGCCGAGCCCCTGAGCTCCGCCTCGCTGCTCGTCGGGGCTGCCCAAAGGGTGACGGGGGTCAGCAGGGGAAGCGCTCAATTTGTCTTTTAAAATGCTCTCGGCGGTATCCATGCCGGAGGTCTCTGCGCCTGCAATTTCTCCCTGGGTGGTTGCATTGGTTGGTGGCGGGGTACGTGTAACAGTGTCCACAACGCCGGCATCATAAGTCATGCCATCAATCATCTTAGCATTATCTCTCTGCTCGGCGGCACTTGTAGTCGTTGTGGTAGAATTTGATGAAGCAGGTGAGTCAACGCCAGCCATTGGACTGCCACCCTGCTGCTGCTGTTGTTGCTGCGGTGATAGTGGTGTTTGTTGCTGTTGTTGCTGCAAGTGGCCGGGAATGGCAGAAGGCTTGCCAGCAAGAGGACTAGCCAGGTTGATGGACGGCCCGGCGCGCACAGGAGCCGCACCGGGCGTACGAGCTCCAGGAGTGCTTGCCGTGGGACCGCCGCTTGTGGAACTGGCAGTTTCTCCAAAACCCACCAGACTTGCACCTTCATCCGAGAAGCCGCCGACACTGGAAATGCCATCGTCGGGGTCCTCGCTCATCTTTTCCGGGTCATAGATGTCGCTGCTACTTGCCCAAGTGGTACGTCCACCAACGCTGCCAGTGGCGCTTGCGCTGCCGACAGTGCTACGATCACGCCATTGCTGCTGACTCTCAAAGTATCCTGGCGCCTGCATCGGATTCGAGCTGGGAGCCAAATTGGCTGCGCCTCCATGTCGATGATTCGCGACGCGTTCGAGGCCAGCAAGTCGTGAAATACGATCAGCCCGTTCAGCCTCGAGCGTGCTATTAGATGTAGTAGAGGCCGAAGATCCGTGGTGATGATGATGATGATGGTGATGGCTATGGGGCGGAGCGTGTCCCTGGTGACCGTCTTTGATTGCCGTAGTTGAGAGAGCAGAAAGCGACGTCGTTGTGGAGTTTGGCGTACCACTAAAGACGTTCAGTACAAAGATGCGTCAAAGCCATCTTGACAGCTAGCTTGCAGAGGGAAAAGTCGCTCGTTGAACAAAAGCCCATCTCTGCCAAGGGGCCCAAAGGAATGCCAACGATACAGTTTCCACCAGCAAAGATGTAATGCAAGAATGGTGATAAAACGCAAAGAGTATTGATAAAATAGAGTAAAAAGGCTGATGCCAGGAATAAGGGATCTACTTACGGGCCCATGTCCGATGGAGTCACCGACTCCGATGACGGCGGCGGGGGAAGATTGATGAGCGTTGGCGCAGACATGGCTATTTCTGGGTAGTGAGATTCAAATGAGTATTCAAAGCCTCAGAGATAGATGCTGAGGTATCAGTCGTTCAGCTTCGACAGATACGACTGTCGTCAGGTTTGTTCAAGTGAAACCAAACTTCTGAAAAGTTGAAATGCGTTTGGTTTGCTATAGTAGCGTACCAGTGATATGATCAAGATGTTCCGTCGATTAGCAATTCGAACGAAGAGAGTTTCAGCTTGGACCGAATCAAAGTCAAATGTAGGAATCAAAGCATGTATGTTGATGGAAAATTTGGAAGCTGTGGGAGCTGTAAGGGTTGATTGGGGGGGATTTTAGCAAAATCTGGGGAGAAGGGAGCGAATGCCGAAGTGGCAGGTAAGGTGACTTTTGGGGCTAGAAGATGCTAGCGGACACCCTGACTGACGTAGGGAGAGGCAGCTGAAGAGTAACCGTTTTGGGGCGTCATCGTGCAGTCTCACAGGGGAAAGAAGCGATCACGCCGTAGTGACTGTGGTATGTTTTCGGTGGGGGGGCAGGACGGCCCAGAGCTAACGTGGAAGAATAAACCACACCGTCACTTTTCCCATAAGGCCAACTACGTCACAGGTTGGTAGGAAGGAGCGAAACATGCACTGTCTCTCGGCCTTTCCTTATTTGTCTTTGTGTGACTGCCCACGGGGTTTGGCAGTAACAGCATTTGAATGCAATCACTTTTGTGCTTTTAGTCTCTGACATGTGGAGAGGGCTGAAATACTATGAGCGGTACCTGGAGCTTCCCCATACGCGGGGCCGAGCGGATGTAAACACCTAAAGTGGGCGGGGCATTCACGTGATCAGCGAGAAGACTTACGTGCAAGTGGCTGCTCTCTGATACAACAAGACCATGGTATTTATTTTATAATACGAAGAATGTATTAATGTAAACCAGCAGAAGAATGTAAATGTACTAATTGAGCAAAAACCACAACTCAGAAAGAAGTCAGCTCTCCAGTAATTAGTCAATGCCATGCGGCCTTGCCAGGATATCAACAATATAAAAATATAACGCAAATCATCAGCCATGCAGCTTACACAACGAGTTCGTAAACCATCCAGTCAAAGCAAACACAAATCCCCCCAGTTCAATCTACCCCGAAACAAAACTTGGCGCTTTCGACACGAAATAATCTCTTCCCTTCATGAACCAGACGAAGAAGCTCCACATGAGAAAGCTTCCCAACTGGCCGACACCTCCATTCTTTCCAATTGGGACCGCCATCATGATTGTGGACGATGGCCTATACTCCTTCTTCTTGCCGGCGAGACCATCAATATCTGCCTTTAAATTGGCCACCACGATCGGCACTTGGCCCGCGGCTTTGAACGACAATCTTGCCGGATGAATCGTGATATCTCCAAGCGCGTAAATGGAAGTCGACGGTGTATGACTATCCGTCACCGCATGCATGGTCTCGTCGACTTTGACCCAACCGTCGGACGAAAGGTACTGCTTCGGCACAAAGCTGCTATTCGGCAAGGTGCCCGCCGCGGAGATGTACAAGTCGACTTCACGCGTGTGGCCATCTGCCAGAGTGATGATCCACTTGTTCGAGGACTTGTTGAAGCGCGCAGACTCGACGGATGTCGAGAGCAAGAGTTCCACGCCAGCCTTGCTCAAGGCCTTTTCAGCAGCAATGCCCGCGCCTTCTTTGAGCATGGGCAGTACGTGTGGAGTGCGAGACACCAGGCTTATCTTCCTTTTCCCGCCGCCTTTGCCATCGCCATCTGCAAGTTCCCCTGCCGTTTCGACACCCACGGGACCAGCACCGGCGATTAAGATGCTCTGGGCCTTGGCAATCATGCGTTGAGCCTTTTGAATGCGCTCCTTGAGATCATTTGTGCCAGTCTCTTTGAACGGGATTGGGACTTCGCTGACTGTGCCCGCCGTGGTGCTGCCCGAGGCGATGACTAGATAGTCATACGAGATGGTCCGGGTGGTCTGGGAATCTGATAGCGAGACTTGGACTGCCTTGGCGTGTTCGTCAATGGAGGTTGCTAATCCGACTACCAGTTCAAAGGCGCCTTTGTCGTATTTTGCGAATTTCTCTGCAATGGGCAGCAGCACGGCGTCGATGTCCAGAGCATCGGGGTGCACAAGAAGCCGAGGCGCCGCGATGTTGAAGTAGAATTTGTCCGACGGGTTGATGAGCACGACTCTGCTGCCGGGGGCTGCTTTGAGGATCCCGTGGGCGGTGCCAATGCCGGCGAACGATCCGCCGATGATGACTATCGTTTTGCCTCCTGTCATAGCGAGGTTCGATATCTGTTCTTTCGTCCAAGTGATACACTGATATGTCTTATATAGCTGCAGGCCCCGTTCACTATTTACCTTTGTACCTTGGGTTCTTGGTAGTGAATATAACAAGGTAGGTCTAGGCAAGCAGGCAGGCAGGTAAGTAGATAAGTATTTCCTTTCAACCCTTCATATCCAAACCAACCCTTTCCTTCTTTTCCAAAAGGGACATTCCACACGCATATATATATACCCTTTCTTTTTTTTTTCTTCCCTTCCCAAGTCCCCCACTCCCCACAGTTTCCGTCATTACTACCTAGTATTCTCCGTCCTTGCTACTACCTAAGGTAGTATCATTTCTAAGGTACGTACTAACCCCAACCATAACGCCATGCTTCATGCTTTCATACACCATGTGAAATCATTATCTCAGCGCTGTGTAATACACGCGGCGCAATTAGTCACCCGACTACCTTACTTTTGTACACCGTACTGACTGAGGTGTGGCTTGATTCATAACTTATAGGTCGTTCTATACTGTACTTCTATCTTATTCTACTGCTGTACTACTGTACTAGTATACGCTGTGGTATACGCTGTACTATACGCTGTACTACTATCCTGCTCTGTAGTTGGAACTGAAAATACCACGTACTATTGTCAGAATACGTTATGTATACCCGGAGGTACCAGAACCTGTACTAGGTAGGCATGTCGCAATTTACATAGTACAAGTTAACCAAGAAAAAAAATTACGCAGGGACTACTACGTGACGTACCTTACCTTACCTTATCGTGAGTTGTGGGTTATGAGTCGTGACAAAGCCAGGGCGGTCAGGGTGGTCAGGGCGGTGAGGGTGAGATCAATTTCTAAGCAATTTGCAATCACACAATCATGTTTGTAAGTTAACCCTATGGGAGCACCGTAGTAAGGTAGGGCAGTTTGTCAGACCTCAACGACCTACTACTACAGAGAGGAAACAAGCAATTACTACATGGACACTACGACAAATATGGCTAGACTATCCACACCAAGATCCCTGGTCCGTAGAATTTCGTCCGAGGTCAGTACTCCGTAGGCATGTGGTTCGCCGCTCTGCTGCCAGGCTGCCAGGCTGCCCTTGTGCGTACTCTGACAGTCTGACAGTCACAACAGTCCATACTCTAGAGTCCAGACGCCGGGGGCCAACAGGGTCGGGGCAACGGACATGGACAAGGGCACAGGCAAGGACAAGGACAAGGATAAGGATACATGCGACGACCGAGGGTTCAAGACGCATCAAACAAGACTTTAAGGTAAGTACAAAGCACCTTACTACGTACATACATAGTAACTCATACGGAGTAAATTCAGAGTTAATATCTGTAGAGTCAGAGAACTACAGATAATTTAAAAGAAAAAAAAAGTGATGCGAATACTCAAAGCCTTGACAATGGTACTAACGATACTCATGTCGGTAGAAAAAAAAAACGTATCCGAAGAATTAAAATAGTGTCTGAAGAATAAGAAAAATATCCAAATATTGATAAACAAGGTGTGAATAAATAACTAAAGGGGAGTTTACTAAATAGCTACCTAAGTTGAATTAAACTGACTGTAAACAGTGCTGTCCATGCGCTATGACTCCAATGCATATGCTCAAACCATGCATGCCCATCTCTATGCCTTTCCATGTCTATATCTATATCTATCTCTATAACACAGTATCCATCTGCTTCTTCTATAAATCTATCGTCTTTCCACTCTATTGCCAGTGCAGTGTCCACCGATACTACAGTTGGTCGTACAGATTCCAGTCTAGCCAAACGACAACCGATAACTATGAGTTACGGTAATTAATATATCACCGCAAAAAGTCATTCGGCGTCGGAGATCATCACTCAGCCTCGGAAATCTTCTCCTCGAGATCTTCTGCCTTTTGGCGGTCGCGGGCAAAGCCGAGCAGGCCCAATCGGCGCCACCAGCGCGCCTGCAGCTTGAGCCAGGCCCGGTAGCGACGTTTCTTGGGGTAATTGATGGGGCTTTCGCCACCAATAAAGATGGCAATATCGTACAGCGCACCGCCTGCGATTGCGCCGGACGTGGTGGCGATCCAGGCGCCCCAGAGCCACCAACAGTGGTATGCGGTAAACGTGGTATGGCCGTAGCCGGCCATGAGCGCGGCCAGGCGCGGGCCAAAGTCCCGGGCGGGGTTGAGGCATCTGTGTTGTATCATGCATTAGTTTGAAAAACAGTTCAATAGGCTGGATGTTAACAAGTGAAAGAGAAACATTGTCAATGATGAATCAACAGACAACAGAGTATTATGATCTTGTCATCGCAGAAAAAGAACGGGTTGGGATGGGGAAATAAAGGAGAACATACGCAGAAGTATTGTATCCAAAACTCATACAGATAACCACGACCAACAGCCCGATGATAAAGGAATGCATACCCGCTCCTGGCGGGGCATTTGTGTCGTCACCGAGCGCGAACACGGAGCAGGCCAGGATCGCAGTGCCAACGTACTCGTTGAAAAAGCTCGTAGCGGGACTGATGAAGCTCTTCGGCTGCGTGTACATTGCGACACCGGTAGTAAGGGGGTTCAGCACACCGTTATCGAATTTCAAGATGGCGTCGCGGTACAGAGCCAAGGCGATGCCTCCGCCAGTGAGGGCGCCAAGGAACTGAGCGATAATATAGATGATACAGTTGCGGGTCGGGAAACCACGGAAGACGGACAGGGCAATGGAAATGGCTGGATTCAAGTGACCACCAGAAACACCACCAGAAATGTAGATGCCAAGCATGCAGCCAAAACCCCACGCCCAGGTAGGAGACGGGACAGTGTTTGCGGTGGGCCCAGACGTAACAGCTGCGAGGTCGGCGCAGACGCCGATGCACACGGTGACGGCAGTGCCAAGCCATTCAGCAATTGGCTCGCGGAACATGTGCCGGATGTGCGCCCAGGCATTAAGGAATTCATCCACGTCGGCGTCGCCATGGTCGCCATGCCCATGCGGGCCGTGGTCTACAGGAGGTTTCCCGGGCTGATGCTCGTGCCAGTTGTGATATTCTGGCGGTTGCTGTTGGGGGTCGCCATTCTCATCTTTTTCATCCGGGGGAAAGTGCACCTCGCTCGCCAAGGGGCGACGTAGACGGCCATCTTCGGTAAAACGTTGACTGTCGCCCTGGTCTGCACTCGATTGCTCCGGCTCGTTGGTAGGTTGGGTCTGTTCCGGCTCTGACTCCCGCTGTGGCTGCGACTCAGGATTGCCAGGCGTGTTTCCAATCTGCGGAGCCACCTCCGTCCCGCCTTTGGCGTGGGTCTCGACTGCCTGCGTACCATCTATGTCGTTGTCGCGGCGCATGCCCGGACGGACAACACGCGGCAAAGGCTTTGCGAGCGTCCAGAGAGGACCTTTGCGGGGCTTGCCATAATGTCGATTAAGCTTGGTGTATTCTGGGTGCACATAGGTGCCTTCATGGTGAGGGTGATGCAGCAGGTGGTTGCCCGACGTGGAGAAGTGCGGGAACCAATGTGATCCATGCTGCGCGTCTGGGGGACCTGTGTGATGGCCACCAAAGCCCCAGTGGCTGGCTGTGCGGTGCTCGGGCAGTGGCCGTTCGCCATTCTGCCCTGGGTCCTGACGCGAAGACGCTGTATTGCGATGCGTCAAATTGGATTGTTGTTGTTGCTGCTGTTGCTGTGATCCCGTTGCACGGGACTGCGAAGATTGTGAAGGCATTGGGCTGAGATTCTGCTCGACCTCTCAACCCTTATCTTGCCAGTCTCAGTAAGAGGGAAAAGGGGGGATAGTCAAAAGCCCTTCTGAAAGAAAATCAAAGCAGGGAGTCCAAACAATCTCATTCAATAATTTCAGCCTGAATCTCGAGCCCTCAAAGTGCAAGGATTAGGCAATCTCATTCACTTGATCCTTAAGCATGGATCGACCCTTTGTCGAACCCCAATGAGCACGTCCTCCATTTTTTTTCTGAGATTGGATGGGGGATCGTTACTTATCAGTCTTGGCGGTCGGGAAAGAAACGTCATAAACGTGTCGACAGATGCCAAGCCTTGGATCCGACCGAGACTAAATCGATAGATCAGCAACGACAACGCGAGTTCCCCTGGAGAATTCTCGTTAGTGAACGCCATCTAGAGGCATTTGGCCGACTCTAAACCTCAATGCGGTTAAGGGCTCCAGTTAAGACGATACCTGAACCAAAAGAACTCAAGAGACTCCTCCCGCTCAAAGCATTGTAAAAGGTCGCTATCCGCTTCAAGTGGGTCCCCTAGAGAATCATGAGGCAGCTCCAAAATGCGAAGAGCAAGGGTTTGCAATGTCATCTCGACAAGGATCATTACTAGGTGGGCGCTCAGGGAGGAGATTCGCTGATCTCCATGTCTCCTGTCAGGCTGTCCTCGGTCTGTTCAACATCTTTTCGATCCGAGAGCACACAGATTCTGGTTGTGATTACAGGAGTAGCAGTTCAGAGTACCTAACTAAAAAGTAGAAGCTCCCGTTACAATCATGTACCGAGTACAGATGAGTATTCGCTTAGTACAGTAAGCCCATTGGATATTTTAACGATACGTCAGGGGCGTTTACCGTCCAGGGTCCACAGATCGCCGGCGGGCATTTGCTTCCGCCCTTTCCGAGTCTCAGGTTTTGAGGGCGTTGAGGGCGAGGGAGGGAAGCTGCTCCATAACGGCACAGACGAATGTTATTGTACGGAGTTACTCATGTCCGACAAATGAGCAATCGCCCAATCATATAAAACAGGTAGCGGAGCTACTTCCTGAAAAAGCCTCGTAAATGTGGTTTTGATCCGCAAATAGCATCAAACTAAGAAGAACATGCCGATCCTCACATCCGCAACTCCTTTAATTGCACGCTCCAACAACCAAAAAAATATTCCATGAATGCGCACCATATTCATTTGGGGCGCACTTTGTAGATGGAAGGCTTTATATAGTCATATATCTCATATTTCAAAAAAAAAAAAAAAAAAAAAAAAAAAAAAAAAAAAAAAAAAAAGAAGAAGCAAAACCCAGCACGCAAAGATCCATCAAGGCCCTAAGAACATCTCACACTTCAGCGGAGACCCTTTCACTTAAACGGCGCCATCAAATTAGTAAAAGCCATTGGAACAAACCAAATCAAAGATTAAACCAAACGCGGACCCCTCTGCTCATAAGCCCGCTTCTCTTCCTCAATCATATCCATAGCCTCCTCTAAATCGCCATTAGCTGCCTGAGCATAAATGGTGAGCCGTTCTGCGCCTCCTTGCAGCCCACTATCAAATCCAAGTGCTTTGAGGGTGTTCAAGCAGTCTCGCACTTTCGGGTCACGGATGGGCTCGTTTTCAGGACGGTTAATATGGAGGGGCTGGCGGCGATGCGCATGATCTCTTTGTGGCGCCGACAAGCCGTTGATGAGATCATTGCGTCCATCGTCATTTGCGTCTCCTCGTCCATGTCGATGTCCTCCTGAGAACGATCCGGTACGGCGGGTGCGCATTGTGGAATGATCAAAGATGCCTGCGCCGTGAGGCCGTAAAATCCGAACGGATTGGCTGTGCCCAAGAGGATGGGGGTGAGGGTGGGAATGATTGTGGTGTCCCCTGCGTCGAGCTTCTCTCTCAGCGGCAGGCGCGAAGCGAGTGCCATCGAATAGGGGATCAAACGGCCCAGCGAGCGTAGCGCCAGCCTTGGCTGGTCCAAGCTCAGCCGGACGAGGAGGCAACGGTTTGGCCGAAGGCTCAGCTTCCGCTTGATACTTGCCCTTTGCGGTATCAGTCTGATCGCCACGAGAATTTTCAGACTGGGGCATGGAAGTTCTTCCCTCCTCACGTGCAACAGAGGAGAATGGATTCTTGGAAGCCTTCTTCTTGCCGTAATTTTGCGGGATGAGAGTTTCCATTGATGGCAGAGGTGGGAAGCGCGGCAGTCCCTCGTTGGTAGACTTCTCGAATTGTGACAAGGAAGGAAAGCGTGACATTTCCAATTGAGACAAGCGATCAATATCCTGAGACGCAGAAGCCAATGCTGCGTCCTTGTCAAGACTGACTGGACGGTTTGGGTTTATTTGTTCATCATTAAATCCAAACCGGGAAGTATGGGCATGAGTTGGAGGTTGGGGCGCCGGCGCGGAAGATGGAAAAGTGTTCGTGGGCCGCAGAGGGGACCAAACAGGATCCGCCGTCACGGCCGCATCCGCTCCTGGCGAAGGACGGCTCTCGTTAGGCTGAAAGCCTGGGTGCCATGGCCTTCGGTTCTTCAGAGACCTGAAAGGATGATTGTCAGATTCCAAGTCTCTGCCGCGAACTTCCCGGCCAAGATACAACGAAGACGGCAATGAGTCATCCGGTAGTCGAATTGGCCCATGTCTAGGTGAACTCGATGGGTGTATGAACGAGGCACGACCAGTTCCTGTTGAAGTGGCGGCTGGAGAAAAGGGTGGAGAGCGACTATGTCTGCGGTCCCGAGGCTGATTGGCGAACGATACAGAGGGTCTCAAAGGATTCAAACTCCGATAGCCTCGGGGTGGCACAACATATTCATAAGGAAGACATGGCGCTCTTCGTGGACCAGGCCAGTGTCGCGAACCGAGGCGAATATCTCGTGGAGGTGAGAAATGCGCTCCGCCAACGGGGCAGACACGAGAGCGACGTAGCGGGCCGTGTGGATGAGTAGGTGTATGGCCACGCGGGGGTATAGTCTTATCATCTACGGGGAGATCATCAGATGTCGGTCCTCTAGCGGGCAAATGTGACTCTCCGCCATTCGCAGATTGTGTTTGTGTACTGTTTTCATCACTTTCGTCCACCCTGAATTCTCGTGGCGTCGGTGACTTGGCCCTTGGTGGGGTAACTGTGTAGAGGTCGTCGAACGCAGCATTTGATTGAGGGTTCTGAGGTGAAGGAGTGTCATGCATCGTCGAGCTTTGACCAGTGCCGGCGAATCCCTCCTCTGCATTGACCTCAGCAGTACGAGCCCCATGGGAATGACAATGCGGACGTCTGTTGTTAGCTGCCATCGCCAAAAGGCCCCTGCTAAATTGTGAAATTCCAAGTGCTACGGTTTTTAGACCTTCAAGAGGCGTGTCGGAGGTATCTCCAATCCCTTGCGCGGCGGACTGATGCATAGATTGCGAAGCATCCTGAGCAGCATGTGCAAGGTTTTGCAAATGAGAACTAAAGCCATCCATGGCGTGCCTCATAACATGCTCAACAGTATGAGGAACCGTGCGATTGAGTCTGGCGAGTTGCTCCTGAGCGTGTGGCAGATTTTCCTTCAGCTCGTTGGCCAATAGTCCAGCAACGTCAACCATAGACTTTACCGCGAAGCCAACAACCTCAGCTGGATCTGACATTGGCTGGGGCATTGTATCCGTATGCGCAGTATTGTTCTCTGCTGCAGAGGGCTGGGTTTCATTCTCGGTTGACGGAACTCTTGTGGGATTGATATTAATATTACCAGCATCCTCTATTGTAAGCTTGGATAGCTCGGCTTCGAAGAGTTCAAGCAAAGGCCTCTGGTCGCTTTCTGAGGTTGTTGCCTGTGGGAGAGGCTCAGGTGCATCGAAAGATGATGTTTGTTTTCCATACGAGGCCCATCGATTGTGGTGTTGTGCCATTTCCGTTTCAGAATTAGGCAGATTTGTAGGAACGGCATGCATAGCATGGCTTGTATGAGATCGAAGCTTTTGTCCGGCTTCCTGGGCCTATAAGCTCGCGTTAGCAGGATAATTCATCTTGAGATTGGAACCTTCCTACCAGTCGGTGTCCTTGCGCTGTCAAATTCTTCAACGGTGTATCATCCACAGGCTTGGGAGAAACATGCCTAAGCAATGGTGTGGTTTCTCTTGCCAGCTCATCCTGCTCAGGCTCTGAGCCTTCCTCACGTGCAAAGCCTGGGTCTTTCGCCTCACTTGAACGCTCGGAGAGCGACCAGGCTTGTGCCAACGGGGGCTCAGTTGCTTCAAAGTAACGTGAGCGCTCATTATCTAAGGGTTCATCACTCATGGATGCTGGGTCCTCATGGTTGACGACCGTAGTGTTCTTATCATATATATCATCCACTTTGGCTGGGCAAATTTGCAGGAATTCCTCAGGCGTTTCGAGCTCTTTCGGTCGAGCAGTAAGTCCCTTTGCTGTTGCCGATGTCGTTCGCCATATTTCTATGACTTCATTGGTGCGATTAATCTCAAATACATGCGTGTTGTTTGCCTCTGCAGCTGCAGGAGTTTCGGCGGCCGGTGAAGCGTTAGGATAAGCTCCAGGCAAAGAGCGACGTGATGATCGCATCCATCGTGGTAATGGTTCATCTAGGCGCTGAACAAGTTCGAGAGACGAGCCAATCTGTGGAAGTACTGTTAAGCGCCACCAGAGCCAGTAATTAAACAGAAAAGAATACTTACAGTCACAATTTCCCCATCGTCTTCATCCATGTATCTCAAAGCAGCATCGCGCGATCGTGATAGAATATTGTCATAGACAGATTCCGATATATGGATAATATCCATATTCTCATCGTAGCTTGGAGGCGAGGATGTAAAATCATCTCCGAAATCTGGACCTGACGGGTTTTCAGACGCCCAAAGGCGTTGAATACGGAACGGAGGAAGCATCTCTGCTGCAGGACAAGAGATGGAGATTTGGTAGGGTAAAGGAGCAGTAGAGTGGCGGGTTCGATTAAAGGAAACCTCAACACTAACGCCCAAAGACAAAATCTCAAGCGTTGAATCTCAAAGTGAATAGCTCACAGAAAGAAAAGACGAGGGTCTCAAAAAAGAAGCAAGCGTCCAGCGTGCGTAAGCTCAGAAACGAAAGATAACTCCCAGGTGGTGAAGCAATGGTCGAGCAGGCAGGTGGCAATCAGGAAAATGTCAGTCACCATGAAACAATAGGTTGTATAACAACAGCAACAGTCAAAAGAAAAAAAGAGCACAATTCAAGAGATGGTTTCTTTGAAGCTTCGAAGAAAAGTTGGAGTTACGAAAGGAGCTACCTAGGTTTGACTGCTGGCTGGAGCTCCAGGCAACAGTGGATTGTCAAATAAGTCTCGGCTGAGCTGACGCGGGCGAGAGTTGTCGTTGTCGTCTCCTCGTCTATCTTCCAGCGCCAGCGGGGTTGTGGTCCGTGCATCGGCAGACCTGATGATGGTTAGCTGGCCAAATATAGCCTAGTGCCCGCAGCTAACTCATGCAGGTTTTCCAGCTCTTGGCAATCCGGTAATAATGATCCATTACCTCTTCTGATACGACAACAGCTACGTTCATGGACTGCTAGGGAGGCAATAGTTTAGTGATCTTCTTCATTCTCTTGATTTTCGCTAGTAAACGCTAAATGCAGGCACCTAACAATATTGAACACAACCTCAATGCCGTCATAGATCGTGATCATTTCAGTATAGACCTGAATCTAAACCTATCGCCCTTCTTCCTTGACGGCTTCATTCCTCCGTCTCATACCTTCGGCCACGTCTGCCAGCCGAAGCCAGCAGTACACTAGACTATTGTAAAGCTGCAACACATCTTCCTTCTTTGCAAGATTTGCATCCTTCTTTGATGTTCTGCCGCATCTTTGTGGCTTTCCCCCCTCCATTTCGATTTGCTCGTGGTACTCATAATTAGCCGCAAGATCGCGAAACGACTTCATGATGTCTGCACACACGTAAATTCGTTCAGGAGAAATAAAGTCCACAGCAACTTTGATACAACTTCTCCCATTAGCGACCTGATGAGCACAGCCGGCGGGAATTAGGACTGCATCGCCAGGCTCTTGGAATATTCGAAAAGACTTTGTGTAGCCCCATTCCTCCGAATCAAGTACTTTAAGATCAGCATCGGTCAGGAAAAATAATTGGCGGTTGACGGGATCGTCTACTTTGAGGTCCTTGTACTTCTGACGCAGGAAACGGTTGAGAAACTGAGTACTGCGCGGTTCGAAAATGTCCCAGACCGCCGCTGGCTTGTCCGTCTGCTCGCTTCCCTCCTCACCTGATGACGTAGAAGCATAAACCATGATATTGATGGCATCTGTCACGTCAAGGTGAAGGTTGGTGGTGGCCCGCTCCTGTTGCATTTCCGGAGCACTCTTAAGAAATTGCGGTGCCGGATAAGCACAATACATCTGCAGAATAATTTAGTGCATGTCTCTCTAGAACAAGTAAGGACATTACCTTTGGACCCAAGTCCGGTTTGAGCATGTCATCCTTAAAGTATGATGCGAGATTCAAATGACCCTTGCGGGACATGTGTTTTGGAAATGGTAATGCTTGCTCAAAGTCCTCGAACAGGGTGGGGAAATGATCAGCAAAATCCGCATCTGGTGGCCAATCCTATAGCTCTATCAGCGAATATTCCTCTTATAAAATTAAAAGAAATTTTTACCTTCAATTTAACACTCCGTTGCTCCCACTTTAGTGTTTGCTGCATAAAACCTTCAAAAAACTCGCCAACTGTAGTCGGAGACGTATCGGTCTTGCTGGAAACACAGTCGACTAGAAAGCAACTTTCCTTTCCATGGTCTCGAATAAAATGCTTTGGTGTCCAGGCTTGCTTGAACCGCATTAGCATACCTTGGAGAACAATTGGTGTCCCTCGTCTTGGATCCCCGTCTGAATGCCATATTGAGCGAAACGTATTTTCGTCGAGGATGCCATCTCCAGACTGAAACAGGTATTTGCAGACACGCAAATGGTGATCTCCTACAGCGGTGCTGCATTCGACTATGCTCTTAGGCTCAGGTTTCGTTTCGAAGCTAACGTGCTCTTGCGCGACAGCTGATGCCAGTCCATGAAGCCAATCGATCTTGGATTTTGTCGATCTGCATATCAGCACAAACTGCGCCCTAGTGTGCCGTTTGCGACTTGCACATCTGTCATATCTTGGTACGAACATGTATGCTTCTTCTTCACTCTTGGTGAGTCCCTCCCCATGAGGCCGCGGATCCCATTCTTCCCAGCAGTCCAGGCAGATCTCAGTTCCACACGCAACACACATCCATGAACACAAAAAGCATGCTCCGCCACAAGCGTCACAGACAATACGTTCTCCTGGCTCGGGTTTGCGAAATATAATAGGTGAAGATTTAAGTGCCGGCGTAGGTCCGGTGCCATCTTCAGACCCACCTGCAGTCAGATACCGAAAGATCTTTGACAGAATCCCTTGCAAAGCGGGTGCTGTCATTTGAAGCAGATATTCTGCATCTTCGGCTTTGGTAAGTTTTGGTTGTTTATCTGAGGAACTCGCTTCGCCTTGGCCTTGGCCTTTAGTGGAGTCCTGTTTCGACTCCGCTGGATCTTGATCATGCCAGTTGCCAACAAGGACCCACTGCCTTAGATCTGGCTGCTCGCGATCCTTGAAGCCTTTCAACACAGGCTGATAATTTTTAAGGGCCTGTGAAGTACCAGATTTCCTCACTCTGCTCCCCTTTGGAATTGCTTCAATTCCGAGATCTGACTGCGACACCGCTCTCCTGCTTCGCTTCGACCGGCGTCCCAAGTCTTCTTCTTCCTTTCCATCAATGCTTTCTTCACGCTTTCGTTTCCCAATTTCCTTGCCCTCTCTTACACCATCTTCATCCATCTCTCGCGAAGCTCCATCTTGCACTATACCCCCGACAGGCGCAAACGCTCTAACGCCCTGGAACCGACAGCCTCCACCACCCGCTAGCTTCTCAATGCAAGTCCGACACTTGGGCACAATTCCACCCGTCAGGCTCCAATGGTCTGACGGATGCGTCGAAAAGCTATTGCATGTCTTTGCCTGCACCAGGTAGTATTGATCTGTAGCCTGTTTGGCTATGATCCGATCTACTGGGGGAAAGGATCTGGACAATGACGGTGTATATGGTTGAGCAGACCTGTCAATGCGGTGGATATTCTTCTTCTTATTATTGGCAGCACTGCCATTCGGCGGGTTTGATTTCTGGCCAGCGCTCTGTTGTGGTGAGATCCCATGTTCAGTTGCTCCGTGTCTTCGAATTGCGGGGGGTTCGTTGGGCTCATCCCTCAGTGCAGGTTCAGAAAAGGGTTGACTCTTCAATAAAATTCTATCATTTGTGTCCTCTTCGCCGGTCATTGATGCAACTTGATTATCCATTTTTGAGTTTTCTGTGTTCTGGTGATCTTGAAGTGCTGGAAGTGCTGGAATGGGGGGAAAAACCATGGGTGAGCAAGCGGCGGCAGAAGCTTCCGACGAAGGAAATGACACTCGGAATTGTGAATTGCAAGAGAAGAAAATATTATTTATATGCTTGCGCAATTGGTCGAAGGAATCATGATTCCCCAAGATATTCACTCGCTCATAAAATGCAGTGTCTGTATACTTCTATCCAGAATCCTTTTCCATTGTTGTAGTCCGCCAGACGCCAAAACGCCTCGAATTAACCTCGCTTCTCGCACGCGCCGCTCGGCTAATTAATCGTCTGCATGCCATTTTACAGTTCCTGGTTCCCCAAGTTTAGCCAGAACGCTAAGATAAAGGTCGTTATCGATAAACGTCTCATGCAGTACGAAAATAACGGTCCATGCGAGTCTAGAACTTCCATTGCTCAAGCCAAATCTTCATCCAGTCCGGGTTGACAGGCTCCAATTTATTAAGTGTCGCACTCTTTGCCGTTGTCTTGCCGGTCTGGAGAACGCTAGTCGCTCGGCCGGATTCTCCAGCTTGATGCGCAGCTTCAAAGAACTCCAGCAGTTTGACACCAGGGTTCTCATGCGCCTTCTCAGCACCGGTAGATTGAGCACTTTCACGGAGAAGCGCAAGCCATTTTTCGACCGGGACAATGTCAATGTCAGAGGAACTAGCCTCTGCAAGGTGGGCTTGGACTGTGGGAATCAGAATGTCCCACGAGGCTTTGTTTGGATTGACCAAATGATAGACTGAAGCCGCATTATGCTCCATATTCGGGGTCTTTTCATCCACATTTGTCTCCTCTGGGTCAATCAATTCAAGAACTATTCGTGCAAGAGTGTCAACTGGCAACCAATCCACTTGAGAAAATGCGCCAGGGAGAGACGAAGGCAGAGCTCGGAGATACTTTGAGCTTGCGATGATCGTCGGGAGCCATTCTTGCTTATTCCACATGCCCATTCTTTTCTCGACCGGGCCACCGACTTGACCAACACGGCAAACTGTAGAAGGGATCCTGGAAATCCTGTGTGCTCGGTCGAGTAAACGCTCTCCAATGTATTTCGATTCGCCATACCCCATTTCTTCAGGCACATTGAAGTCTGTAATAGTCTCCTCCGGAACAGAACCCTTGTAAAGCGCTGCCCAATTCATGACAGTAGAAATGCTAGAGATGAAATACAGCCGAGTGCTGTGAGCTGATTGGATGGAGAAATCGATCAAAGAGCGAACTCCTTGGATGTGAACCTTCTCAAAAGATTCGACGGGAAGATTGAAGTCGACTTGCCACGCGTTATGGATGAAATCAGTTGTTTCGTCTAGAAGCTGAGAATAGCGCTCTTGGGAGAGCCCAAACCGGGGCTTGGAAAAGTCTGTGAGCAGAAATTCGACCCTCTCAGAAGTCCATTTGGCGCGAAGGCCCCGCTCTACATTAGATTGCTTCTGCCTTTCTGATGCACTTGCAGATCGGTTCAAACAATATATTTTCTGAACCCTCTTGCTATTCAGTAGGGCATCCAAAAGGTACGATCCTAGAGATCCGGTAGAGCCGGTCAAGGCGACCACAATGTTCTCTCTTGGCGTGGCGGGTATAGAGTCACGGCTCGGGAGATTGGCAGAATATCTGTCCAAGAGGGACTCCAGCTTACTGCTCCTAGATTGCAAGTCTCCGTTTTTAATTTCCTGCTCTGGATGAAGCAGTGTCCATACTGCATTCGTCAACCTAGCCAAAGTTGGATTCCGGTAGATCAGAGTCGTCGAAAGAGATTTGTCAACACCTGCAACGTCTCGAAGACCAGACTTGAGAGAATTGAGTAGGGCGATGACCATGAGAGAATCCATTCCCAACGTGAACAAGTCATCATCGTCCGCAAACTCGTCCAATTTCGTGATTGAGATGAGCAGATCCCGGAGCGACTGCGCGAGTCTCGGCTTGTTTTCCACATTCATTGTTGCCGCTGGAAGCTCCTCGACTCCCTCATAAAGCTGTTCGATCTCTTCGGCAAAGAATTTATTCGTCTGTTGTCGCTGGATCGTGCCCTTGGGTGCTCTGAGGAAACTCTTGTCCCTTTTTGTGAACATGATGCGGTCCTTGGAGAGCTTTGCATATGAAGCTGCTTCGCTATTGGTTTGCTCAACTATGGGCCAGATGGCTTCCACGCGCTCGGCGTCTTCTTTGTCCCAAAGACTGGAATGAGGTTGAAGCTCGACTAAAAGAGCGGGCTGGAATTGAGCTTGCCCAACTACGAGAGCAGATCGAATGTCGGGGTGGTTACTGATAGCCTCTTCAATGTCGAGTGGGTTGATCTTCTCGCCATTAGATAATACAACAAGATCATCGGCTCGGCCACTGTACAGCCAAAGGTCTGGGACAGTCGGATGCGGCGTGTACAAATCCTTCATTGGGTATTCGACAGCATCCGGAAAGGTGTAGAAGAGACCCTGATGAAAAGGGGTATTTTCCTTCCGAACAATTACCAACTCGGCCAAACCACCCTCTCGCGGCTTGAGAGAGACTCCTGCGGTAGGGTGAAAATGCTGATATCTCCAGTCCTTGCGACTTTTGTGCTCCAAAGAAGGAAGAAGAAACATTTCTGTAGATCCGATAAAGTTGCAGACGGTGCTCTTCGTTTGCAAAATGTCACCTGCTTCTTGCGACAGAGGGCCACCGCCATAAGAAATGAAATCGATTTCCCCGAGAGCATCCAAAAATTCCGGCGTTTTGCTCATGTCTTCAAGTATAGATGGAGCAACAAATATACCATTCGGCTTAGAATTTCTAACAAGAGCCGCCGTCATGTCTGCATTTACCGGCCGACCAGGAGGTCCATAGATCAATACTGCTCGCATATAAACACTGAATCCCATCATGATCATACCAGCTGCCTGCAATAAAAACTAATTAGTCTCGCGCTTCATGAACAAGTCTTAAAGACTGCGTGACAGAGCGCGGTTTGGGGTTCCCTGAATGATCAGGGCCATTTTCGGTTCAACTTACGTGAAAAGCAGGCATGACCATCACCACTCGAGCATTTTTGAATATCCATGCTAAGGGCTTCAAACCACCCACGGGCTCCAGAGAGTTCACCGTGTCACAAGTGGCAAACAAACCATGCTTCACAACGATGGGTTTCGGCAGCCCGGTTGAGCCTGATGTATGTAGAACAAAAAAGGGTTTGTCGCGAGCCGATTCGAAGTCCTCGTCAAAGGGATAATGTGGGACGGACGTAGCATGGAGCAATTCCTCGAGCTCAGGGACAACTAATGACCGAAGTTTGCTCTCCTCCAAAATATCATCCACTCGCATTGATCGAGCATAGAGGAATGAAGTGCAACCGGTAGCTTTGAACAACGACAAATGTCCCTCTAGGGAGTTCCGCGGCGAAGTAAACAGAACCTTACGATCGTTAGAGGAGCACTGGCTGCCGTTGGAATTCCTTATTTTGGCTACTCACTTTATATCCCGCTTTATTCGCTCCAACAGCCATAATACTATACCGAAAATCGTTCGGGCCCACGTATGCAATTGTCTCGGAGGTCTTGCTTTTGCCCAAATGCCATTCAAGCCACCAGGCACATCTATCGATAGCTCTGGCAAAGTCTGCGTATGAAATATCAATGAAGCCATCGACAGGGTCTACTGTCTTCGTTCTGGATGCGACTGGAGCCTGAGGCTCGCTGCGAGCAATTTCATCAGTGAGGACTGGCAGCAATCTCTGACCATATCGAGGTTGGGCGGCCATCTTTGTAGTCTGGTCACAAAATATAAATCTCCAAATTTATAAAACCAAAGCTCGATGCCGCTGCTTTGGGGCCAGGTAAAGAACTTGAATTGCGATTTGAATAGTTGTAACGAGCGCACAAAGCGTCTCTTATATACAGCTTCTTCGTCTATTTCACTGGAATTATAAATGGCTGTTGGGCCTCCTTTCTGCTATCCATGACATCTCACTAAACAAAATCAGACGGAGAGGTGCCGAGGTCAGCATCCGCGATCTTATCTCGGGCCTTTCGAAAGCCCGTTCGCCGTGAGACAAGTCCGTTCAAAATTGCTTGCATAATTTGCCCCGCAATTGCTGCCCCCGCAAGTGCGGTGTCGCTTTGTTTCATGATTGCCATTACAAGGATGTTGCGTGTAACTGACGTTAATGGACGGCAATTATTGTTGGTCAGATATGGGTCCCTCTGCTGGTGAGATTATTGCCCCTGGCTGGCAGGAGTCGGATATAGAAGGTGTGGCGTTGCAGCTCGGCCCGCGTGGCCGTGACGCTTCCAAAGAAGAGAACGAGGCGGAACTTCTCCGCCCCGAGACTCCTCTGAAGAAGGGGGGAAAAGGCAGTTGGTCGTTCTTGAGATCATTTGTGGATCAACAAATCATGTCTCTGGGTAGGGATCCCAAATGTGGTAATTTGGCATGCGTGGAGGATGAACGCATTAAAAAAAGGGTCCTTCCCACGCATATGCACATGCAGCAGTTTTGTGACGTCGACGGCAAAGCAGAGTAGTTCCCCTCTTGGCAAAGGGTCATCCCACGACGTGGCTCTCTCATATTGAATGGTGAATACGAGCTTAATCTGTTCGAACAGGGAAACCCCTTTCCGATGGCCGGTTATACGGCAAGGAAAAGGATGTCGACCTCGGATTTAAGAGGGTTGTTGTCAAAATTGGGACATTCTGATTGCAGGGACTTTCTTGTATCGGCCGAGTTCTCAATTAGGTGGTTTGGAATTTTAATGGCCTATTTTGATCAGCGCGGAAGCTCAAAGACACAAGATTGGGCAAATTTCTACCATTTTGGCGCGAAGTATCCATCGTAACAGTAGTCTCAAAACATACTCGTCGTTATCGATAAACCCTGAAGAACGGTCGTGTCACCGTTTCTGCATTAGGGGGTCGTGATTAGTGTTGAGCCTCGGTTCATGCATGGTTTCTCCGGTCGGACATCCGACCCATCCACATATGCAGTAACCCCC